TGCGAACTGTGCTCTGCTCCCCTTCCAGCGCCAGATACTATAAAGAGGCAAGCATTCGAAGACCCATTCGGTCGGTCTGGGTCACCAGGACCCGAAATATCTGGCCTTTCTTTGGAGGAAGAGCATGAAACTCCAAGTGTCAAGTTTTCTTTTCGGAACGGAGGTGACCGAGTCTTCTATGAGCGACTCAAAAACACAATGATACAGAGAAAGTGGTTGTTACAGAATGCGCCACCCATCCCGCGACCTGACGGTGACCGCACGCCAACACCATTTAGCGGTACGAGTCCTGTGCCATCTTCCGAGTCTCGAGCAGTCGCTGTTGGCATTGCTGGACTTGAGCAGCGTGGACTTCAAACTCGCAGGAACAACGAAGCCGTTCTGGGCAATGCTTTTGAAGATTTAGAAGCTCTGATGGCGTCAGCAAAAGATGTCGTTGCCCTGGCAGAGCGATTTGCGCTAGAGTCGGGATCGCAGACAGGCGGGCCCGGAGTTCCATCGGACCCTCTTCTATCTCAGTCGGCGGCAGCACTTGGTATGGTTGCGACGAAAGATATGGTCGGGGACAACTCCACTGCACTATACATCTCCGAGCTGGCAAGGAATTTGGCTGAGTATGCTACAGACGATCGACAAGGCATATTACGACGCCAAGGCGGCACGATGAGTCTGGTCGACCTGTGGGCCATGTTCAACAGAAGTCAGAATGGAGTAGAGCTAGTCAGCCCATCTGACTTCCACAAGGCGGCCGAAGCTTGGGAAAAGTTGGGCCTGCCTATCAAGCTGCGCCGTTTCAAAAGTGGACTGTTGGTGGTGCAACAGCGCAATACAAGCGACGAGAAAACGATCGGTCAGATCAGGGCGTGGCTCGATTCACTACGCCTTTCGGCAGCTGCAACATCACCAGAAGCATGGGACAGGTCAATCTATGGCATTGGAGTAACAGCACAGCAGGCAGCCGCGCAGTTCGGCTGGAGCCTCGGTGTTGCCGCCGAAGAACTTGAAATGGCAGAGGAGCGAGGAGCACTCTGTCGGGAAGAAGGCGTAGAGGGTTTGAAGTTCTGGCTCAACCTCCTGGTCGAAGACGACTAGATAGACATGTTCTCCGTACAAGGGAATAGCAAGGCCCCTTTACCCCTGAACGATTGACCTGTGCACTTGTGTGCGCCCTTTACACCTCGCCACCCACCCACAAGGCCCTCAGATCCCACGTGGCGAGGGGGCGCGTCCACCGCGTCTCTGCAGCGTTCGGCGCACCTGCCTCTTTGAAAAATTTCTACTCCTGAACCTCTGGCATTGAGGGGACACAACCGGCGCCGACTGCAAAGGTTGACAATTGTTCTTTACGCTGATGTATGATGATATTGATATTGTCTCATCGAAGTCGCTCTTTCACTTAACTTTGCGCAAATATGGCCAGAATCGGTCGCGGAGGCTTTCTGGCTCTCGCGGTGGTCTTCCATCTGGTCTATATCTACTCCATCTTCGACATTTACTTTGTCAGTCCAATCGTCCATGGCATGAAACCATTTGCCGTCCAACAAGACCGTGCTCCGTCAAAACGGCTCGTCCTGTTTGTAGGAGACGGTCTGCGCGCTGATAAGGCGTTTCAATCCTTCCCAGATCCATCTCCCCCTGACCCAGTAAATGCCGACCTTACTCCCCGACCTCTCGCTCCCTTTCTGCGATCTCGAGTACTCGAGCACGGTACTTTCGGCGTGTCTCATACACGGGTGCCGACAGAGTCGCGCCCCGGACACGTTGCGCTCATTGCTGGGCTCTATGAAGATGTGTCTGCGGTAACAACTGGGTGGAAACTGAATCCGGTAGATTTCGACAGCGTCTTTAATCGAAGTCGGCACACATGGAGTTGGGGGAGTCCAGATATTCTTCCGATGTTTAAGGAAGGAGCAATACCGGGACGGGTCGACGCCGATCATTATGCTGCAGAATTCGAGGACTTCTCACAGGACGCTACATCGCTGGACATCTGGGTCTTCGACAAGGTTAAGGATCTTTTCAAATCTGCCAGCACAAATGCTACCCTCGATGCCATGCTCCGAGAGGACAAAATTGTTTTTTTCTTGCATCTGCTTGGATTGGACACCACGGGTCATTCCTACCGGCCGTACTCCAAGGAATATCTGCACAACATCAAGATCGTTGACCAAGGCGTCGAGGAAATTACAAATCTAGTCGAAGAATTTTATGCTGATGGGGAAACTGCCTACGTTTTCACAGCCGATCACGGGATGAGCGACTGGGGAAGTCACGGAGATGGTCACCCTGACAATACGAGGACGCCCTTGATCGCTTGGGGTGCTGGCGTGGCCCGACCTCAGCTTTTTCCGGGCGCGCAAGCTCCAGGCCATGAAGACGGGGTCTCCTTTGACTGGGGTCTTGATCACGTTCGACGCCATGATGTTGACCAAGCCGATGTTGCTGCGCTGATGGCCTATCTTGCTGGTCTAGAGTTTCCGGTCAATTCTGTTGGCAAGCTTCCGTTACCCTATCTTGCTGCCTCGACGCAGGAGAAGGCCAACGCAGTGCTTGTGAACACCAAGCAAGTCCTAGACATGTACAGAGTTAAGGAGGAACAGAAGCAGGCAACGTCGCTGAACTTTCAGCCATATCCCCCTTTCTCAAAAGCCAATGCCTCCATTGCTGATCGAATTGCTGCTATTGAGGCTGCAATTAGCAACGATCTATATGACTCAGCTATTCAACTGTCCTCGGAGCTCTTTGACCATGCTCTGCAAGGTTTGCGGTACTTACAGACTTATGATTGGCTTTTCCTCCGCGCTCTGATCACCGTTGGGTACATTGGCTGGATTACCTACGCAATTACTACAGTCATCGACCTGCATGTCCTTCATGGCGCCGTGCCAGACGAGAGGACAATCGGAACAAGCATGGCGTTTTCATCTATCCTGGTGGTGTTGTATTCGTTCTTCGTCGTCGAGCGGTCGCCTGTGACATATTACGGATACGCATTTTTTCCTGTCTTTTTCTGGGAGGAAGTGTTTGCCAGGAGAAAAGCTCTATTTTCTGGGATCAACGTTCTTTTCGGCCACATCCAGAGCTTTTCGAGGTCTTTGTCTCTCATTGTGCAAGTCTTGCTCTATTTGTTCGTCATTGAGGCTTTGGTAGGTGATAGGAACCCGTTTCCCAGTGGGTTGGTTTCTGACGCATGCAGGTGCAATCATACTTCCATCGCATTATCTTCACCCTCTGTTACCTTTTCGCAGCGGTGTTTCCCGTCGTATATGGCGCGGATTTCATCAAGAAGAATACATTGATCGTGCTAGCATGGGCAGCGGGCTGCCTAGTTCTGAGCACCTTTACGCTACTTCCGGTAGTGAAAGTTGAGAGCCCCACCATGATCACCGCAGGAGGTCTCCTCATGTTTGGAGCCGGCGTCCTCTATCTTACTTTTGAGCACGATATCACCACGCAGTCGAAATCCCGGACACAAGAAACAGAACCCAATGTTATTTCCCGAATCCTCATGGGCCTTCAGATCGGGATTATTCTGCTAACCATCATCGTTACGCGTTCAAGTGTTGCTTCGCTTCAAGCAAAGAAAGGGCTACCGCTAGGGAACCAAGTCGTTGGTTGGCTTGTTCTTGTAGCCTCCGTCATCCTTCCATTCGTGCATCGAATGGCACCAAACAAACACTACCTTCATCGACTCGTCATAATCTTCCTTACATTTTCGCCAACGTTTGTCCTCCTTACCATCTCATATGAGGGCCTGTTCTACTTTGCATTCTGCTTCACGTTACTTACGTGGGTACGCCTCGAGCACGCCATCCAGTTTCATGGGTCCTCCCAATCACAAGAGACTCCATCGGACTCAATGGCCTCCGCAAATGGCATCACCATAACATCGAAATCCCAGAAGTCCGAGAATCTATATCCCGAACAGACGTTCCGCACCCTTGCGCTCACCGACCTCCGCCGTGCCCTTTTCTTCCTCTTCTTCCTGCAATCCGCATTTTTCTCTACCGGCAACATTGCCTCCATTTCGAGCTTTAGTCTGGACGCCGTGTACCGCCTTATCCCGATCTTCGACCCCTTCTCACAGGGTGCCCTTTTGATGTTCAAATTGATGGTCCCCTTTGCTATCATATCGGCCGCATTGGGAATTCTCAATCGAAGACTCGGCTTGCAGAGCTCGGCGCTGTTCATGACGGTGATGAGTATTAGTGACGTGATGACACTCAACTTTTTCTGGATGGTGAAGGACGAGGGAAGTTGGTTAGATATTGGCACCACAATTAGCCACTTTGTGATTGGGAGTTTGCTTTGTGTCTTCGTGGCGGGATTGGAGGGAGTGAGTCAAGCCTTGATTCACGGGGTCGAGGTCGATACCCATGAGGATAGAACGAAGGAGGTGGCTGGTGTCCAGGTGATTCAGGGGAAAGTCACCGCAACCGATATGGGTAAGAATGCGCAGGCAAACGGGATGGTGAATGGAGTCGTGAAGGTCACTGAGGGGCGAGAAGGTGTGGATGAGAGGCCGGTTATTGATTAGTTGTGGTCAGCTCTTGGGCCAAATATGTCGCTGGAGTAATGGTCTCGGGCATACTGACACGCCTGTTGTGAATAGGTTATGATTCCTTGGATCTGCGTGCAGCATTGGCCTCTTGAGTACCGTGTAGATGGCACAGCATGCTCCTAAAACTGGCTCAATTCGCGCAAATTGTACATCCCTCGCAACTACACATTCTACTCGAGTCAAAGTTTGGGGCTCAGATCATTCTAGTTTGTTTTGGTCTCTCTAACGTGGAAACTACGCCATGTCAATGCCGTTTCCTTTCCCTTGTCGCCTGATGATGACGGGATCTGCCCCGGGCCTCTTTTCTCCGAGACGGGGCCCCTTCAGCTCTGCCTTCTCATCTGTTCGAGGCTTGCCGCTTATCTCCCTGGGAACTGCGCCAGCTCTCCGCCCAGGAGGACTTGGGTACCTTTTCTTCAAGGAGATGATGGGTCCATTTTTACTCGCGAGGATTTGCCGCCCCCCGGTCGGACACGCCCGTCGCGCCCTTGGCCTTGGAATATTCTGTGTGCTCGCCAGCTTTTGCACCCTCTGCGGCGACGAACTCTGCGCTTACGGGCTCCTTGGCTTCGGCGCCCGTCCTGCTCACATTGTGTCCCGAGATGGGCCCTCGAGGGTGATTGCCCTCCTGCTGGAGGCGTCGAAACCCGGGGTTCACGTCATTGGAGTCCCGGACGCCTGAGCCGCCCGTTGCACCTGCGCCCTCTGGGCCCGAGGTCGCTTTGCTGGCTGTGTGGTGTCCTTCGTGACGGAGTTCGGTCGATGTCTGTCCCTGGCCCGGGTGGCCGAGGCCCGTGTGCACGTCGGCAGATGTGGCGCCGGGCAGTGTGCTTAGAGGGTCGGTGCGGACGCCTTCTTTGCCGTGGGAGCGGTTGACGTTGTCATTCAGAGCTTGTCCTGGAACTTCGCCCACTGGATTTGGTTGGTACGTTGCATTTGCTGGGGCTGTGCCTGGGGGAAGGGTTTTGGCGGTGAATTCGGGGGCGTGATCTGCTGGCGAGACTTTTTGGCCTATTTGGTGCTAGAGAAAGGAGTCAGTTAGGGCCCTAGACGTTTTCTCTTTCAGAGGTATCTGATGCCCAGGGAACATGACTTACACCGTGCTTCTCCATGGGTTCATCGCGGGGCTTGCGAGGCATGAATTCACCCTGGGCGTTGGTCATGGAGTCTGCATTTCTTGCTGCCATATTGTCTGCGTGTGGTTCTTGATGTGATAGTATTCTTTACAGAGGCAACTTGTCAATTCTGAAGTACATTGATCCAGGATCAATAGGATGAGCGGGTCAGGGACAGATGAAGTCCTGAAAAACGGTCGTGTGCTGTGCCCTGACTGTTGACGTCATGCTGGGACATTTGTGATCTCATAGTCCTTTTGACGTTTCATGTGGCAATGCAAATCAATATCGAGAATCAACAGGTCCAGGGCCCGTAGCGTAGAAAGTGCTCGCAGCTCCCTTCGTCGCAGGTGATAGGGTGCTCACCAAGACCACACAATGGCTCGTTGTTGGCGTATTTGTTCGGTTGCGTGTCATCCATCCTCGACGGGGTTTGATTTCACCCGTTCCATTCAGCGTTTACCGTCTGAACTGCCAAAACACATACCTAGACGCAGCTCCTATACATCCTGTCAAGTGATGCCAGAATTTCAGTCTTGCTTACCTTCTCCAAAGATGGCCTTGCAAGGCGGTAAACCGTGCTGTTGTTGAGTTTGAAGTCTCATGGCAGGCTGACGAAGAAGGCGCTCGGCGATAGATAAAAGAACAGCACACTCCTTAATATTATCACGACGCGTTCTTTTTTGCGCATTGCTTTCGTTCGTTTTACGATATCTGGCCTCCGTCCTTTTTCCTACCCAGCCCTCTCCCGACCATCCTTATCGTTGCCTCTGGAGCCTCTGCCTGACTTAGAGAGATCGTTGCTACAGGGGGCCGCCGTCGCCAACCACCAGACGAAATATCCCTGTCGAAGAAAAAGAGCCATCGCCTATTTCGATTCTCGGAGAACGCTCCACACTCCACCAGCTTGACGGACCAACCTTTATGCGGCCGCGGTAGCCAAGGACACGGGAAGGTCACGTGAGGACCGACATAACCTGGCGCACGAGAAAAGGCCGACTCATGTAATGTGGTCTGTTGCTCTCCTGGGATCTGGCCCAGAGGAGCACAGTACTACAGAGCGCGCGTTAGTCAAGTGTATATAGCCGTGGCCGGAGCCCACTTCTACAGCGAGCGTATTCAACCTTCTTGGAAATACAAACCCCTACCTTCTGACAACACGAATCCGGTGTACGCCAGGGGATTCCATCGCCGTTGATCCCACGGCTTCGTCCCTCGAGTCAAACCCAGCCTGTCTTGCTCTTGTGGGGAAGCGAGTCCGCAACATAGTGACAGAGGTATCTCGAATGGTCTAGCTAATTACATTCACCGGGACATTGATGGCCTCTTCAGTGATATGGATGCTGATGTTGCTATCGCGTTAGACGTGCCTGATTTCTTCCTAATATCTCATGGGGAATTTCATGAAGAGCATTTAGCCCATGAGATTCGCGGTCGTGAGTCGCCTCTATTTATGGCTCACCAGGCCAGACAGCATCAGCCACGCCACGAACCAGCTTCAATTTCTCAATCATGTCGTTCCGCGTCATTTTATTTCCAACACTCGCGCTGGCGAACCCGCACTGAGGACTGATACTGGTCCTCTTCAAAGCGTCCAGTTCACTCTGTCCACTCCCTTGTGCCATAAACCTCGTAGCTTCCCAAATTCTTCTCTTCAGCACCTCGGGATCCTCAAGGTGAGGAAACTTGGTCGTTACGAGACCTAGGACAAGGTTTTTGTCACCAGGCAATTCGATCAGTGGTTCAAACCCGCCGGATCGGTCCGTGTCGAATTCAAGAAGAAATGTATCGACCTTAGCCTGCTTAAAGATCTTCTTTGCAATCCGCTCGTAACCACCGGTGGCCCAGTGCCCGCTCATGAAGTTGCCGCGGCACAAATGGAGTCCAACATGAACGTCAGCGGGCAGCTGCTTAATGCAATCATTCACCAATGCGATATATTCATCGATCACTTCGTCGACTGTCTTCTTGTTCATCGGGTCGTCGTGCCAGCCATGGACAAATTTCTCATCGCAGAAGTCTGTATATTAGCGTGGGTTGCGGCACTGCTCGGTCAAACTTACACGCAAAAGTTGGATCATCGATCTGAAGATTCCGCATGCCCGCAGCATACAGTGCTTTCAATTCCGCTTGATAAGCTGCTGCGATATCGTGATAGTACTCGGTATCACAAGAGTAGACGTCAGTAGGGTACGCACAACCTGGCCGATATCGGAAATGGAACCAGTGAGGTGAGCCCATGGTCATCTTGATGTTCTTGACCTGTTCCGGCTGGACCAAGCCCTTGAGGTACTCGAACGATTCAGCAAATGTGCTACGGACGTGTTTGATCTTGCCCGAGCACACCGTTGTTTTCGCACCCTTTGCGCCTGCACTGGTAAATAACTTAAAATCGGGCACATATTCTCGCAGAATGCCGATGGACTGCTCGTTGACTGTGACGTCCTGGAATCCTTCGAGATCGGTGAAGAAGTCTCCCCAATACACTGTCGACGGGGAGTGAGTCAGCCAACAATTTGAACACTGTGATGGGACAATTCACCGTGTCGCCGATATTCGCCGTCAGTTATGGCCTGAAAGCGAAGATCATGCTGGAGCTCCACGATATCCTTAATGTACCTATTCTCCGCATCTTCTAGATCCTGTTGCGCTCTTTCGCCTGCAGTGACTGATTCACGAAGCTGTAATAGTTCTGCTGGTCTCAGCAGGGAGCCGATGTGTTCGGCTCGGAAAGGCGGAGACTGGTGCATTTTCGTTCTGAGCGCGTTTGGTCAATTAATCCTGACTTAGCAGTGATCTCTCTAAACGAGCAGTCTCCTTGCGCGGGATATTTAGAGCTCGATATTTTCAATTGCGAGAAAATACGAGGCAGTTGGCTGATGGCTGTACTTGATTGTCAAACGAGCGAGTGACATAGTCCAGATTCAGCATGTGGCCATTAACGTTGTCAGTGCCCAGGGTGCGGCGTAGCACCGAGCCGATCTTCTCGGAGTGGAATTCTAAGGTGGTGCCCTCGTCCCATCGCAAATACTCTATCGGAGACCCTCCGTGCGTCCCCCTGGACATTTGTTAGCATCGATCCGGGATCAAGGCCATTGGAAGCTTGCGGGACAAGCCTCTATCGCTGTCGATTAACAATTTTGTGGTGCTCAGTCTCCGTGCTGGGTCTTACGAACTGACCTTCATGCGGCCATGGCAGGGGCACACTTGGAAGGTTCTCCGAAAGCAGCCTCGTTGACAAGGCTGGTCAAGATCACGTGATGACCAAGAAGGGAAATACGTGCTTTAGCGCAATGCTACAGTGGCGGGGAATGGATCGGGGCCGCAAGTTCAACCGCAAGTTCGTACAACCGCAAGTTCGCTTAAATGCTTGGCAGAAACGAACGCAAGCCAAATTTGCTGGCGTATAGAAAACGCTAGGGAGGAAGAGGTGGAAGATGTGCCAGAGACCCCTCCGCCATCGACCTTGACTAGGCCAACACGCCTAGTGCCTCAGACGCCAGATCGGCCACGGCCGCGCCGCAGTCCTTCGCCTGAGGACTCTCCTGAACTGGCCTTGCCACCATCGATAGCGCCGCCTACGATCGGTAGTGGCGGAGGTAAACGAGTCCGCAAACGGACTACTAGGCTAGTTGAGGCTAGGCAACAAGGCTTCCTGCCTAACTCGCAGGACGACTGAGAGATCAACACCCAGGTTGGCTATACAAACAGGCGGCGACGAGGTCAGGCGGCGACGAGGTCAGGCGGCGGCGAGGTCTAGGAGGAGGGATACGGAGGATGGCAAGCGGAAATTGCCACTAGCTAAATTAGGTGTAATTGGCTTCTACCAAGCACTAAGCGAACTTGCGGTTGTACGAACTTGCGCTTGAACTTGCGGCCCCGATCCATTCCCCAGTGGCGCTCAGGATTACTACTTTGGGAAGTTCTGCCTGGGTATTATTATATTGTCACCCACTTCCATAGACGGCCGTGTCAGCTTCGTTATCGTAGCAACTCTACCTTTCAGTATATGGGGGCCAGAGCCCAAGATATCTTTCTCTGTCTTTCTCTACGGGCCGACCGTAAGTAATGCCGACCGCCTTTTCTTGCGGAGCCCTCATCGCTCTCAATCTTGGCACACCTGTGGTAATATACAGCATCAAGGTTTTAGATCCGTCAAGAATCTTATCGCGCAAGACTAATAGGCTGAAGAATACCAAGATTGGCTCGGTACAGTGCAGAGACTATGAGAACAAATACCTGAGCAGGAGATATCTCTGCGCGACGCAATATTGATTCAGTAATTGGCCACATATGTCTACGTCGATGATACACAATCTAAAAGCAATATTTGTGACTCCAATCCAAAGAATCCCGACGAACAGTAGTATGGCTATCGCTGAGAAGTGAATTCAGGTCTGAGGGTTTCAGTTGAAAGGTGATGTTCGCAAAGCTTTCTCAGCGTATAAGACCAGCTGCTCGCAAAATCGCTGAGTGTTTGTAGTACCTCTGGACACTCAACTTACGCAAAGTCTTGCCATACTTGATCATGAGTAAAAAGGTTGCAATCTGAGCCAAGCCAACCATAGCAGCGGTAATAAATGCGTTTTGTCGACCCATGCTCGTCAGCCAAGGCGTGAACCCGTAGTCAAATGCGAAATTCATCGTGTTTCTGATACAGATGACGGTGACGAGGGCTTCGGCGCTCAAGTCTTTGTACGAGTCCAGACAATAACCAATATTAAGCTGCAGCAAGAAGGTGATTGAAATCCCGAGTAGGAAAAGAGCAACGATACACCCGAACCAGTGGATTCCATGTTCCGAACCCACGCCCCAGAGAATAAGGCTAAACGGTACGAGCACCAGTGGTGCCAAGTTTAGCCAGAGCCTATGCTCGGGTTCGGCAACCCCACCGTTTCGTCGCGCCATCCATAGGCAGAACTTGTCACCAAAACTGCCGCAAAGAGGAAAAGCTAGGATGGTGCCCAGTAACACCGACAAGTAAGACAGCCCGGCGAGAGATGTGGAAAAGTTGTATGGCGGTGCGGTCAGGTACGGCGATACCGTGTTGATGATGACGTTGAACCAGATAACTCCTGCACCGTAGGAGAAGCCCGCATAGAGGATGACTGGATACGTGAAAAACACGATCGGTCTCAGCATCATACCGAGGATACGATTCTCTTTTTTGAGATCAGCAGTCCTCCAGAGCTTCAGCTTGTCGAAATAAGACTTCCGTGGATATATTTGGGGTACCGAATCAGGTGTCGCCCTTGTAACCCATGGAGTCTTTTCTGGATCTGAATTGCTCGTCGCCGGCCCTTCAAGCGATTCGTTGTTGACCTCGACACTCGCAGCGGCACCTCCAACGTTGCTGCCGCGGACTTCATAGTTGGTTTCTTCCATAAGGAAGAAAAGAAACACGAACCCAACTGCACAAAATATGCTGGCCCAGAACTAGATGAAGTGTCAGCCTCGAGGAAGGTGGATCAAATGGTGTCCTAGACTTACCAAAACCCACGGCCATCCTTGTCCATCAGCGATGAAGCCAGCTATTATTGTCATCACATAGATTGCGCTGAAGAGTACCATCCCATAATATGCAATGTATTTACCCCGTTCATGTTGGAAGTAGAGGTCGGTCAAGCTGATCTCCGAAAGACTCTCGACAGGAGCGCCAAAGAATCCTTGTAGCAGCTTGTTAGCGATCCATTGCGCATTGCTTTTGCAGTACGGAGTCCAGGCCATGAGGGCGACAGTAACCAAGATTGAGATGAGATACATGGGCCTTTTGCCATATTGCATGGCAAGAGGTTGCCAGATCAGACACCCCCAGCCGAAGGTAAGAAAGGTATAGCCGACGCCTACTACCAGATCATTGATCGTCAGGCCCGTAGAATTAGAGATCTGGACAAGCACGGTCGGAGTCGATCCAAAGGCCCCCGCGATGAGACCAGTATATAGCAGGGTGCAGAAAGTCGACAAAGCTTTTCGGCGAGGGGTCCAGTTCAAGGGGTCTTCTGGGTCGTTGGTTGGCACAGGGATTAAGATGATGTCGGTGTTTCCGGCGTGTTTCGCGTCGATACTACCATCAGCATCCGTCAATTGGACAGTGCCAGGAATCCTCGTATCTTCAGGCGACAGCATTGTTTTAGCCTCTCCGGTCAAGAATGGAATTGGGAAGAGAGAGGGAGTTTGTTGTGTCCCTACCAGGAGCCGACTTCTCACATGTCTGCTGCGACTTATATACTTATCGAACCAGTCTTCAGCTTCAAACTGAAGGGATTATCATGTTTGATTGCTGCGCAGTTCCTAACAGCATGCTCTGTGAATTCTCGACACATGTACTCTCAGTGACGACTCATTGGCCACCGCGAAAGCCATGGCAATGCCGGAGCAGGACCGACATATTTAGGAGAGCCCGAGTATCTCGGACGACGAATTCGAGTTAGTTTCTGGCCTCACCGGAGGAGCCATGGTAGGAATTTACGGAAGTGATCCGGGGGCCAAGCAATGTCCGGCATACCTCCGTTGCGAAGTCAAATACCCATGCAAACAGATTGTGTGACAGACTCTGTCCACCGTCGTGGAATCATGTTATATCCTCAGCCGTGACCTAGCGCGACCTTGAAGAGCTCAAGGCACGTTTTCAACGGGTCACTTGCTATTCGGTAGCGGTCAGGATCGTCACGTCCGGCAACTCTTAAACATTGTCTTTCGCAATGTTTGATTTTCCTCACCATCGTTGGCATTTCTTCAATTTACTGGCAGTTACATCGTCATTGTACCTCCGATTCTACACTTACTATTTGCTGCGATGGGTGCGTCTGATGCCCTACTGTTACGAAAGCATGCTACCAGACAACAGATATTGACATGTTGAATAGATGCCGTGGGGTCGTGGTCTCCTTAGGTCAATCTACATCAGCTTTGCGATATACGCGATTGGTTTCGGCTACCGCCTTATTTTGCAGCTCACGCGCTCCGAGCATGCTCCAAATATTCTTGCTCTCAGACGCAGCGGCACAGAGCTGGCTTCAGCGCTCCTCCTTGGATCATTTGAAGCAGCATGGCCTCTCACAACAGCCCTCTCGGCTTGCCTCAATCTTTTGTGCTTCCTTTGCGTCGTTGACTTCATCTATCGAGCCCAAACGTTTCACACTAGTTCTGACTTGTCTTTTGAACGGATTGGATATGTGAATGCCAGCAGTGCACGTGTTTCAATTCGGTCACCAAACGAAGCGATAATAAAGTTGTGGTACAAACCACAATCAACGGGCGTCGTGGAAGAGCAAGGAGAGGGACGCTGGCAAGCAGGTCCGGTCGTTTCCACGACGCCAGAAGCCGACTACATGGCCAGCTTCGTTCTTGAGAACTTGCGCTCCGACACACAGTACGTGTATTACACCAACGCTAGTCATAGAGGGAGATTTCACACACATCCTGAGTATCCCAAAAGGTGGTCTATGGTCTCCAGTAGCTGCATCAAAGCCTTTTGGCCATACAACCCTTTGGACCACCCTCTTAGTATCCGAGGCCTAGATTTCCTGTCAAAGGTGGCGGAGTCCAGGGAGCTGTCTTTCATGCTGTTCCTTGGCGACTTCATTTACATTGACCTGCCAAAAAGGTTCGGTTGGAATACGGAGGATTATCAGCAAGCTTACAGGCAAGTATACGCATCTCCAAGTTGGTCACGAGCTTTGACAGAGCTTCCATGGTTGCATCTATATGACGACCACGAGATCACCAATAATTGGTCGTCAAACGGGACGGGGATCTATCAGCAAGCTATCAAGGCCTTCATGACTTACCATCACGCCGCAAATCCGCCTCCATTTCGAGATGATCATACATACTTCACCTTCCGCCACGGCGATGTGTCATTCTTCGTCACGGACACAAGACGCTACCGGTCCGTTGCGAAGATGAAGGACGGTCCGGAAAAGACTATGCTCGGCACACAGCAACGGCACGATTTAGAAACGTGGTTGACCGATGCTTCTGGATGGAAGGTCGTCGTCAGCAGTGTCCCCTTCACACGGAATTGGAGGAGTCCCGACGCCGAGGATAGCTGGGGTGGCTATTTATGGGAGCGAGAGAGACTGCTGCAGAAAATGTGGCAAACCGACGGCGTTCTGATCATCAGTGGTGTAAGTGTCCACATCTTTTCCGTTCACTGCCTGCCGCTTACTCTTGTACGTTTTATTTCAGGATCGACACGAGCATGCTACCACTTATTTTCCGCCTCCGGACAGCAATGACTCGAAAATTATCGAGTTCTCGACGTCTCCCCTCAATCAATTCTACGAGCCATTTCGTAGAGACTATACGCAAATTGAAGATACAGACATCGCATTGTATCACCATTACTCGGGTCACTCCAAGTTTGGGATCTTCACGTTCGATACCAAGCAAGAAGACGTCTGGACAATGGAATTTGAGCTGATCGTCGATGGCCAAAAAAGATGGTCGCATGTTGTGCGTCAGTCCCGCCACCCTAGAGAAGCGATGGCCATGGTTTAAGATTGAGTATGATTCCGATGGGTAAGAGGGGTACGAGATCCAACGATCAAACAGGCTGTCACTCGGCCTTGTGCAATGAGTCGTTGCCTTTTCACCCCACCTTGATTGAGCCTCTATCATTCCCTTGGCGGGGGCAGACGTGTTTGCTTTGTAGAAACCCTCCATACGAGAAGTAAATATATCAATTCACCAATGGCAACTGCTGCGCGAGGGCGGTCTCATGTACAGATCTGGCTGGCATTGATTCCATAAACCAGACGCAGGGCTGGTATCTGATCTCAAACTACGTTGAAGTAGTCGCCTCCTTCGCGGGAAACATTGCCGTTCTCGTCGCCGATTTCTCAAAATAATGAAATCCGTACCTCAACATTCCAGCGCCATAGTCTTCCCCTGGTTTTCTGTCTTAATATTGAAGTTAGCAAGAGGCTGCTTGATCCTGACAGAAAGCATCGTCCTTACCATAGTGCGGAGGAAATGTCGCCCTCCTATCCGCGTAATACCTTTCCCTCAAATCCGTCCCATCTTGCTTGCGCGAGTAGGTTGCATAGACGCTCGCGCGGCTGTGATCCGTCTTATTCGGAGCACTTCGGTGGGCCAGGTGACTTCCAAACAGCACGATGTCGCCTGGCTTAAGCGGGAGAGAGACCCAGTGTGCGCTGGCCTCCCAGTCTTCCGCAACGCGGCCTCCTTCTCCGGGAGCCAGCTTAACATTCACATTATGGCTGCCAGGGACGACTTCTAAGCAGCCGTTTGCGACGGTAGCTTCGTCAACCGCGATGTTGACGGTCAGGTGGTTGACACGGCCGATGTGGTCGTAGGCAGGCGCGTCAAGATGGGCTTTGAAGCCATTGCTGTTGGGGAGTTTGTAATTGATTTTTTCTTTGAACAGAAGCATTTCCTACGACTCCGTAGCTGTCAGAAGTGGATCTCATTGACGCAAAGATCCGAAGCAATAGGGTCTCCCCCCAAGCAAGGCTAGTGAAGGACGCAAGAGAGAATGCCGGTGCAAGAGAAAAACGCCGTCAAGAGGTTGAACTCACATCGCCAGATAATTGCTTCAGGATGTTGCCAATTACTCCACCGCGCAGGAGTTGATCAAACTCGGGATGATATTCAACAAAGGCTTCCGTTCGGAACAACTGCTGTTTGCCGTCAAGGCTAGGCTCTTCGTAGCAGAGCCATTTCCCTGATTCATAGGGCCAGCTCTTGACCTCGTTGGTCCAGGCTTGAAGCTCATTCGGTTGGGCGATTTGATGCTCTTCGAATGGTATATGTAGATAGCCGTCGCGCAGATATTGTTCAATCTGGCTGCGGGAAAGGTTGTAGTCTCTCGGCATTTTGCTTGTACCAGTGTCAGAAAGTCATTTGGTGTGTGCATGGATCCTCGAGGCTACACTATCGCTTCTTTGTGAGGGCGTTACGTTGGGGGCTCCTAGCATTGATGTCATCACGTGTAACTTTGACCATGCGGAGTCGGTGCCGCGCCGTGCCCTCCTCCCTAGTAGGTGTGCTCCGCCATGTCAACAATTGTCGGCGACGAGCCCGCAGCATCCCTCTCGGTCTCCGAGATCCTTTGGACACGATAAGAAATCTCGGCGGTGAAGCCGAGGCAAGGTCATTTGGCGAGATACCAGAGGACGGCGCACCACCAACTGATGGCATGTGAATCCCCCAAAGAGACTTCCGGCACACCAGCACACCATTCAGCTTGCTCTTTTGGCTGGTGAAGTGGGAAACTATTTGTTATTTGTCCGCGAGGGGATATGCGCACTCCTGGAGGTCAAAACATGTTAGCTACTACGGATGCGCTTCCATCGGTGCGCCAACATGCGCAGACCACGATCATCGAACTCTTTGAATTCCTAAGGGCTCAAGGAGATACGGATTACATGGGAGAACGAGTGTCGCAATTACAACATTCTCTGCAAGCAGCGCAGTTGGCATACAACTCAAGCGCGGACAACGACACCATCTTGGCTGCTTTGCTTCATGATGTTGGAAGGTTTATTCCCGTAGCGTCAGAAATGCCCGCTCTCATCGCCCCAGATGGTCAGCATGTCGGTATAGCCGACCATGAAGTGCTGGGGGAAAGGTACTTGAGGCAAATTGGGTTCAGCGAGAAGATTTGCCAGCTTGTCGGCGCTCATGTCATGGCCAAAAGATTCCTCACGGCAGTGGATAAGAATTATTACGATAGCTTAAGCCCATTAAGCAAGAAATCGCTCAAATTTCAGGTACGATGGGCTCCAGTGATGTCGGGAAGAAAATTTGACCCATCGAGATAGGGTGGTACATTCACCAATGCACAGGCGGAAGAGGCAGAAAAAGATCCTTATATCAAGGAGAAAGTAGCCGTTCGACGATGGGACGACATGGCCAAGGATCCCACAATGAAGACGTTGCCGTTGGAGTACTTTCGGCCAATAGCCACTGAGAGTCTGATCCGTACGTATGTTTCCTTTCCGTATGTCGAGTCACTCGACTAACCGGAAGATAAGGATCCAGAGCGGCGATAGTATCCCGGGGAAGAAGCTATTTCCTTCCTACAAAGGCAGCGGCACTCATTGTTGTCCATGGTCCTGCTACCGCCAAATACAAAACACACGAGCAGGAAGATGCCCTTAGCGGGTCGGCCAATCAGCAAGTCTCAGCATTACTCGACCAATTCTCAATTCGTGGTGTTCGTGTCGCAACACTGACAAATAGGGAGAAAAGGTTCGACGTTCCAACCGAAACACTTGCAACCATGAACCTATGCGATGGACCACTGCATCTTCTTGACCGTGGTGTCGAGCTGCTCGAGAAGGATCTGGCAGACGTGATATACGTCACGGTGTCCGCATTGAGCGAAGTCAGGTTCGAGGAATTTATGTGCGATGTGGCTTCTGAAGCAAAGAAAATGGAGGATCTGGGTGCCAAGGTGGTGATCGGTATCCGAGGCTGCCCCAGTCTCAAGGATGAAGGCAAAGCAATCCGGTTGACGAGCGACTTTGAAGTATTGGCCTCAGCATTTTCGTAACGAAACAGAGTATGGAGACCTGGTGGAAATTTTATGTATTATTCAGAAGCGAGAAGTCTCGAAACAGATCTAGACAGCAACATGTCCTCTGAAGCAAGAATATAAGATACGTTCAGTAGACAAGTGAAAACACTGGCCGGGTCAAAAGTGAAGGTCGGCGAGAGCTTTTTGCTCTTCTTTCGCCTTGATTGTTCTGACTGTTTTCAAGTCTTAAATGCCTTGGCAAAGTTCTGTTAGCCAACCAGTGACGCACGTGAATTGCCGACCGTAGATCTTACCAAAAGCTATCGTCTCAAAATGAGTTGATGGCGACGATAAAGGGGATGGCCGCGAAAAGATTCCTTTCCTCCAGCACCAACAGGCACAACAGCGCCAGAGTCCACGGGTCTGGCGTGTGGCCCTCTTCATGAACAAAATGCAACAAGCTGATCAGCCACAACCAGCTGTGGTTATATTGCGCTCACCGTCGGAAGACAATAAGCCCCCCGAGACCAGTCGCAAAATCACAGCATGTGTGGCCTGCAGAAAGCAAAAAGTACTGTAGACAGTATTCCAAAAAGGACCCTAACCCGACTGACTTAACGCAGGTTCGCTGCAATATGCGAGATGGCCGCCCACCATGCGCACGGTGTAACAAACGCGGCATACCCTGCGCTGGCAACATGAGTCTCCAGTCAATCCTTGAGAACGGGTTCGAGTAGGCGTCGCCCTCGGATGGGGCTAAGTCCATCATCTTACTCTGGCGCAGATCCGGCCACCACATTCGACGCAAGGTGCAAATCTTTCAGAGCGCTCTGGAAGAGATTGCCGACAAGTTGTCCATGCCAGAGCTTCTGCAAAGGTTGAAAGCCACAGACAATACAACTCGAGTTCGCGAGGACTTGCATCAAGGCGTGATGGGAGAGAAAGCTCAGTCTTCTAACACCAACTTACGCGATGACAGAGCTACAGGGCGTTGGGAGGTCGTCTTAGATCTACAATCTGGTTTGGGTGATGTTCCGGGCTCATGCGTCTCCCATATATCACCCCCCGAAGCTTCTCGACCATATCACGATAATGTGCGTTATGCGGATATCATTTCCGAAGGTGTTTTGTCGCAAGAGAGAGCGGAATCCTACTTTTTTTTGTATAAGCAGAGATTGGACCATTTCATATATCGCGTACCCGGTGATTGGTTTCAAACCCTGGATAATGTTCGACAATGTTCACCGCTCCTCACGTCGGTGATTTGCGCTGTTGGTGCACTTCACTCTACTTCCGCCGACTACGATGTCTGCTACGGTCACTTCACGGCCTTGGCTGCAAGGAAATTATTTGCCAAAGAGCATACCGTATTTGATGTGCTGGCTTTCCTTATAGGCGCTTACTGGTTGAGCGACATATCCTGGAACCTCATCAGCATTGGTAAGTCAAGAATCCAGTGTTATTGTCCAGGAATATCCAAGCTGATGTTATGCAGCCGTCAGAATCGCCACAGAGCTCCAGCTCCACCGAGCCATATATCACATTTCGGACGGAGACAAATCACGCTACCTCTGTGCACGTGTCTACTACCTTGTCTTTGTTTGCGACCACCACTTCTCTATTCCATATGGCCGATACCCGTGGACACGTCAGTGCGAAGCAATCAAACTGGGCCGGCAGCTCCTTTCCGGCCCACATAGCACAAAGGATGATCTACGTCTGGTGTATCAGGTAGAGCTGTGGTCTCTCACGGAGGAGATATCCACAACCTTCGGCACCGACACAGACAGGGCTTTGACAGTCTCAATGGTACCTGACCTTCATCGATTCAGTATTCAACTTGATTCTTTTCGTACCGAATGGAATGCACGATGGGTGCCGAATGCATTTATCGGAAACTATGCACGCAAAGGATCTGGCCTCTACTATCACTTCGCCAAGTTGTATCTCTACTCTCATGCGCTGCGAGGCTTGGGAAAACACAGCTCCCTTGACCATGACGTTTCCCAACTCGGTCTCGATATTGATGAGTTCGCTAATGCGGCCGTCCTTTCAGCTACCACCATTATACGCACGGTGATAAATGACGGCGAGGTCCAGTCCTTCATTGATGGCTTTCACACCTACTTTAACATCATGATCGTGTTCGCCGTCGTCTTCCTGCTCAAGGTGTCAGCCGCTTATTCTGTCTCAATTCACCTGGACAAAGCAGAGATCGCAAGCTTGGTAGAACGCTTACTTGTGGTCCTCAAACGCTCTATTCTCGGTCTCCACCCAAAACATCTCCTGGTTAGCATTTCAAATGGCATTGAGCAGGCCCTGAACAACTTTTCCATGAATCTGAGGCACGATCCTGGAAATCACACAAACGACACCGGTGCAAGCTCGGCGAACGTACCAACTGGGAATGCTGGGGGTTACGAAGTGTTTAGCCCTTTCATGGAGGATTTCGATTTCCTGGCGTCTCAGTCCTTAATCAACAACTTCCCAGCGGATGTGATAGGAGAGGACTTGGCATCGTAAACTTCTCCACTGGCTCAGTTGGTGTTGTCGACTCAGTTACATTACTACGCCACACAATTCGTCTTCCACAAAGGAAAGCAGGCAGCCATATTGAGAGCCCGACTAACCCGCTGAGCGTAATGGAACAGCACCTCTTCAATGGTTAGCACAGCAATTCTCGCGCCTTTGCATAGGTGGCTATTCAGAAGCTGACTCATTGGCAATGGAGCGGCAAGAATTTTGCCTGAAAATACCGCTGAGAGAGCCGGCTTTTTCTTAAAAGTTACCGCTCAAGGAGACGGCGATGATTCCACCGTCTCTTCCTCCATCTTGATTTTCAGCCACCTGCACTGACTTGGCGTTGAGGGAGCGATGTCGTCGGAGTTGAAGGGCAGCTCCTTATCCAGTCTTCTCCATCGGCTTCAAAAGGCGAATGATATCGTTAATCCGCAAGCCACTGGACGCATTTTGACGGCCTATAACCCGCGCAATAGAATGACATTTCCAATAATCATCCAATGGTCCGTTCATTCGTCCGATACTCTATGTATACAGTAGACATTTGTGCTGACTAGATCGAAGTTTCTTTTCCGGTACCTTTTTACCAATTCCAGTATTACGTACATCGAGCGACACTTTTGATTATTGTTTGCTAGCTGGTGGTGGGCAGCAGTTCATTGACCAACGATTGCCCCTTTCGCCGGGCAAGAGCTGTGCGGACCACCATCCTCGAAAAATAGACTGCAACATTGGACAGAATAGCCGTGGCCTGCAGAATTTGGCCATATGATGACAAGACCTTCAACCTTTCCAGAACAGGATGTCCTGTCAAACCATCTATAGACCACTGACAGTATCACAAATAATCGTTCAAGTTTGCTGGTGACGGCTCCTCCGAAGAATAGCTCGTACGAAGTATACGTGGGTTGTATATCTCCGGTGACATTCCCCTTGAGCAAATAGATCGAGAACGCGATCCCCAAACCAGCTCTCCGACTCTCCAGGGGTGGACTCTTGGCAGCGATGTGCCGGGCATGCCTTCACGCACGTTTCTTTTTGCATCTTAAAATGGGAAGGTTGAGGAGAACAGTGTTCGGAATTGGAGTGGTGGTCGCCTGCATTAGGGCACGCGGTCTCCGAGCCGATGCCAACATGTCATCGGTCATGGCCCGAGTACGCCATCCGACGTGACGCCTACCAAGTTGGGACGCCTGTATAGCCCGACTAGGGTATTCACGTACTATTCAGGTTAGTTGGGTAGGAGCATTTCTCCAAAGAAAGAGCGAAATGGCTTGTCCATTCCCATCCACATTCAGCCCTCGGGACCCGTCATCAACGCCGAGTAAAGATTCATATCAAAATCAAACCGACCCACCAGATGCTCGATGTAGATTAAATCTACTAGAATCAACATCAAATCGGCCTTTGCGATTTTGCCCCAGTGATTGCCGCTTCGGCACGGTGACCGCGAGCGTCGGCCAGACACCGACTGCGACTAGAACTAGAACTGTTTCGAGACGTAACTCGCGGACATTGGCTGGATCGGTGTGCATCAGCGAGACACCGAGTCAGGTTCCAATACACGAAACATATCCTCGTCGCCTGCTGAATTCAAGTATTACTGGCGTACACACAAAACACTGAGCTCTGCCCTATATTCGCAATCTGCCAACCTCATCATAGACAAATGTCGTAAGAGTCAATCTACTTGTTCTTCAGATCACAACCGCCCCGCAGACATTCAACATGTCAGCATTCAACAGCATCCCCGTCCTGGACCTGTCCCTAGCACGGGATCCGAACACTAAACCCGCCTTTTTGATTGAGTTGAGGCGAGTCCTTCTCGAAGTTGGCTTTTTGTACCTGAAAAATGTAGGAATCGAGGATGCGATGTTTGAGAAGGTCAAAAGCGAGGGGAAGGCGTTTTTTGATTTGCCAAAGGAGGAGAAGTGAGTGGTGTCCTTTCCGATTTCGTGACTGCGAGAGTGTTGCATATTCCTCTTTCCGTTAGAGCAGGGCGCCAGCACAGCCAAAAGGTCCTGTGGACAGGTTTGTATGCAAGTACCGGGGGTCCCGACTGTGAGTGCCTCCTCTGATCTACTGACGTGTGGAGAATCGAATCACGTCGTGTAGGTAAAGGAAAACCACTTTTGTGGACGCGGATGTGTTTTATGCTATGGCTGTAATGCATACTGCTTGACCAGATGTTACATGAAACTTTCGCTGACACTACTTGTTGCAGACTCAAAATTGAGATGAAGAACGCCCCTTCCTTTCTGGGCTATTCGAAGCTGGGTAACGAAGTGACGGCGGACGCAATCGATCACCGTGAACAGATCGACCTCTCTACTACTCATCCACTCAAAAGGCCCGATCAGCCATTATACATGAATATTCTAGGCCCTAACCAATGGCCCTCTTCAACCTTTCTTCCTACATTCCGGCAAACGTTCGAAGATTATATGAAGCGCTTGGGTGAGATATCCATATTCTTCACCTCCTTGATCGCCGAGGCCATTGGATTACCGGCCGGAGCATTCTCTGCGTACTTCGACAAAGATCAGCAACACAAGCTGAAAATTATCAAGTACCCCGATCTGCAGGAGCTCGGACTTGAAGGTGAAGGACAGGGCGTGGGACCGCACAAGGATTACATGTTCTCTACCTTTCTGCTACAAGCCAGTGAGCACAGAGGATTACAGGTACAGAACAGAGAAGGAGAGTGGATCGACTGTCCACCCATCAATGGCACGTTGGTGGTCAATATTGGCCAGGGTCTGGAAGCCGTCACTCAAGGCGTATGCGTGAGCACAATCCATCGCGCGCTCAGCCCAACGCCAGGAACGGGCCCACGCTTTTCAATTCCGTTCTTCCAAGGGGTGTCCCTAAACGCTGAATTCAAAGACATGGCTGTCCCAGAGAGCGTGCTGGAGCTGCGGAAAGAGATCGCTCGGACTAGTGGTAAGAGAGGTGATGATGTCGTATTTGATCTCAAGAAGGGCAAGTATAGACACTTAGGAGAAGCAATACTGATGAATAGAATCAAGAGTCATCCTGATGTTGGAGAGAGATGGTATCCGGAGCTTCTAAAAGAGATCAAAGAGTAGCAGATAAGGGAAACCCTGGGGGAGGCGGGGTCCGCTCAGAAGACCACGTAACTAGAGGCATGAACTGTTGCTGGCCGAATCTTAAACAGCAGTGGAGGGCCCAATGATTGACGGGATTCGTTGTTCCATCATAGAAACCTGCGGTCGCTTCATCATCATGTCGCTTGTTATGACTGCGTCTGAATATCACTTGTTTTCCTGCCATTCGGTCGTGATGGCGTTGAATTTCTAGCATTCTCTTATTTCGATGGTGCTAACTGATAGAGATCGTAAGCTTCGTTTCAAGCCACTGGCGACGGGGGTGACTTTGGTATATTCGACATCGTTTTCGACACTGGATTTGTACCAACCTCCATTTTCTACGGAGTACTTGTACACACTAAATTTGTAAGGGCATCTCTTTAGTCTATACGCGTCTGACAAAGTACTCTACCGTAATTATGACGTCAGTTGTTGTCAGTTGTTCACATAGGTATCGCATACCTAACTAGGCAGGTATATCGTTCTCATCTTCCCAGACACGTCTCACACAAAGGTCTTGATTTTTCAGGAGATAATGACTACTTTTCACCAGGAACTACTCTACCTGTATCTAATCCCTTGTACCAGTCAGGAGGTCAAAGGGACAGCTTTATATCGACAGCCATGACGTCTGGGACAAGTCGAAAATGCCAAAATCCAGACCCTCCAATTTCTCCAGATTTCGTTGAGCTGACGCAGAAGGAATTGAAGAGCGAAGACCAAATTCAGAAAGTGGAACAAGACGAGGGTAAAATGCAAAGCGCCGCAGTCGATGCTCCGCTCCCCTCTAGTGGCACTCCCTTTTTTACCGGTCCATCCTGCCAATCTCTTGATCATGGCCAAGAAGCAAAGCGCGCCATTGATACAATCCGAAAATTCCTTGATGAACGTGAATCCTCCGGACGTACTTACCTGGAGATCCCTTTAACCTACAAAGCTTACAACGTACTTAAGGAAAAGTACGAGGAAGTTTTCTTCGCAACCTTCTAAGTACTGTACACACCAACCACCGCATCAAATGGCAAAACATTAGATCCGCGTTCGACAAGGCACATACCCCGCGCTCTATTCATTCATCGCAGTGCAAACGGCGAAGGATGTCTCAAGTTCAAAAATCTCAGGCTTCTTCAAGCAAGGTAAGCCTCTGGATATGTCCATTTCACTGGGATCCTTTTTCCCCGCTCACATTAGTGTTAGACACAGCCTTGAGCGCAACCGGCCACGGGTTGCACGAACACGGCTCACCACACTCATTGGACAGATGGAAGGATCCACAGGAAAACAAGGCTAGATCACGTGAGATGATCTGCTGGCTCTGTCGGCTCTGTTGGCTCTGTAACAGAGCGCACAGAGCATAAGCATTATATATACACCCTCACTCCCCTAGATAGTTATACTCTCTTCGTAGCCAACTCATATTATCTACTGGACTATACAGTTCTTAGTAACATTGACTATTCATACCTTGCGTTGTTCACAGCCAGCCCATGCTATTCAAGGATTGTTGCTGAGAACCCTAACCCAGTTAGGATCAGTGAGGATCCTTAACAGAGAGGTAGGTCATTACTCGCGTATCGATTTACTAAGTAGTGAAGGGCGAACGCTCCAAAAGCTAAGAGTAAGAGGAAGAGAGAGGGTAACAGTATTCGGAATAATATAGGAAGGACGTAGCTAGCGAAAGCAGCGAGAGGGCTTCCTCGCAATATACCCCAGTATGTGCCGACTCCTTCTTCTTAAGTGGGGATACTCGTTACGCTCGGCGCGAATGATAGGCGGTGCAGGCTCGAATCTTCGTGGAACCTTACCCGTATAAGTTAAGTACCAAGTAGAGTCGAGGCTTATCAGTCTTGAAGCGTAGACTCGGCGACGCTGCTTTTTAAAAAGGCCCGGCTTTTCATTGGACATACTCGGCGCCTAGGAGAGTAGACTTGAAGGGCCAATCATCGCTGTTATTGGCAGTCCCCACCAAAGGTGAGCAACGTCAGGGTTGCAGCGCCCGTGCCGAGGCGCTAGAGTGTTTGGCCCCCACGACTGGTGAGACACGGGCGAGCCAGGGGTGAGCACAGGGCGGCATCACCTTCGTCCCAAAGAGGGATGAGCTAGGTGTCGAATTACCTCGTCTTGGCAGCTATCGAATAAGCCTCACGCTTAATACTTGGGATTAGAGCTGCCAAGCATTGTTGGACTAGCCAGATTAGGCGAGGCAGCTTGTCACCTCGTCACCTTTAAAAGGCCCTTGGTCACATTCAGTTCGCCAGATACAATCAACCCATCTATCTACCTGACCCCCAGAATGGTTCAACAAGCAGCGGAAAAACTGCTTGCGCCCTCATCCCAGTTAGGTTCTTGTAAGGAGGGTGGTGTTGCCCTAATGTCGCCTCTATTTGGGCAGAAATCCTCTTCGACAGCGTCGCGAATCTCTGACCCGTTGTCTCTGACGGCACCTCCGTATTCAGACAATATTGTAATCTTGTGGAACATTGACGCACATAGTGACACAGCGCCACTCCCAAAAATGGATCCCCCTCTGCCCCTTGTTTGGTCCCCTGGCGCAGAGAGACACTGTGGCGGGCTTGCATTCTTTCTTATTTCCACGTTGTTCCCATAATGTCACATGTAATGAGCAAGCAGGGGCTTCACTAAGACGAGCCCGAAACCACATGCCAGCGACATGGCAGGTCCTGATACCACTGATAGATTGCTCGGTGAGAACGAGATTCGCCTCGTGAATATTCAAGAAACTCATGGCGTTCCTACATACTCACTAACGACACTTGTATCTTCCATGTCTGATTGTCGACCCTATACCGCCCTCTCCTACGTCTGCGGGACAAAGAAATCCAGAATCCATATAGATGGCCAGGAGCAAGGAATATACGAAAATCTATACCTGGCGCTGTCCGCGCTCTATGTTTTCGCCCTGCAACACCGCTACGATTGGGAAAGAGAAGAAGCATACTTCTGGATGGATCAAGTTTCCATTGATCAGAATGATGCACAGCAGAAAGCGAAGCAAATGCTTCGCATGACGGATATTTACTCTCGAGCAAAGAGAGTGTTGATCTGGCTCGGTCCAGCCAGTGAGAATCTCAAAGCCTTGTTGCAAAGTTTCGCCCGGGTCATCGGTCCAGGGGCACGGAGAGCTGGGATTTTGGCTATAGGGCCGAATCTCGCCACAAGTTGGCCGGATTTTCCGAACAATCCCGACCTAAGACCAGTACGCAGGCAGGTGGAACGCTTCTTCTCGTCTGACCACTTCCGATGCGCATTTGCGAATAGACTCGACATGCTACGAGCCTTTGAAGAGCTGACATGGAACGAGTGGTTTGCACGCACCTGGACGATCCAAGAACATACTGTGGCCAAAGCTACGGTTTTCGCGTTGGGGGATGGCACATTTGTCGATGGGGACGATTTCATGGCGTCAATCCTATGCTGCACGCTTTGGTTCATGAGTACAGCTCGGCCATTGATGCAGTCTCGTTTTCTTTTTCTGCGGCTGTTCAGGTTGTTACTCTTCTGGTATTATGAGAAACCTGGGCTATGGGACTACTTGACGGGGCCCGGCCGGTTAAGGGAATGGAACTCTCGAGCCAGTACCATGCTTGGTGAACGGCGCAAGCGCCAAAGGCAACAGAATGAAGACCACACAGAGACAAGCTTAAAGGCTTGCCTTGTGCGTACCTTCATTCCGGAGTCGACGGAGGGCTCAGGTTGCAGCTGGGAGATCGATCGAATCTGGGCATTGTTCGGAATGTGCACTGATCGGAGCATACTGGAAGCAGCAGGCTTTCCTCTAGACTACAACACGCCTTGGAGAGAGGCATATCGTGAGGTTTCGAGAACTCTGATTCGCCTCGGTCATACAGATCTCTTAGGAATCGAAAGGAAAGAAGTAGCAAAGGACCCTGAGAGCAACAGGAGCTCTGCCGAGACATCGCTACCCTCCTGGACGACTGATTGGTCTGTCCCACTGAGACGCCCACTATGTGGACTCCTGGAGGATGGTCTATTCAAAGCCGCGACCCATCTCCAGGTTGCTCTCAGCGCGCATACACACGTCTCGAGCCAGACCAATATTCTCGACATCAATGGGTACTGTTTAGGTCCCATCCAAGCTTTGGGAGCTGTCTTCACAACATCCAAGGCCGCTGGTGAGCTCGATTACGTCCAAGCCGACATTTACCTACGCGAGATTGAGGCCTTCGTGGAGAAGACAGCCCTGATTCCTTCCCGACTCAAGGCACATGCCAAAGCCTGCATCCCCGTCCACGGCCTGGAATACAACTATCTGGCCATCACCTGTCGCGCAGACCCTGCCGGAGTCATGCGCGGCTTCAGCGAGATGAAGAAGTGCTCTGCACAAGGCGAGGGACCGGTCCTCGTTATCAGCCAGGACCTGCTCTCGTATAAGACGTTTATGGAACGATGTCTTGGAAAGCGACCCTTTATTACGACGCAGGGTCACGTTGGGCTATGTACTGGCCAAGCTGAAGTAGGCGATGTGTTGGGAGCCATCGCTGGAGCGCCTGGGCTCATTATATTGCGGGTGGCTGGTGAAGACACAGGTCACGGTCTGGGTGCCGGTGCCTTTGAGGTCATGGGTGAAGCATTTGCGTATGGACTTATGGATGGAGAGATTGCTGGGATAGAAGACGTCGAAGAGCGACACATTGTCCTTTGCTGAAGTCACGCATCGCCCCCATGGGGTCTTGCTATCAATGCTCATCTTCCGTCTTTGGCATTCCCAAGCGTTTCGATTTCCTGAAAGAAGCACGATCAAAGATCCTCAGTAAGAAGTCGACGGACTCCTAAACGGACTCTCTATATCGCCTCGGGTAGCGAGATTGCACCGACCGAAAAGCCAACCCGGCTTAAATACTGACCCCGGACTAATACGAAGTTACCCCTACCGCACCGGGACGCAGGTGTTGAACACCGGGGAAGCACTCGGGGAAATACGAGTTCTATACGAGTCTAGCAAAAGCTCCAAAGAGCTCATCAAGCCCCTTGAGTATTTATCAATACCTTATTTCTCAGCCATCGGTCGAAGGTGTGGCTGGAAGTGCAACGACCTTCATTTCACCATCTCAGAAGATCATTTGCCAAGCAGGCCTCCCTTTCTAACGTGTTTGAGAAGATAGTCCTCCCCTTGCTCTCGGCATGGTACCGACGATGAAGTTACCATGTATTTCAGAAGATGAATTCGTCATTTATGGAGATGTGGGTCACTAGTCCCGGCCAAACAAGCTACTTTTTCACGTCCTGTACAGGTGTACGCAAGGGAATGCTACGCCGATGAACTCGAACGACTGTGCCGCATTTGATTCGACTGGTCCAGTCGGAGCCAGGGACGTTTGAATATGCCATCTCGCGAGACCATGATGAGCCGAACCACTTCTTCGTCTTTGAGCGGTACAGCGGCAGGGAAGCGTTTGACAAGCATTGTGCCAGTCAAGAGTATCAGAATCTGCTTAACTCGAGAGTCATGGTCGGCCTACCACAGCCCAAGGTCTTGAAGCAACTGAAGCCCAATTAGAGGAAGTCCCAGGGCCGGTCACGTCGAAAGTCTGTTCGGCGTGGGAAATGAGAATGTCGTTGGCTACATACAAGTGACAGACTACAGCCTCTCAAAAAGACTATTGTACAACTAAGTCAGGTACATACAGTACGTGCCTTCACTTTAAAGAACGGAATTCCACCCATGCAGTACAGAAATGCCTCAAATACGTCCTGCGGTTGTCTTTTTCTTTTGTTTTCTTTTGTTTTGTTTTGTTTTCTTTTCTTTTGTTTTGTTTTGTTTTGTTTTGTTTTGTTTTGTTTTGTTTTGTTTTGTTTTGTTTTGTTTTGTTTTGTTTTGTTTTCTTTTCTTTTCTTTTCTTTTCTTTTCTTTTCTTTTCTTTTTGAAGGCCTCTTTAAATTCTCTTTGAGTCTAATAAAGTAGTCGGGACATTATGCAACGAGGTTGCAGAGTTAGATTCTGCCCTGAAATTGCGTCGCAACTCACCAGCCGGTGTTTGATAATAGGAAGACAGACATAAGAATGAGTCTGCTTGCAGTCGAAGTACCGAACGAGAATAGACAATATACAAGCATTGTGATATTAAGTATTCGCTGCGAGAGGAAGGGGGGTCTCACGGAAGTTATTAAAGTGCAGAGAGCCAGCAGGTTTTAAAATCTGTAAGTACACTTATTAGTCTGTCTCCTTTTTAGAAATCCGGCTTTGTCCGTTTCTTGCCTTCGATGAACTCATATATATTTCTACTGGTACGCCGTAAACGTCTCCTAGTCGCCAGCAGCAACACGATCTGAGCGCGACTAGTTTCTTCCCTTTCAATCAAGCAGGCGCCAAGTCCCGTCGTGATGCTTTCAAGTCGAACCAGGAAATCTTAGTGGACCGCCTTTGGCCCTGAGCCTCCCCCAGTAAAAGTAAATGAAGGTCAAGATCCCCCCCGCTGCGACAATCACGGCAGCCTGTGTGCCGAAACTGGCGCCATAGCCAACTCTCACGCCCCATGGCAGCTGAAAGTAACCGACAGCAAATCCGTCCATCACACGCATAAAGTTGATGAACGCCGAGACCTCCCCTGAAGCTTGGGAATAGCATTCAAGAGCGTACGCGGTGATTGCAACGCTGGACAGCATGGCGCCGAAGATGTAATTCCCCAACCGAATGCAATGCCCAGCCAATGGAGATGATGCTCAAACGTCTGTCCGAGAAGGACCAGACCAGGCACCATGAAGATGGTCCCGAGATACGTGACAGGCAAACGCGCTTCTGCCTTGAAAAGACCGTCATGGCATCTCGCGTATCTTGCAGCATTCCAGTTGTTTAGCCAGTGTCCGAGAGCCTCGCCCAACGTGACGCTTATAGCGGGGGCACTGTACAAGAGAACATCAGCCATAGATTGAAGGAAAAGGTGTTAGGAAGACAAAACATACAAATAGATGAATCCGGACGCTTTAGGACTGAATCCGTAGCCCCCAACGTCTTCTGGTGTGCCGAGGCGGACAGCCGCCGTGATATTGACTCCAGTGGCCCACCTGAAATATAGGCAGCTATTGCCCCGTCAGAACACTCCATCGGACACAATTGCTACACCCACAAGTAGACTAGGATCGGTAGTATCAGAGGTTTGATCAATACCGCCCAGAGCCTGCCAAAGACTGGTAAGATACCCATGAAGTAGCCTCTGTGGCGCCTGATTTGCCATATCCCGAACACTCTCTGCCATCTGTTGCCACGCGGCGGCTGCTCCTCGAGGGGGCACATCCCTTCGATACCAGGTTTCGTCAAGAAACAATACCACCAGGACAAGATCAAAACAAGTCGATGCTAGTGCAAGCCAGTATAGCGGACGCCACTGCGAGTCAAGTCCAGAAATCATGAAGTAGTCCAGCATTAGGCCAATGTATGGCGTGACGTAGAAGAAAAGCCAGATGCCGATCTTGCGGGCGTGCTCGTGGAGGAAGAACATATCTTTGATGTAACATAGTGTCGTTGTTTGGCAGACTGTAAGATTAGCCCCTTGCAATGGACGTAACGCATAAAAGGCCTCGAAGTTGTCAGTCAGGCAGATCCCGAGGGTCAAGAAGACGCTGGCGAGGACAGCCCAGAATACGACAGGCGCACGCCCCCAGAAGTAGCTTGGGGGAATTGCGAGAACACCACCAACTCCCTTGGAGCCTCGTCAGCCATCAACTCGAAGGGGGAGCAAGAGCGTCCGCCACAGAAGGGAGCAACTTACACCATAATCACCGCGAGGTTCGTGGTGAAGTTCATTGAGTTATACGATTTATATCAGGGACCTACGCAACGCAGTAGGTACAAAGGAATTGGAGTAGCTGAATGCCTTGTTCTATTCACGTAGTCCTATTGACAACGACTCAACGCTTAAGAAAAAGGAAGAGTTCTCTCTCAGCCGGTTCGGGTGAGAGAAGACTCTTATAGCTTCCCCTCTTTCTGTCACGTGAAAAGGGTAAGGTAGCGTTAACCGATAGCCTTGTGCTTCAACCATCCTTTGCCTTATCCTTTTCTTTCTATACCGTCCACCCGATTCGGGTGGAGGGCGTAGAGTACTTGGGGACAACGGTGGGCTCGTGACAATTTATCCCAATGAAGCGCCTGAGGCAGAACAGCAGGGAAGACAAGGCAAAGACTAAAATCCGCATTGCCCGCCAAAATCGCCGTTGTGAGTAGGACTGCGTGCTCTTTCCACCATGGCCAAGTGAGTGGATCGTTCGGATAGTCACTCGGTTGCGGAATAAGAACAATCTGCGTTTGGTTTCAGTCATTCTATGCAAGCAGCATTCGAGCCTAGGAACATACGCGACCATCGGGTGCCAACTTCAAGCCTGTCGTACCTGTACCATCTTTGGTGCTGGTGGTGAGAAGTGTACCTTCGCCCCCTTGAGTCACTTCTTCAGTCGTCATGTGATCCTCTTCGTGAGCTGTTACATGGAACTTTTCTCCTATGTCTTCGAAGTATCCGACCTGATTTTCTCCCTGAGAACTGTCTTTTTGGGGAAATCATGTTGGAAATCTTGAACAAGGCTGGCAATGCGAATTGGCGTTAGCGGTGGAGCAGTGAAGACCCAGACAGGTCGATCTCAGGGGCCTGTTAATATAATGAGTCTGAGAAGAAGCCACGTCTGTCAGAGGCGAGAACGTGTGTCTAGTAAGTACATCCCTCTCCTTATATCAGGATCTGGACAGGGATTCCCGTTTACCCAGCTTCTGAAATGAGAATAAAGGTACTGGCAAGGTGCACGGTGATATGCTGGAATGCCGGTCTTCGGGCTATTGGCTGTCGAGTTAGGTATTACCGCGGAAGGTCATGTAGAGTTCAATACTGTGCTAAACCTCCTTCACCGGTACGAATAAAGTGTTGTCCAAAGGGGAAACCCCTACGGTAGAGGCCGGACCGAGGACAATCTCTCGAAGCTTAAGGGACGGTGAACACAGGGAGCCTAGCTAGCTGGCAATACCGGTGTCTCAGCAATATTACCTGAAGAAATGCTTTTCCGAGATTCAGATGGCCAAAATATCAGCACTGTGGTTCGTGGTGCTATGGATCAAAAGCGCGATTTGGCGTCCATGGTTAGACAATATCCAAAAGAGAGGGGGAAGATTTCAAAAGCCTGGTCATTTGGTTGAGTGCAGCCGTCTCACGAGTAGCCGACTGCTTTAGTGTATACGAGGTTCCCATTGCGACCTAATTCTAAGCTATTGACAGTTTCCTTATGTGGTCTGAGGTATTAGAGACTTAACCCCGCTTTCTTACAATATCTGGAAGTCCGGAAGCCTTGCCATGTATAGTCACGAAGTACGGATCGTAGACCGTAGTCGTTCGCTTCGATCCTTCTCCATCTGCGTCCAGGGGCCTTTTCAAGATGATATGCTGATCCCGAGAACATTCGATAAAGTCCCCATTGAGAGATCTGTCGTTCAAGCATTTCCAGTATGCGCTAACGATGGTTGAGACGGGTGTTAATCTGATAGCCTGTTAGAACAATGGGCGATATACATCTCGAAGAAGGACCTACGAGTCTTCGCCAAAGGTATCCCGCATATGTTGGCTTATAAATTGGGTTGGCACCACACCGGGACAGACTGTATTGATGGTAACGTTTTCTTTCTTCGTGGAGGTCAATATCGACTCGGAACTATGGCAACTGGGTACTCACAAACTGCAAGTATGGAGCACATGCTCGCACGAACCCATTGACCTGTGGAAATTTCAGCACGAAGCCCCTACACATCACTCTCCCTCTGGCTTACTCCGGCTTTTGCCCCAGAATATTCGGCAAACGATGCAACCGGGTGGACTGGACCATACTGGACGTTGCAATAATGCTCCCGCCGGGCGCAGGACTCTGTCGCATAAAATAAGCAGCAAGTTGGACGCCGTAGATTGTGGCTTTCAAGCAAACATCCGTGCATGACAGGTCTGGTTCGGGAGGTATCCTTTGACAGATACGTCAGCTCGCTAAGTAACAGCAGATGGGACTTTCGCCGTACTGGGTTTTCTCACACCACTTGAGAATGTAAATGGAGTTCTGTCGATGATGCCCGCGTCGGCACAGAGAGCATCGATTCGGCCCCATTTTCGAAATGCAGCTGAAAATGCACTTGCTTGCTCGTGGCAATGACTGATGTCACATTGGCAAAACATGAAGTTCTGTCCAAGTTCATCGGCGAGTTTTTGAGCAAGGGCACTTTGAGACGCGATATCAAGAGCAGCGACCCTCCAACCTTCGCGGATCAGTTTTCGTGTCAACTCTGCGCCAATACCAGACTAGAGAATGGATCCCTTCCTAGTACTTCCCCCTCGAGAAATTTGCCTATGGATCTTGTGAGAGAACACATGTGGTGATCACTTATGACACCGCCAGTCACGAGAACGACCTTCTCGCCGGGACTTGACATGATTGTTTCGTTACCGGAGGACTTGAAGCAGATATCAGGAGTTCTGAAGCTATTACGAACGACATCCTGTTTATAGATCATGCAGGACGTCACTGTAATAGATCAGACATTGTCAGAGTCCAAGCACGCCCCGGTTCCGCTCCCCCAGGCATTTCTCCCCGGACATCCCCAGGCCGCGGTAAACGACCCCATTACCCCGACTATGGCAGTGGGTAGATTAGAGGTGCGAAATCGCCCGGAGTAACCGAAAGTCCACCAAGCACCTTTAGAATGTATCCGTGGATGTAAATGCTTGCCGAAGGTTCATGAAACAAGTGGTGTAGGAGCCAGAACTCACTCAAAGTTTGCCTGTTCATGGAAAGATGCTGGGCTTAAAAGAGCAGAGTTTCGTTTCGGTTCTCCAGGTGAATTTCCTTAGCAAGTATGAAAACCCTCGACGCTCCAGCGATATCTTCATTTCGTGAACACAAAGAGCATAGTCATCGACGTCTTTCTTCGGCCTCGTCAGTATGGCTACCAGACACCGATACTACCGGATAGCAATCTTCGTCAGTCGAGTTCTAGAACTAAGTGAGGACGAGTTTCATAAGCATTGGTCTTCGACCCATAGGAAGTTAGCAGGAGACTTATTAGTAAAGTATGGCATTGAAAAATATCGACAGGTAAGCACCAAGGGCCCAAAAGGAGGCAAGGCGCGGTCGCTAAGCAAGAAAAACAGTACCATACACCGTCAGCTCTTTTACCAGAAGCTGAAGCCAAATGCCCTGGTTTAGACCAGCTCAACTAGTTGGGTTTTGACGGAGCAGCCGACTTCATCATGGGAGACATTGAATCTTCCTATAAGTTTCGTCAGGACCCGTATTATAACTCGCACATCGATGCCGATGCAAAAATACTGTTTGACTGGAACACAGCCCGGTGGACTGTGGGATGGGAGGAAGTTTATGTGAAGGATGGAAGAGTTGTTTCAATGTCAGATGGGGAGGAATAGTTCGGCGAGTCCAAATCGAAACAACGTTACGTGACGAGACTGCTAGGCTAACCCTGTGCTCTGCGCAGGATCAATGCTTCTTTTTGGCAATCAGCTCGCCAGATATGTACTCTGTATCATGAATTCTGTCGGAACATGTACTTTTCTGTAGGTAGACCCACCACAACGTCTTCGCCTTCCAAATGCGGTGTGTATTCCGTGGCCCTCCGACTGATTGGGGTTGAATGCTCCATCAGATTGTACATCATTGGCCTAAATTACCGAGGCTATTCTGTATCCTGTGTTCTTTAATTTTGTTACAGGCCCCCAATCACCTCTCCTTCAGTGGAACGAACTACTTGAACTGTTTGTATCTCAAAGCCTTTGGGTCCCGTCAAGGGAGGCATCAAAAGTCAAGAAGTGTATTCGCCTGATCAATATGGGAACTTCTACTCTTTAGCAGATTTCGCGTTTGAAGGGTCGCTGCCACCAAAAATGGACTGTCATCAGCGGAAAGCTAGGCCGAAGGAGGCTTGTTTATTATGTTACGTCCCAACTTGTGGTGGAGACCCGCTTTGATCGTGCTAGCTGTTGAGCATTGAAGATCTTTGGTTGATATCCGCAGCCTCATCACCGTATCGGGTCTATAGGTGTCGATCCAGCCCCGCCCGCTAACTCAACTATGAGGGCCGCCGAAGTGCAATCTCGGTTCATGGAGGATTGTGTCACTTTCACCCCTTGCCATTGCTAGTTCAATGTCAATGTCGCAACGGTGCGCGTGGATAACCCGGAAGCAACATGCAGCTTATGGACTTCATTCTCCTTGTATAAGAGTCGGCGCTCTTCGCAGTATGGGATTCTTGAGAAGTAGGGGCGGCGCCTATTCATCCATTCGCAAGGGACTATTGCACGCGAGCTGAGAGAGCTAGTGGTCCGCCATGAAGTACCCGTCACTCGTTAATCTGCTCGCGCTGGTCGCGCTGCAAACAAACCAAGTTACTTCTCTTGCGGTACCCAGGCTACCGACTTTAAAGAGCCGTTCACTCCTTCCGCCTTTTTCGTTACCGCAGAATGACCTTCTCGACTTGACAAGAGCATTGGATATTACGACGAAGCAAGCCGGCTATTTGTATGGACCTCCAGTCGCTGGCGGACCTTATTTTCCCACTGGCGTCTTGGGTTTGGCGAAGGTCGCGGCCGACCAAGCTCTGATCCAGCTCGATGAGGCCCCTATCCTTGTGGCCGCTGCCGCAGATACAACTGACAGTACCGTGTCGGCTCCTCAGTACAATGGCCTGCAGACCTTGGACGATTACACCCTCCTTTACGACGGCCATTGGAAGGCAACTCTCCCATCTGGCCCCGTTCCGGGCATGTTGACGAATTACACCCAAGACCTACTGTTCTCAATGGAACGCCTTTCGTTCAGCCCCTACCAGGTGAAAAGGCTTAATCCCTCATCGGATACATTACAGTTCAATGTCGACGATAACATTACAACGCAAATCACAGGCATGACACTCCAACAGCTGTTTGAAGACGGTCGACTCTTTTATGCCGACTATCGAGACCAGAAAGATCTCACCCCCACCGATCGATATTCTGCCGCATGCGACGCATTCTTCTACATTGATCAGACATCAGGAGAATTCTTGCCGCTAGCTATCCGTACCAATGTAGGATCGAATCTCATTTACACGCCAAAGGATGACCCTGCCGACTGGCTGCTCGCAAAGATCATGTACAACGTCAACGACTTCTGGTTCGCGCAGTGGAATCATCTGGCGAGCACTCACGAGGTCGTCCAGATTGCATACCTAGCTGCCATCCGAACCCTCAGTGACAATCATCCTGTTCTCGCTTTACTGAACCGCATTATGTACGAGGTGTACGCTATCCAGCCGCTGGCAGAGCTCCTCCTGTTCCTTCCGGGCGCGGCAGTCGACCAGGTCTTTGCCTACACAGGCACCTCGGCGCAAGACTACACCACGAACCTATATGAGAACGGAGGTAGCGGCCGCTTCCAAGCAAATTATTTTACGGCCGAGCTTGAGTCTCGCGGCCTGATCAATTCAAATTTTGGCCCCGCGTTGAAAAACTTCCCTTTCTACGAAGACGCGTCGACCATTTATAATGCCATTCATGCATTCATGACATCTTTTGTGAATTCATACTACTCCAAAGACTCAGATATTACGGCCGACAACGAAATGCAAGCATGGGTAAAGGAGTCACAAGGCCCCGCAAAGGCGATTGACTTCCCTTCGATCACGACGAGAAGCGCCCTTATCGATGCTTTAACACACATGGTGAGCACATAAGCTGAATTGACATTTGTCCTCTATACTCGGAACAGATCTGCTGACGAATCTCCTCCTCGTAGGCTCATCTTGCCTCTACCTCGCACCACACGGTCAACACGAACGAGTTGCTCTCCGCTAGTTCTACGCTTCCCTTCCACCCTCCATCCCTCTACCAGCCACCACCCTCGTCCAAAGGTTCAACAAACGTGGTAGATTTCCTTCCGCCGCTTGACAAGGTCGAAGAGCAATTCAGCGTGGCAGCCATTTTTGTACGCCCCTTTTTTGTTGGCACGAATCGCACGCTGATGCACATGTTTGACGATCCTTCGATGCTAAGCCGCATGAATAGCGCCACTCAATCCGCGGCATCAACCTTTTACAGCAGTATGCAGGCATTCAGCCAACAGGTCGCCGCACGCACATTCGACCAGAATGGGTTGTCCCAGGGTATGCCGTTTGTGTGGAAGGCGCTGGATCCTAATGTAGCACCCTTTTCTATCACTTCTTAGGATGGCTCATTTGAGCGCACCTCTGACTATTGAATACTATGTAGTTTCGACATTTATGTGATGGGGGCACATTTGTGTTACTTTATTTTAGTTTTCCGCCCAGCAGAGAGTAGTCGGATTCACGGTTGTCTTTCCCTCCATTCCTAATTGATCACGGAAATCGCCTAGTCAGCTTTTAGGTAAAGCAAATTCGTGACAGCAACGCGTCCTTGCGGATTACCAGGGAGTGCTCCCGGAATATTCTCGCGATTTTCTCTAGGATAGGACGAAAGGGGTTTTCAGCACCGTTCGAGATATACATCCAGGACCAAGGTCTTCCTAAACCCACAAGCTCGCAAAACACCATGGTCCTACTTACGACTTCTTCGAAGTTCGAACACGTAAGCGACATCCATCGCCATGCCTAATTAGCGAAAGGCTTGATGCATCGCGACGACGTGGTTCCCCTTCCCTATTCAGGTCTCTGAAAGCTCGAGCCAGGAACCTAAGGCCCCAGCAGAGTCGACATTCAGTGTCCGCAATCTCGATATTGGGGCCTGTCGGCGTGGATTATCGTTTCCTAATTAGTTGGGTACTATTCGACAGTCCCCGCGGAATATTCCCATAAATGTGCAATAATGTTCGATAGGGTGGATTTGCAAGGGGACCGTTTGTTTCAGAGCGGAATCCTCAAGGAACAGACTCCGTCATACGGAGTTTCTATGGCTCCATATTGGGTGCTAACTCCTGAGTTGAGTTAGTCGACAGCTAGTCCATGGCGATCAACAGTAGAGTTTTCTTCCCCGCAGACCACATCCCTGTGCTTTCCTGTATCCCTATCAACAAATCATGCAGGTCCAGGGCATCAGGAACCACTTTAGGGGCTACTTTCATTCGCGGTTCTCAGCATAGCTTCAGGCCTCACCAGCCTTCTGGCAGTGGAGATACCGACCGCGTCTGATCTCCCGGACGCCACCTGGAGGCCCCAGCAGCTGGTTCAAACTGCCTGCGTTCCAACTAAACGGCGACCAACTGCTCGGTACCGGGGCAAGCCTCGTCGTCGCAAGAAGCCGTTGCGAAAGGATCTACACAGAGCATACCGTTGCGCAAGGATGCGAGGATGGCACAGGGAAGCAGTAGGAGGCGTTCCCACGTCTGTGGATCCCCAGGGCAAGCGTCCTACCCAAATCCTGCGCAAATCCTCCACCAGCTCTTCCCAAGCATAAGCCTGGAAACATCTCTTTTTCAGATGTTGTCTCTCAGCTGGGGATATTTGCAATTTCGTTTCTCCCCTCGCCTTGTTCTACCATAGTCACTTCTCAACACCTGCTGCTTCCTGGTGATCCAGCTTGAAACGTGTGTTCCCTAGCAGTGTCCAGTGTACGGGTACATTGCGACCTGCGAACCCCTCCAACGAGATATGAGTGTCTCATAACATCACACTTCACAGCGACTCTTTTTTTGCGATCCTATCACATACATCAGACAACGTGGCATGCTATCTTGCTGCTAGCGTGTCTAGTCCCCAAGACTCGCGGCTGTCCGAGACAACCAGTATAGTTCCATCACGATCGGAATCAAAATGGTCGACACATTGCACCGTGAGTGCTCAGCTATCACCAGAGCGGGCGCATACTGACTGTCGTACCATTAGCACCGCTTTCAGTTATTGCTTCTTTCCCGAAACCGAACTATGTCGATCCCCATACCAGAGGACCTGGCCTTGTGTACATGTGTATCATCTTTGCCGCCATTGGCATCATCATCTGCACGGCCCGAGTGTACTCGCGACTCTTTATAACCAAGGCGCCAGGCTTGGATGATCTTCTCGTGATCATCGCCCTTGGATTTCTCACAGCCTTGACTGTTCTGGTCATAATCGGCAATAAGGACTATTACAGTGGCCGACACGTATGGGACATACCGCCCGATAGTTTCGTCGGGGCGCGCGCCAACATCTGGGCCAGCTTGTGGTGTTATATTATCGGCATCACCTTGATCAAGATTTCGGTTCTGTTGTTCTACCGCCGTCTCAGTGTCAAATTCAGCCGGGCGTTCTTCATTGCGACCTGGATCGGCATCGCCTACAACATTTTGTATTTCGTCTCGTTCGCCCTGACGCTCCTGCTGCTCTGTCGCCCTCTTCACTCCTACTGGGACAGCTTCGACCCTGTCTGGGCCGCGACTCACCACTTCCACTGCGGTTCCGAGGGCGCGGCTCTCCCTGCGTCGTCGGCGTTCAGTGTGGCCGGCGATTTCTACAGCACCCTGCTGCCACTGATCCTAGTGTACTACCTAGAGCTCCCCCGCAGACAGAAGATTGCATTGTACGCGCTCTTTGCGCTGGGGTTCATGGCAGTCGCCGCCGGAGTGGTGCGGACTGTCCTGATGTACAATCTGTTGAATGTCGACTACGATTTCACCTGGACATTGTGGCTCACCTGGATCTGGGCGGTGCTGGAACTGTACTTAGCCCTTTTTGCTGCCAGCGCCCCAAGCTTGAAGCCGTTCTTCCGACATTTTTTTGTCGAGTCCATCAACAGCTTTGCACGTGGCTCTAGAAGACGCGCAGGGTATTCCAATAACAATGGCCAAGGGGTAGGGGCGGGCCAAGGCTCGGGAAAGGGCACTGGCACCGGCACCGGGACATACGCGACAGATGCCAGCAAAGGCGGGATGAGTGTGGACCTCTCCGCCGACGTTGAAAGGGCAGGGGCTCGATGGGGAGACGTCGATGAAAGGGTAGAATCGCGGCAGAGTTGGTTCCTGGCGGACAATGAAGAGGCCGGGACGAAGCATTTTGAACTGCGCGCCAGCCAGGACGGGAAGAAGATGATCCCCATGCGCGTGTACAAGCGCAGTGACTCCTACAACTACAACGGCGCCGAAGGGCCTTCAGACCCCTTTACGGACCCGAACTCGAACTCAGCGACCACAGCGCTGCCACAGCGGCAAGATTGGCCGTTGCCCCTGTCCACAATGGGGACAGAACCGCACCATGAACCGCGTGAGTTCCTAGCAAACCCGCGCCTTTCAACGTACAATGAAAATAGATAAAACATAAATGATATTGATGGACACTCGTTAAAAGACACCCGTGTGACATACCGAAACGCTGTGCTCTGTACCACCTAGCCAGGAGGCCTGGGCCGAGCATAGAGCAAGTCTCCGCAGGCCGGTGTGGTTACATAGTCCGCCACTCCCATAGTGCTTGGACGTCCAGGAGATCCTGCAGGTAGGTATTAGCTTCACCTGTCCCCAACCCCAATGGAAGCATTCATTGGAGTGGACACGGACAGCGGTCGTTGGAGTTTCAAACTGCAAATCATTCTGCCGGAATCCAGCCGTCGCTGTTGACCCGCGATCAACAGCATCCACAGTTCGAGGTTCCCCTTTATGGACTGCTTTATTAACTTTGGGGTAATTAGAACCTTCCCATCCACCTAGTCTTACGACGGCTTTGAGGACTTTGGCTTTTCTTAATGAGTGCGGGAAGCAGGGTAACAGTCCACGAACAATGGCCACGCCTTAGGAGCGGTTGGACACGGCCGCAGCCAGGACGTTCCCGCATGTTGTCGTGAAAGCTCCGTGGTCGGGAAATAGCCTCGCGGTTGAGGGCAGCGATCTCGAGGACCTTGGCCGCAGATCGAGCGGCGAGCTGCTGTAGCAGAAGACTTCGAATGGTATGACTTTGTGTTTGCCCAGCTCATTGAACTTGGAAGTAGAAGAACGCCAGCAGGAGAGCCTTCGGGACTCTTCATAGCTAAGTCGTCTCCTCGGTACAATCGTAGGGGGGTTGTCAAGTCAGCGTGATGAAACAAGAATGCATACATCGACCGTTCGACCACATCAAGGAGTCGGGTCTGCTCTCCGGGCGAATACACGGCAGCCCCGTGCACAAGCTAATGCCCTGTCAGTGGATACTCGATGATAAATTCGAGATAGTTGCGCTCGCTGGGTTCAAAAGGTTGGAGTGCGACCTGGACTGGGGCCAAAATGCATTGTCCAAAACGGGTTTAGCCCTAAACTCGGCGAACTTGGCTCGCTGGCAGTTGTGTGCGGCCTCAAGAGCTTGAGTTGTATGCCTCCAGAGAAGGTTATTCGACCCGAACTTTGCCTGCGTACTCGTCAGGCTCAATACCAGTCCTGACTGACGATTGCAGCTCTGACCGGGCCTGGCCTGATTAGACGGTGATACCCCCAGGATCCGTGGTCATCGGGCACCTCCCTCTCAAGGCTCCCTCCACGCCATGATCCCATCCGTTCGTCCAGTTCATTCCTGACGTGTCCCATGGCGATCTCGGAATCAAATACATTCAGCTCACCAAGTTTGAGAGGTTGACAAGGTTTGTAACAGAAAAATCAGGCGTTTTCCGCTGTGCCCGCTGCGGAAACGATGGCATTGTTTGGTGTAGGCACAATCAGGCACACAATGCGCCCACGGAGCCACGTCTTGGATGATGTGGTTGCGGCTGAAAAAGTGCTGTTTGGTATGCGGCACATAAAGCTGCGCACTGTCTTTCAACCTCTCCCAGCATCTTCAACGAATGTCTAATTGACCACGTTTGCTTTCATCAATATCCTTTGGTGCCAGAAACGATGCTTGAGGCGCTCTCAGCCATTGGCTTGGCCTCGGCCATAGTGCAGTTCGTTGATTTGTGCTGAGATCATACAGGGCGCCCAGGAAATCTATGGTTCCATGCCCGGCGCGACCGAGCGAAATAGGAGCCTGGAATTTGTCGTGAGCGAAAAGATCAATCTAAGCTCGAAGCTCAGTTCGACGCTCTATTCCCAGCAAAGTAAAGATGAGAAGGCTCTCGGCCGCGTTGCAAATGAATGCAAGATTCTAGCCGACCAAATTCTCGATCCTCTGCAGAAGCTCAAAGCGAAAGATCCCGGTTCCACCCTCCCGGCCGTTTGGGCTGCACTGAAGAATCAGAAATATAAAAGACAAAGGTTGGAGTTGGAAGGAAGACTGGAGAGCTGTCGAAACAACCTTGAATTTCAACTGAGCTTTTTAGCCAGGTTGTACACTTTCCACCTCTCATTGGGCAGAAGGTAATCGTTTTACAGTGTTGGGACAAAGGGCAGACTGGATACATTACTTACCTCTGCAGAAGGTCTCCCTGAGAAACTTGGGATACTTCACAAGCTTGTTGAACAACTTCGCCGCGGTACTAGGGTTACATCCATTAGCCGTGAAGCCCAAGAACAACTCCGGGAACTCCTGCATTTTACAGAAGAAGGTCTCCAGAAAATCAAACAGCAACGTGTTTTAGAGAGTCTAGCCTACGCCGACCTGGACACAAGATTCGAACATATCTCCGAAGAACATAGCAAATCCTTTGAATGGATTTTTGAAGACACCACCCAGGCAGGCAGCTTGAATGGCGACACTTCCAGCGAAGAGTCGTTTCTACATTGGTTGTCAGCCGGAAGAGGTATCTTTCACATATCCGGAAAACTAGGGTCAGGGAAAAGCACATTGATGAAGTTTCTGTGCAACCATCCTCACACCGAAACCGAACTACAACACTGGGCAGCTACGTTACAACCCGCGAGCGAATTACACAGCCGCATTAGTTCCGAAATAGCCAAACTAACAAGTTCCGACAGGCGGCAGAAAACTAATATTTGCAAAGGTTTTCTTCTGGAGGGGTTCTTAAACAGTAAAACAAAATCCCCTAATTGGCCTTGTCCGGGGTCTCTATGAGATGCTGAATGTGTGCCCTGAGCTCATCCCCGACGTCCTGCCTGACCTATGGGCTCAGCTGGAGTCGACGCTCTGGCAGGTAAAAACGAAGATCGATCTCTGGAAGTTGCAAACCCGGGCGGCGATGTCTAGTCTTATCAATCATCCGGAATCTGTACAAGGAGCATTGTTTCTGCTTCTTCATCAATGGTCTGGACGAATTTGAAAAGACTCCTCAAGCCGGCTATGCAGATCTCGCCAAGCTGCTTTGCAGTTGGTCCACCGCTGCACCGGACGACATCAAGATCTGTGTCTCCCGCAGGGAGGACCTGGTCTTCATGAACGCCTTCTCTAGCGAAAAGGAGATTTCGCCTTCGAGATCTCACAGGAGAAGATATTCAAAAATACGTTCGGGATAAGTTGCCCGGTGCGACCGATGGGGAAGGCAAAGAACTGGCCCAACAGATAACAGACAGAGCTGATGGGGTCTTCCTCTAGGTGATTTACCGGTGCAACAAGATGAAGCTTCTGGAGCTTATGCTGGCACGAGGTCTCTCTCCCAACACTGTTATACACACTTGCCCTGCGAGTAACGGCTTTGCTGCGGAATTGAGCTTCTGGCAACATTTCCCTGTACGTAAAATGGTTCCTGTTTTGCATGGCGAAAGCAAAAAGGACTTTGGGGAAATGATTGAAAAGGTTTTGGAATACGATGCAGACCCCCATATGTGGGTTTCGATGTTTCAGGACTCCGGAGGGGTTTCAACAAGCCGAGAGGTTTTCATGAAAGTAACCCTTGAGAGAGAGCGACGCACGACTATCGAGGTGGATGTCGGATACGGTGACTGGAAGATATCTTCACCTTTCGTTCCACTCGGCAAGGGGGTTTCGCCTCGAGAACTGATTGAATTCTTTGATTTCGACAATGCGAAGACGATTCTGCAATTGCTGGATGCGAATGCCGAGGGGCAGGAAAAGATGTCGGACGTGGACAAAGGTTGCACGCGATCAGCTGCCCGGAGACCAACAGGCTTGCATGAAACAGGATCTGGACGTCCCTGACCCTCAGCAGGAGCGGCAACTCACACCACAGTTAACCTTGGAAGAGGCAGAAGAGGAACCGTTGGTGCTAAAGTCTTCGACCCCAAAAGGACTTCGCTTCGTGGCTCGAATCGAGGGCGCAAATACCTCTTCTTTCATTTGTATTGGGTAAGTGTGTCTGCTTCCTAACTATACGGTAGTAGGTTCTTTTCCTGACTCTCGACCTCGGTATTCTTGTGGCTTTTATCCTGCCTCAGCTGTGGGTGATGGTTTTAACTCACTCGAGGACGCAAGAACCGTGAAATGCTGTGACTAGAAACTAGAGAAGAACACGTCGAGTCGGCTCCCCAGCGGAGGAATCCCAGAGCTTTGGCTGGAGAAGCTCTTCCAGTTGCGTGACGATCTACAGATTTGCCCCGGGCCCCGGCCTATGCTGAGATGGAGATCGACTGTTGAAGGAGGGCGAGAAGGGAAGGCTATGTGCACCATCTGAACGGCCCACTGGATGTTGCTCTTCCCGCAATGCCAGCGAGGCATCGCCATCTACGCCGATGGCTTGTCCGCTGGGCATTCGATATAATTCCCTGAAACCTCAGAGACCTAGGCAAATCGCAGCAAATTGTGCAAACCCACGCCAGGCGCCCCGTCCTTTCCCATGCCGTCTTTCCAACACAGGTCGAGCTGGTCGTTGATTTACCTGCTATTTGCATTCGGCATGATCGACAGGGCAAGTATCGAAGTACATACGGAGATCCGTACCCGGACCCAAAACTTCCTCCGACCAATGAAGACGCGAGATCCGTTGCGCATTACCAAAGGGTGACGACAAAGGTTCATATTAGATATAACTCTCCACGGCCAAAACGTGTCTGCCTTCCGCACGTCAATGTACAGTTGAACTCTCTTAGACCTTCATAACGACTACATCTAGAAGCTACCTAAACAAGACGTCTCAACACATCAACCAAGACAAAAGGCACTGGTCGTCCTCATCGCTATCCTCGGCCAGCATGTCTGGTATCAAATCAAAGGGCGGAGCGTCAATTGAGGAGAGTGATACAGTCAGGACGCCTGTAAGTTGCAAGCAGAACCCAGGAGCCAACGAAGGAAAAAAGACCCAGGAGAACGATTCTGACAATCACTCATCGCTCACACACGGTATCGGAGAGGAAAGCATGAAGGACAGGTACGTGACCAGTTCACATCTGTCTGTCTGTCTGTCTGTCTACATCTATATCTCTCCAAAGGGAGCCCAGAAGACAACAATGTCGCTGATTGACGCGTGTGCTGATGGGCTCTATAGGTCGAGCAGACCGTCACAAGCGAAAATCAGGCCAAGGAGGCGCGGGACGACGTCAAAGGAGCAGGGCACGCGCCCGCCGTGGTCTTCACGGACCAGAACAACAAGAAGGGTGCGCACAAGCCAGGTACAGTGACGGACTTGGACAAGGAGAGCTGAGGGCCGAGAGCCGAGTGGGGGAGAGTGGAATCAATCTGAAAAATGTCAACAACGTCATGGAGTGGGTTGAAACGAAACTCGTATGTAGAATTCGCCCGGACGCATCGTGAGCAAATGACGCTCAGAGCGCGTTGGCGGCCCCGCGGTCCAATTGATCCCCATGGGTGGCGAGTATTGAAATGAAAAGACCGTTCTCGGTCCACCAAGTCCGTCTAATTCCAGACACAATCCATGTGAAGATTAGACTATGCCATCGTCCACTCCCCCAGCGGCGGCTAGATTTCCGGAGGCGCAGAAAACGAGTGTCGAGATTGACTTCACTGGCATCTGGAGCTGAAGAGATGGTTGCTGGCTGATAGATAACCACATGTAGATACACTTCATTCTCAGAGCTATTTGGACCTATTTGACCAGGGCCATCAGGAAACCGTCGTAGTTCTTGTCCGCCACGGTCTGGATGACGACGGCGTCGACTCTGTCGTCTTTACCCACGGCTTCGATGAGCCTCCTCGTCCCCGCGATTCGAGGATCATCTTTGGCGGCGGCCTCGTCGACCAACCGGCCACGTCTGACGACGTTGTCGACAAATATGCAAGACCGGGACTTGGTCATCTGCAGCGCACACTCGAAATAGGCTAGATTGTTCTCCTTGTCGGCGTCGATGAAGACAAAGTCAAAGGGCGGGCGCTTGCCGGCTTCGACCTCTTTGAGCAGGGCGGGGAGGACCTCGATGCCGGGGCCGAGAAGGACGGTGATGCGATCGCTCAGCCCGGCGTGCGCGATGTTTTCTTCGGCGACTTTCTTCGTGTCCGGATTGACTTCGACGGTGGTCACTCTGCCGTCCTCGCCTGCCCCTGCGGCCATCCAGATGGCAGAGTATCCCCCCAACGTGCCGACTTCCAGAATGTTTTTGGCACCGGTGATTTGGATCTGCATGGACAGTAGCTTCCCCTGTCCTGGAAAAACGGCTATGTCGGGAAGACCTCTGGCGAGAGAATTCGAATGGGCAAATTCCAGCGCCTCGTGGTATTTGTTCCGAGACGGTGCGAGCAGGTGAGCATTGGTATATTCGTCAACTGCCGTCCATCGAGGATCGTGCTCATGCGGCAAGGGCTCTAGGCCTTGGTTCATCGCCATCGTGGGTTCCCGTGCTCGCACAGAGGTCTGATTCTACTGGACAGACAGATGCTTTTTCTTCAAATGGTCAGTATGGCATCTCTGGTTGCGGGAATGAGTCATCCCTCAAAAAGGCCAGTGATCCTTTTTAACCTTTGCTTCGGCCTCGGCCTTCCTGCGCCCAAGCTCGGCCGAGATATCAGGATGCAGTGGTGTTGCAAGGACTGTAGCGATGGCGTAGTCTCCGTCGTGGCTGATGCTGAGTTGAGCAATCTGCTCGGTCACTCTGCTGGGCGAGGTTGTGGAATGATCCGAAGTGGTTGAGTCCAAGTCCGTCAGACGGGTATCACAGATGACATGGACAGCACCGTCGGATTCAATTCCGACTCTTAGATCTCGAAAGCTGAGTAATGAAGCGTCCCAGGCCTTTTTGGCGGCTTCTTTGGAGGCCCAACGGCCGGCAATCCAGGCGGCGACCTGTTTTCTCGCGAACTGATCCAAGGCGTCTGCATCATTCCAATGCGGGAACCGGCGCCTGAGATCCTCGAGCTCTTGGGGAAGGAGAAAACGATTGGTGAGCCTGACTAGGCGTCGGATATCTGGTTGGAGTAGCGACGAGATTCGGTTCGTGGCAACGATGTCGGTGCCAATGCGCAGCGCCAGAGGGAAAGGGACCCGCATTCGGCTTGACACGCGTACGGCTTTGCCAGAGCGGGGGCAGATTGACGCGAGTTTGGTGAAGGGTGTTTTGAGAACTTGAGAAGGGTATTGACTGCAGCGAGGTTTGGAGAATCGCGGAAGTGGGGGACGAATGAAGGAAATCAACAGCAGACCCAGTGGGAGAGCGCCGGGAGCAGTGGCGAGAACGAACTTGTTCCACTAAGTCGATTTCAGCCATAGAATTCACCTACAGAACACATGATGAGCAGCAAGCGACCAAGAACAAAGGGCGGCATGCTCTGATCACCGTGGACTTCTACCGCTCGGTTTGCCCTCTACAGTACAACCAGACGTCGACGCTATCAGACTCCGCTAACACTGCTTCCCGTACATACAACAGATATCGCCCGCGCTTCACGCGCAACTCCGCATCTCGCAGTTGCGGGGCCCGAGGGCAAAGGCAATGAATAATATGGCATTGATCTCCTGGTCCTGCCCTGCCTGTGTAGCATTCTCTGCCCATTTTACCCCGCCGAAAGTCCAAGAGATCGTTGTACCGCCTCAGGATGAAGCATATCAAGTGTTCAGGAACGCCATACGAGGTGAGATCACGTTGTCAGACTCGTCGAGATCCATCGTTGACGCACCCTTCAGATTGGTCGTCAGCACGGCGAAGCTGCCAAAACCGAGGTGCACGGAAGCATTGCCTTCTATTCCGCTTTCTTCAAGGAGAGGACCAAGCTTTCCTGGGCACAAGTGCAGGATGTAGCTCGAAAGTCCCTTCCCTGGCTACAAACTTCATACCCTGAATATGTCGACGAAATGCAAGGTGTTGCCGATGGGGCTGGCCTCGATCTCGAATCAGTTGTCGCGCTGAATGTCCGCACCGAGATTGCCTTTGGCATGCTGAGCGACGGCTGTACCGCCGTGGCCTGGAAGACGTCAGACGGGAGTTTCCTGGCGCAGAATTGGGATTGGAACTTTGACCAGACGCCCAACATCATCTGTCTCTCCATCGAGCAGCCCGGCAAGCCCAGGATCCATATGATGAGCGAAGGCGGCATTATTGGCAAGATCGGCATGAACTCCGCAGGCGTCGGCGTCACGCTGAACGCCATTCAAGCGCCTGGCGTATCATTTGACAAGCTTCCCTGCCATCTTGCGCTGAGGACGGTACTCAATAGCCCGTCCAAGGAGGCGGCTGCAGATGCCCTTCGCAAAGCTGGATTAGCTTCGGCATGTCACATCACCATTGCCGATGCGTCGACTGGGGGTGTTGGATTTGAATGCACGGCGCTTGACGTTGTGGAATTGCCCATGGACACGGATGGCCCGTTGCGTGGCTCCTGTACTCACTCTAACCACCTGGTCAAGAAACACAAGGTAGACGGGGCATTGTTCCTCAATGACTCGCCCTTTAGGCTTGATCGAATTCAGCAGCTGATGAGGGACATCGACAAACCGTCCGTGCAAAGCTTGAAGGAGATCTTGAAGGACGAGAGAAACTATCCCACCGCTATCAACAGAGCTGTAGGTGAGAAGAGCACGAGCCAAACCTTGTTTTCCATTGTCATGGACTTGAAGCAAGGCTTTGCTGATGTCAAAATGGGCCGACCAACGGAGGGTGGGGAAGTGTTCCAACTGAGACCATAAAGACCATGATAACACAAGGACTGGGGTATCAGCCCCTGTCCACCGGGGGTCAAGTCGGGTGTAGTGCTTTTCAATCCGTCTAGCTTATGTACAATGCGTAGGTTCGTCCCAACCGTGAACTCTCTGTGTTGCAGGTCCCCTCTCTAATGCGCCTCCTTGCCTGAGATCTTGCCTGCCTTGTCTTCTTGCTCCACCTGTTGTAAGAATTCCCTGCCAACCAGTTAGGTCGGGCGTTCCGGCAGCGGTTTGCTGGATGGGCTCCTTACTGAATGAACTTCTCTTCGTCCTTGCTCGAGGCGTTGATCGGAGGTGTACTTGATTTTTTCGATCCACCGCCTCTTGTCAGCAGCCAGGGAAGACCGAATGCGGTGCTGAGCGTAGCTATGGCCAGCTACAGATGGTCAGTCGTCGAGGTCAAAGGGGAAGGCATCCCTCAATGTGGATCTAATTGTGACAGAGCAGGGTTGAGCAAGTCGACATACCCAGTGTGATCCGACCTGGCGGCCTGCGACATTGTACATAGCAACCATCTTGGTGATTCGAAAGCTTTGCGAAAATATCTGACGGTGTCGTTGGGAGGATGGTGCTGGTTGCAAAAAGAGGAAGCAAGTCGACTGCGGACCGAGTTTTTGCGTCTGAGCTGTAGGAGCTTTCATTGAACGGCCCGCCGGACTACGGCGAGTCATACCGATGGTCTCTGCAGTTTGCTGCCGTCAGGCTACTTGCACGGCCTGGCGAGACGCTACCGTACCTCGTAGAGAGACTACAGAAGCTGCAGCCACAGGTCAATCATTTTTGACGCGACGTGGACCTGAGGCCCTTCTTCATCCGTCAGTTTTTCTTTTAAATGTGAGCCGGCTATCTTGGGCGACAGGCAGTTCCCGACGTGCCTGTTGAGCATCCTATACCATCTCCATTCCCACCATGGCCGGCAAGGAAGGGGACCGCCCGAATTCTGCCTTTCCACGAGAGCAGTTGAACAAAGACCTTCAAAAGCTGGTTGACAAGCAAGATGACTGGGTGGAAAGCTTTTACGAAGGCGAAGGCCCGGACACTACCGAGACGAGCATGCGATACGCCGCATATGCGAACCGTCTGCGCACGATCATGCTGAGTGCACATCGATATGTGGCGTACACGTCGGATATTGGCGAGTCCTTCCGCCCAGTCGCGCACCCGTACCTTGTCAGAAGCGCATACGCCGTGTCATGGGCATATGTACTTGGTGATGTCGGCCACGAGGGTTGGAAGGCTTATAAGAGGAACCAGAGGCTGCTACATCCTCACGCCGAAGCAGACTCCGACGAAAAAACAAAGGAGCCTGTGGGGATGGTCGATGCCCAGACACCACAACAGCCCGTTCACGTCCCTGCGATTGAAGACTATCGGGCCGTGATGGCTCAGAGAGCCGTGTTCCAAAGTCTCGCTTCGATGGGATTGCCGGCGCTTACGATCCATTCGATCGTGAAGTACTCCGGGAAGGCACTCAAGAACGCAGCGAATCCAACAATAAGAACTTGGGCTCCAATTGGAGTGAGTAACCCGTTCAAAACACTCTTTGCTAGACACTGACAAGATTACAGCTCGGTCTAGCAGTGGTTCCCGCCCTGCCGTACATCTTTGACGAACCTGTGGAGGAGGCTGTCGAATGGACGTTCTACCAGGCTTTCCGGGCCATCGGCGGAGAAGATGCGGTGGGCAAGAGACACAGCACGGGTAGAAAAGAGGCCTTGCAGGCTGAAGCAAAGATCGCCCGCGAAAAGAAGGACTTATGATGACGAACCCAAAGCCATTGAGAAGGGGAAACGTCTGGCCATAAAATGTTGTTCATACCCAACTTCGCCCACGCATATACATATAACATTTCCACTCGTCTTGCGCCTCTTCGCACCGGCCGCGGTCGCTCCACAAGCGTTATGGATCTGCTCCGAGGCGGTTGACGACAAAGTTAGGCAGGTATAAAATTGATCTAGATATCCGGCGGGCAATATTTCTCTCCTCAACACGACAATGACATTCAATTTCCATGTACAATTCTCCACTGACTGCGATCAGCCCAAGGATCCAACATGGCAAGGCGCAGTGCGAGGGATCCGGGCCGATGTCGGATCGGTGAGTAATGACCCGAAGACAGACTGACTCAATCCAAGTCCATCTACGGCGCGGATTATGTGGTTGAATTTCCCAGTCGACAATGATCTTGCTCAGCAACACAGCTGGCCAGGCGAGAACGACCCGATAATGTCCAGACGGCTCTGCAGGATCTGTTCCGTCGCAGTTTGAAACGGACCACGGCCAGCTAGACCTGTTGAGGCGGCTTCAATGCACGACGCGCAGGGGCCTCTGCGATCACGATGCCGCACCAGCACCAACCTCTCCTCGAACCCAAGCCAAACGAGGAGCCTTCAAAGACGCTGCCCAACACCTCAAAAGCTGTCTCCATCCCCAAACCTCAGATACACCTCCCCTCGGTGAGAAATGTCTCGGTGGAGCAAAAGAACCCGGCGCGGTGGAACACAGCGAATTTGGGATTGCGACTGGGTGCAGATCTCACCTCTGCTGCAAGCGCTTCCGCTTTGATTGCTCCCATCATTACCGTCATAGACCGGTACGTACCTCTCCGGAGATCTCATACTCGGCGTCTGCGTCGAGAAGCGAGCGGTTAAGCTGGCGGCGTTCCCGTTTGGCTCAAGTCCTGCTTGGGTGTTGTCTGCTTGCATCACGTCCTGCAAGGGTTCTGTTCAAACAGTAAGTACCACTAACAGCAAGAACCAGATCTATAGTTGAGAAAGCTGCGAATGGCGCATCCTTCTCTTCCTGCCTCCTGCGCTCCCTGCGCCCACCAATCACCCGTCCCCTCAGGTTCATCTTCTCCAGGCCGTTCCTGCTGATCTTCGCCCTGTATTTCTCGACCTACACGACAGCCAACACGGTCGACACGTTTCGCTCAACCGTCACCTCGAAGCCGGCCTTCGCGGTTTCTTCAGGCCTGACGAAATTCATCGCGACTTCCTCGGTGAATATGACCGTCTGTGTGTACAAAGATTCGTGCTTCGCGAGAATGTTCGGCGCCGCTGCATCTTCTTCCCCGGCTGCTGCTGCCGTTCCCAAGCTCTCTTACGCCCTGTTTGCCGTGCGGGATTGTCTCACGATCTTCGCGTCCTTCAACCTGCCCTCCATCATCGCACCGCAGCTCGCCAACCTCCCCCCGCAGATGAGGTCGCGGTTCTCTCGCATCCTCTCCACGGAGTCGGGAAGGGTGAATACCGCCCAGTTTTTGGCCCCGGCGGCCATCCAATTGATATCCACTCCAATCCATCTACTCGGCTTGGATCTGTACAATCGGCAGGGTCGGCTGGGTGTGGGTGAGCGATATTCTCGGGTTGTAAGGGATTGGGGCGTGAGTGCATTCGCGCGGATGGGTAGGATCATTGTAAGTCTTGCAATTTTCTTCCTTTCGTTCATTCCCTCCGCCAGTTTCTCCTTTGCAGAGACGAGAGCGAGATCAGCAGCTAACCTATCGTTGAACGAACAGCCCGCCTTCGGCATCGGCGGTGTCGTCAACGCGAACATGAGAAAAAAATTCATGACCATGATCGAAGAGCTGTGACTCTCTTTGGATGACTTTTCACAACTGATCCACAGGTGTTGGCGTCGGCCTTAACGGTTGTTTCTCTGCTGGTTGGCTGTCTGTCATAATCAGTCCTCAGCATTTTCGGCAAGGGTACCTTGTGGGAGAGGTACATAGACAAAAGCTGGACCGACGAAGCTCTGTTTTGCTTCCTCGGCATCCCCATACGTGGTCCCTGCGACCCGTCGTGGTCGAACGGTACACGATACGATGTAATACCCACAACAAATCTTTTTGTGCACTGGCCGCCGGACTGGGGGCGCGAGCCGGTGAAAAAGTCTTGGGTGAGGCTTAATGGGTCAAGGGAATGGTTTTTAACGTGAGATTGGACTGGCTTTCTTCATACTTGATTGAGGATGTGAAGCGTACATGTCGAGGGCCACCAGGACGAGATAATTGGAGTAATGATCCAAGAATCTTTTCTCCCTTCACGTCCTTACCTTTCTGTTTCTCTGTCTATGTGGCCCTTTCCTCCCCTTTTCTGCCCAGATATTTCCATTCACCACTTACGCTCCATAGCTCCTCCTCACCTTCTCCCTCAACAGATCCAGCCCGACGGCTTTTCTCCACCACTCATCCCACCACCCGACAGGCCAAAAGGTACAGTTGTAGAACCAGGTGCGCCACGCGCCCGTGCCCCTCCAGATCTCCAACGGCAGCGGCGTGCTTTCCCGGGTTGCAGCCTTCTGCCAGGGTCGCAGGACATCGCGTACGACGTCCCTCGCCCACTTATCCGGGTCCTCGCGGATGGGGAACGCGTTGCGCATCGCGCTCTCGGTCTGCTCTTTCACGGGCGCGTATATGCTCCCCTCGGGCAGGGCGGCGTTGCCTCCTTGGTGGTTGGCGTGGAAGTTTGAATGCACACAGCCTGTCTTCAGGTCGATCACATGGATGTTGAACGGTTGCAGCTCGATGCGCATGTGCGTCGAGAACATGGCGCTGGCGGCTTTGCTGGCGTGGTAGGCGCTGTTGTGCGGCGTGGGCTCGACAGAGGAGACGGACGTGTTGTTCAGAATGAGGCTTGGAGCGTGACGCGGACTGGCTTTGGATTTGGATGTCGTAGTGGCGGCGGAGGAGGGCGCTGAATTGTCGGGTTTGGCGGCGTTGATCAGCAGAGGCAGGAATGCTTGGGTGACGGCGATGCAGGACCATACGTTGAGGTCGAAAAGGGCTTTTGCTTCGGGGATTGAGATGTCGGCGACGGGCATGTTGTAACCTTCCAACGTGGTGAGAGTGTCAGTCCTCTTCCACAACATGAGTTCCGAGGATGAAGAGTTCTCATGCCGGAGGATCACCCTTCCACAGCAACCGTATCCACCGTCCAGGTGCAGGACAGTCCACGCACGAGAGCGCGGCATTAGACACAGAAAACCAAACCCGACCAGGAAGAATCAATGACAGCGGGAGAAAAGAAGAAGCAGAAACATACCTCCGCCTGCATTGTTGACGAGGCAGTCGAGTCTTCCCTCGACCTCCCCATCTCGCCTCGTCAAGCCCCTAACGGTTTCCACGCACAGCTTGATACTCTCCTCATCCAATACATCCAGCCTCAAGCACTCGATCCCCAATGCCTGCAACTCAGCCATCTTGTCTGGGTTCCGTGCCGAGGCGAAGACGCGCAGTCCTGCACGGTGGAACGCGATTGCTAATGCGTGTCCGAGGCCGTGAGCCGAGCAGCCTGTTATCAGGACCGTTTTGCGGGTCTTGTCAGGTTGAAATTGGGCGCGCACTGTCTCGGAGGCCATGATGAGCTTTATACCTGAAGCTGAGCTGTACCAGCTAAAGCGTGATTCTCGGTACTTCGGTTTCTCAATCTGCTGAGGACTCAAGGGTTGGCGGTTCCCCGGAAACTTTTCCCTCCTTCGTGCACGGAGTGTGCTAGCCAATATCGAATCGTTGAGCGTATGAGCTGCTTTGTCTTCTCCAAGAGCAGATAGAGCCTAAGAAAACCCGGTCAGTCCTGGAAAGGTATTCACTGTCTATTTCCGTGTCGGGAAAGGAGAGTTCTGGGCGAGGGACAAGGGAGGTATATTCGATATGAGATGAAGTATTTTCAGGGTGAGACTCCACCAAGTTTCGCTACGTAAATTTATGTAATAATCGGGTCAAAGACACAGCCCAAAGAGGAAGGTAAATATCCAACAATGACATTTTGCGAGGTCGAACCGCTTAAAGGACAAACTTTCAACACCAGGAGCGGGGTGCCAGTTCACGTTAGCACAATTAATGGGCGAAACATGTCGATCATCACACTCGAATTGTGTAGACACCACAGCAAGCACAGCTGCGCGCCTAGCCCCAACAGCACCCCTTTCCTACAGCCTTGTCAGCCTTGCGGGAGAGCTAGTGAGTTATCGCTGTGGCGGAACATGAGACATAAGACAATGTATTCTTTCCGAGCGGCCATCAAGCGAATTAGTATCTTAGAGCAGAGTCGCTATAAAGACAATAACCTAAGATGAAGAGCGGGTTTGTATATACATCATCATACTGATGGTCCTCCAGCGCCCCCTACGCCTCGCACTGCGACAATCATGCACAACCTCCTAACGAATGCATCCAACCGCATCATTACTCATCTCCGCTGACATTTTCAATCCGCACGCGCTTTTGCAGTGTTCATTCTACCTTATCGGGAGCTTTCTGTGCTGAAGATCCCCGGTCTTTGACCTGTCATGACAATCCGCTTTCTTGGCCCTTGGCCTTCCCCATCATCGATCCCTTTCCGCTGCTGTGCGTGAGCACTAAGCCCTTCTGCGACAAAACCGATAGAATAGGCGCTGAGGCCCAAGGCCGTGAGAGACAACAGCGTGTATTTCACTCCGCGTGTGAAACGCTTCCAGAGGCCCTCCTGGGTATCTGGGCTATCCCTATCGGAGTCGGGGGTTGATGGCTTTTCGTCCGTTGCGTTCGATGATGACGACGCCACACTTGGAGGGATTGTCCCGGAAAACACCTTCTCCTGCCTCCTCAATTTTGGCTGATGTGGGGTCGGGCGAAATGGAGGGGCTGTAGGCGCTGCTGGGCCAGGGACTGGGTTCAACTCGGTAGGCAGCTCATCCAAAACCGTGGCAGCTTCTTGATCTGGTAGTCGAGGAGAGATATTTGCGGTTGGTGTCGGTTTTACTCCATCCATGGGTGATTGTGCCTCTGTTACAGTCTTCGGCACGGCTGAGCCTGTAACATTCTCTGGTTGCTTCTTCTGGAAAATCAACATGTTCTCTGTCCCGTTGTACAGCGAATATCCTGCTCTTTGCATTGTTTGGAAATGTTTGAGAAATTCTGGCGCGTTTTTAAGGCGCCCTAGAATACCAATCACATTGCTGGACTTGGGCATTTCGGTGGTGGGTTGATTCAATGGAGAAAAGTTAACCTTCCCAGTCGAGGTGTCGTAGGCAAGAATAAGATAGGGTGAATCAAATTTTCTGATTCTGAGGCTCTCGATTGGTGGAGGTTGCTCATCGTTCCAAATAACTGATCCTGATGGAGTGTGGATTGGTTCGGGAACCATCTTCAGCTCTTCTTCACGTGGAGCTTCTGATGTGATCTGCGCGCCTGTTTCGACATTTGCAGCGACGCTCTCACAGGGGCTCTTGGGGGGGTCGAGGGTCTTCTGAACTTTAAGGTCAATCCTCTTCTTACCAAAGTCGACACCCGACATCTGAGGAGCACTCCAAGCGATTGCTGGTCTCCCGCTTTCGATTCTTCTTATCACGTTCTGAGCTTCATGTAATTCTCTTCTCACTTCCTTTGCTCCTTGCATGACGTCGCTCAATTTGTGGAGAGGCGGCTTTCCTTCTGCCATTTGTTCTTTAGCTTCTGCCTGGCTTCCAGCATGTCGTAAACTCTGAAGGTCCTGGGCCTTCACGTCAACATCTCGAAGCTCAGCATGGATTTGCTTCGCCTCGTCTACGAGCCTGGAAAAATTGGGCTCGAATTTGCTAATATGATCGTCAATTGCCGGATTCGTCGCAACTCCCGGTTTGACATTGGCAAAAGAGAGCGGCTGGGGTCTGGACGCGTCCGGTTGGGAGGTGCTCGACGCGAAAGACATTTCTTCGGCCTTAATCGACACTTCTGCAGACGGTTGCGCGGGCTGCCTATGATCGGAATTGATGGGACCATATTCACTCTCATAGACAGCTTGTATATCCGCAGCTAGTTGAGTCATCTGGGCCTTTTCCAGTTCTGCATCCCTCTTCATATTCTCTGTCGCCTCTCGCAAGTCAGATGTCCGTCGTAACCTTTCTTGCTCATCTGTGAGGACGTCGTGTGCAGGAGTAAAAGGCTCTACTGGTCGGGGCTTGGCGTTGGACTTGTAAATGGATGGTGTATTGCGCAACGATTCGTCTCTGAAGACAAGCTTCTCAGTCAATCCCTTCACCGCATCGGGCCGAATATACTTCTTGTAATTCTCGTTGAAGTTCGTCATGGACTTCACCGTTTTGGCAACAATACCATTGGGATATTCCCTGATATGTTCCCAGACGTTGTTGAGGGTCTTCGTCAATTTGTTGGTCGGAGTTTCAATCTTCAGAGTCTTGGGCGACAGTATGCCTTCATTTGCAGCCTCTTTCTGTCGTGCCTCGAAGTCCGTTTCAAGCTTCGCTCTTTCTGTCTTTTTCGAGTCTTCGCTGTCCACTATTTCCTCTTTCGGAGCCACTGGCGCTCCTGCTTCTTTCTCTGTTGAGGAAAAGGGCCGCATGTATCCAGAGAGTTGACGATCGAGAGCAGTCTGCAGTCTGGCTAACTTGCCATTTTGGTCTTGAGCAGCCCGCGCCTGAACTCTGTCGAGAGCCGGCTCAAGCTTACTCACGAGTCTCTCGATCGGAACTTCAACCGCAGAGTCCCGCGCATCTGTGGCACTCACCGGTTCTCCGGTCTTTTGTCGAAACCCTTCTTTAACCAGCCAATCTGACGCATTGGCGTCTGCTTCCCCGAGGGCCTTTGCCTCGTAGGTAGTACCCGAGAACAGCGGTAAAGTATCATCTGGCTCGGGCAACTCTCTGATCTTCTTTGGAGCGGCGGTTTCGCCAGTAACGAGTTCCGACTCTGGCTGTGCACTGGCCTCTGTAAACATTGCAGTTGTGTCGATGTTGTTGCCCTTGGCCCTAGTCATCAGGTCCCGGAATTCCTGTTTTCTCGAACTATCGAAGCCTTCGCCTGTCCCGGTCGGGACTGTTTCAGTATCTTCATCAATCGGTTTCTTTTCCGAAGCTCCGAAGTCGTAGACTTTGTGAGATTTGTAGGTCTTGACTGGTATATCAACTCCATGTTCTTGGAAGAACAGGTTTTTGAAGAATGGCTGCTTTGACTCAATATCGGATGGCGGGCTCTGTACCTCTGGCTGTCCAGGATGCCCTTTCGGTTCCGGGGCTGCTGATTGCTTCTCCTGCTCAAGCTCTTCCTTTTGTTCAGACTCAGCCGATCGCTCCCTTATGGGAACTTTTCTCATCGAAATTGGATCGTATTCATACTTCTCCTCACTAATATCCAGCGTCGACTTCTGGATTACTTGCTCGACCGATCCAATTTCTGAGGGAGACCCTTTTTCGATCGAGTCTTTAGTCATTGTCGGAGTAGGGTCTGACTCTTTCATGTCTTCGTCCTTCTTCACCTCCTTCGGGTCTGCAAACCAAGAGAACGAAGTCCATGACGAATTGTTGGAAGACGGCGGACTTTGCAACCGTCTGCCGAATAAAGTTCCATGTGGATCTCGTGCAATAGCACGGTCGACAGCTGCTCGGAAAGCATCGAAGTCTTTGTAAATGGTATCAGACTCACTGGTATATTCATTATCTGACTTTTTTGCTTCTTGAACAGAGGCCCCTGTGGAGGATAATGGTTTGTAATCGCAATAGCGGTTTGCCCAGAGGCGATGGTGACGCCAAGGTCGAATATAGGTATCTTCTGGCTCCCACAGTGCTCTTCTCCGAAGAACTTTGTAGTATCTTGTTCTCATGATCCTGTGATGTCTTCTCACACGCTCTTCAAAGTCCTCGGTGGGAGACCAAGGATTCCCTGTCTGCCGTCCCCACCACCAGAGTGTCCGAATTTGGACTGCATTGACTCGATGGCTTCGGTAGATATCAGTTCTTGGATGCAGAGTCCTCATAGTGGCGGAGATGCTCGCAATATTAAAGGTCTGGGGGAATGCCAGTAGATGGCGGTGTCACCAGAAGACGGTTCTGTGTCGTCGGAGGAGGATGAGCAATGGCTGTTCCAGGTCCGACCACTATCAGGCAGACATGAGCACGCACTCGACGATACGGAGGGCCGGCACCCCGACGCAGGAGGGGGTCTCGATGCTTTCCAACGTCAAGCAAGTGATAGATGAGATACGCAGCAGCGCATTGAAGTATGGCCAATTGAACTAGCGCAGATGAGTTGAGGTGAGCGTGGGCGACGGGGAGGAGTGAGGAGGGCAGGGAGGGGTAGTAGGGTAACAAGGGTATGTAGCAAGCGCAGCTAGGTGATATCGATACGAGCAATGCGGGATGCGGAGAAACCGCGTCCCGCCGTGTATCGATTGCTGCTTGCTGCTGCAATGACTTTTCCCAGCATCGTAACTCTATAGACTTTCGGACGATGCACTCAGCACTGTGGCAAAAATCCTGTCTATGCTCCATACACCGAAAAGCCGACTGTTTGCTCTCATGCGGGGATCTTCAATTCACCCAACATTACATTCAGCCCAGAACTCCTGGACCATCCTAACATCAGAAGAGCATAAGATTGTATCGTACAACTCGTTCATTCGTCGCCTCTTTTCTTGGTGATGGTATCCACGACCCTGCCATAGAATTTAGCTGCGTTGTGTCGAGCGAAAGTGATGTCCTCAGTCAGATAGCTGGGCATCAGTTTCATCATCCCGTGGTCCCTGTCACGATCCAGAAGCGGCGTGTACAGGTATTCCGTTTCCTCGAAACTCGTGCCTTTTGCCATTTCCTGATCGATGAACAACCTGAAATGTAGAGCTTTCGAACGTTAGCTCGTAAACGGAGCAAAATGACAGCTCAAACTTACTCCCGTTACGACCGGTCTGAATGCATTCGTATGTATCGCCCTCTTCAGTCTTCTTCACGTTGAGAATAACGAGTCCCGTAAGGTCGCTGTATAGATCCTCCTTCATCTGTGCAACTTGGGCGGCCTGTGCAGCTTCCCCTGCCAATTGGCGTTGTGCAGTACTCTTCATCGCGCTGCTAGGAGGCTTTGGATTGTCAACCGATGATGCTCGTGCTGCCACTAACTTGGCTTGTAGTCCTTTGATCTCGTTTTGGGCGTCAGCGAGATGTGTTGAGAGCTGCAAGGTCGTTTCGCGCATCCTTTCCATCTCTGCTTCCTGGGTCTGCATCTGTTTACGAAGCTTGCGCGCCTCGTGCGCCAGAGGAGCGTGGGTAGCCAGCTCCTTCCTGAGAGATGCAACCAGGTCATTTGACGCTTGCATCGCGGCATCACATTGCTTGCGTAGCTTCTCCATGTTCGCATTCGCCTCGTTGATGCCCACTTCTCTGAGATTGCGGTATTTCAAATCCACATTCTCGAATTTGCGAGTGATATCCCCTAGTTTACGTCGAAGATTAGGATCACCTCGTTCAGTGTCGGATGCGCTTCCTGCCCGTCGTCGGTAAGGCGGATCCTGCCTTGTTCTAGATGTATCTCGCGCAATCGGTCTGCCTTTTGGCGCCTCCAATTCTCCACTTGACTCCTCAGTCTCCTCATGCTGCGGCTCCGGGGCAGTAGATTGAGAGTGTGAGGCCGCCTTCGACTTGGTGGAAGCGGTCGCTTTGGTGGAGGCTTTTGAAGCTTCCTTCTTTGTTCGACTTGCGGCGTGTTTCGGACGTGCTGCGACAGGTGGCACTTCTACCTCCCTTAAACCATCTTCATTCTCATGCGTCTCAACAGCTTCGGGAGCTGCTGCTGCTTTTTCATCGGCGCGCCTCCCTCTCTTAGCCTTCGGCGCAACCGTTTGTGTCTCGGCTTCGGATTCTCTGAGCGTCTCGTCCTGGTTGCCGTTGGAATCTTGGTCATTTGAGTGATCTTCACCCGCCTTTCGCTTTACGCCGGCAGTCTGCCTGGAAGAGGTCTTCTTCACTTCCGAAGGAGCACTCTTCTGCACTTTCGACTTTGCTTTTGAGGGTACCGTGACGCGGTGTCTTTTTTTGCCTCGTTTTACCTGCGTTGTTTTCGCGGCAGTGGCGTCGGTCGCGTCAGAGGCGGAGGAGAGAATCGAATTTTCATCAATAAAAGGCGCCGCCTTCTCCGTGTCAGAGTCAAGGAGATCCGCAATGCCCTTCATATCGATGTTCAATCAGGTAATGCCAGTCCCAGTAGAAGTGCAACGGGGTGTCACTCAAAAGTCAAGTAGAATCAAAACGGGAAGGTGATGTAAACAAAGCGATGCCACCTTTGGACTTGGCTTAGCCTGCGGAACATTCACTAGCCACAGAAGAAGTGGCGATTCGGCTCGCCAGCTGGTGCAGCCTCATCACACGACGGGTCCGTCTTCGGTCTTTGGAAACCTCGCTTCCTCAGGTCATCCATACCCAACAGTTGATGCATCCCGCCATATCTTCTGCAGTCCGAAATTACGCTCCATGATGTCTCCCGATAGAGGCGATGGTGCCTGGTGGCATCGAGTACTTCAAGAACTCGCCATCACAGTCCCTCTGGTATGTCGACTGCTCGCTCACACCGGATCGAAGCCTAACAGACTCCAGATGTTTGGGGGCTACTATATGATCAAGTATGTCCTGTCACAGATGAACCTCGACCCCGAAGCGGACCAGAAAGAACAGAATCGCTTGCAGTCGGCCGCAATATTACGACGTCTAGATGATCATCCTCGCAAGAACCAGCCTGCGAACCAACCAAGCGCGGACCGACCGCGAAGGGAAGATCTACGCCTGTCTCAATATGAAGAAGTCATCTTGCAAGAGCTGGTATTTCCAGAGGATATATCTGTGTCCTTTGATGACATTGGGGGTCTATCGGATATAATAGAGGACCTCAGAGAGTCGGTGATATACCCTTTGACGTTACCGGAACTATACTCTACCTCCTCCTCTCTACTGGCGGCTCCTTCCGGCGTTCTCCTATACGGACCTCCTGGTTGTGGAAAGACCATGCTGGCCAAGGCTCTAGCACATGAGAGCGGCGCGTGCTTCATCAATCTGCATATTTCGACTGTTACCAACAAATGGTTCGGCGACTCGAACAAACTAGTCAACGCAGTCTTCTCCCTGGCGCGCAAGCTAGAGCCAGTGATTGTCTTTATCGACGAAATCGATGCAGTCCTGGGCACTCGACATAGTGGCGAACATGAGGCAAGTGGAATGGTGAAGGCCGAATTCATGACGCACTGGGATGGGTTGGCTTCCTCCAACACTCTCGGTCGCCCGCAACGGATTTTGATCCTGGGGGCCACCAATCGCCTACAGGACATCGACGATGCTATTCTTCGACGGATGCCCAAGAAATTCCCCATCTCGTTGCCGAATGCCTCCCAACGTCTCAAGATCCTGAAGATTATCCTTCGGGATACCAAGCTCGACCAGGAAAATCTTGACTTGGAGTATCTATCCAGAGTGATGGCAGGAATGTCAGGAAGCGACATCAAAGAAGCATGTCGGGAGGCAGCAATGGTGCCTGTCCGTGAGATGATCCAGCGGCAGAGAGAAAGTGGACAACGCATGGAAACCATGAAAGCAGGAGACGTGCGAGGCCTTCGTACAGCTGACTTTTTCATACGAGCGCGTGGGGATAAGGCAGCTCAGGACGCCAAGAGAGACAAGGACGAAAAGGAATGGAGCACCGAGTCGTCATCTCCCGTAGTAGATGGTGTGGAGGACGCAGTGGAAGAGTTGCATCAACCAGACTAACACCTGTTGGTTTCGGTCCTTTCCCTTTCTCGAGTTGCGAGCCCTTTCACTTGGCACTTTCAACAGAACGTTAGGACAGTCTCAGGTACGGGCGTAATGGGCATTTTCGGTTTAGGCTCACCGGCACAAATACAAGAAATACACCACTTGGCTAGCTTTGTGCAGCCGCCCTTGATGCACAAAGGCGTGAGAGACGAGAACACGAGGGGAGACAAGGGCTGCTCGAAAATCAACCGGAAGGTCTTTCCCACTTGGATCGTGGCATGAGATCAAATCAAATCAGTTCAACCCGCGAGCTCTGCCCTGGTGTATTTTGGACCTGTCTAGTCCAGTAGTAGCATGGCATTGTAGCGAAGCCCCCGGTACCCCGCAATCATTAAGTTACTGGTGGATTTGGAGTGCGTCTGAAGCGCAAGCTTGGTGGCCGGGGAGTTGAGGCGGGCACCGCGTACTCCGTACTCCGTACTTGTCCAGCCTGCCAGAGGACACCCCAGAGCAACCCCCAGTGGGATGATGGACAGGCGATGCTTTTGCATGGCTACGAAGCCTATGGCCACACTAAAAATTTCCATTCCGCTGACCAGCCCTCCAAGCCCGCCCACCCACCAAAGTGCGGAAGACGGTACCAGGGCCTGGCATTCATGTGCTCTCTGCATCCAGAACCACCAGATCGTCTTTACAAGATCCTCTCCCCTCGTATTCAGTTTTCGAAGTCGACTTTGTCACCGCTTCCTCTCGACCTCCTTGCTGTCGTTGCTTTTTGGCTGGAATGCCCCTTTGCTCCTACGGCACCGTAGACCTTGCTCGCTGTACTGTGGTCTGAACCTGTTGCAGCCATGAGTGACCCAAGCCCACAGTCCGAGTCGCAGGAGGCACCTTCTGCAGCTGCGGCGTCGCAGACATCCAACGATCAACCCGCCACAAACAGCGCGCCGGCGAGCCAAACTCCAGGCCATCCCAGCTTCAGAAGGTACATGGTCATGACGAGACTTCTGCCCTCATTTCCGCATTTGCTAACGCATTGTCCAGGCAGCGCGCATCTCGAGCGTGTGGTAAGCTCACCTCCTCTTCCTGAACTTTCTTTTTACCTTGCGACGACGCGGGTCATGCGGTGAAGTTGGGTTTGGCGGCTCGCACAATAGACGGTCCTGCCTCTGTTGCAGGTCGAAAGGACGTCACAAGAGCTCATGCGGACATGTTCACCTTAATACTTTTATCCCTCTGGAGTTCGCGATAAACCGAGAACCTCGGTCCAAAAGTGGTACTTGTCATCAACATGATGCTGGCAGTTGGAGACAGGCGCAAAACACAACCCTGATCCAATGAGCACGGGACAAACACATGGCAGAAATACTCAACTTTTTGGAAAGGATTGCTAACGTGTCCACTCTGCAGAAACATGTCACGCCCGCAAAGTAGGTTGCCATTCCACTCTCGAACAGGGGGAGACTGCAATAGTGGATCGAGCTCTAACACGTCCTTTGGATTAGGTGCGATGCGACGCAGCATCTCTCGGGTAAGTACTGTTCTGTCAACCCAGCATCGCTGATTGCGCGCGTCACTGACCACCTCTAGGGTCCCATGCACGAATTGTGTTGCCTTTTCTATCGAATGTCGAATTCCCATTCCCAAGCGGAAAAGGGCCAGTGCCGCCCGAGCCAAAGATGACGAGAGGTAGGACCTGTCTTTCTCCTGGAGTTTTTGAGGAGCGTCCTTGCTCCGTAGCTTCGAAAGTAGAAAGGTTGACGACCAGGACTTCAGTGAGGCCGGCGACTCACAGCAGGCGGGCACGCCCACGGACCCTCGCCTAACGCGCCCAACACAACCAAAGCCTACTGTTGGCTACAATTCGCCTGATGGCATCCCCTCGACACAGATGTCGGAGGCGCAAGCCGCACAACAAGCTGCGAACAACAGCACCATGGCTCAGTTCATGAAGCCCAAATTCGCCCGAGCGCCCATTAAAGAAGCCGGTCGAGTAGCCTACTTGGGGGAGTCGTCAAACCTATCATTACTGGTCCATGATCGGCATGGTACCACTGACGTGGTTCACTACCCCTTGCCTGAGAACATCAGAGGCGCTCGCGCTCGCCTAACGGAGCCGGACCAGATGGAAATAGAGATCCTCCAGCAAAGGGGGGCATTCCTGCTTCCACCCCGTGCGTTGTGTGATGAGCTTGTCGACGCTTACTTTCGATGGGTCGCTCCTATTGTGCCAGTCATCAATCGAAGCCGGTTTATGAAGAGATACAAGGATACAAAGAACCCGCCGTCGTTGCTGCTGCTGCAGGCCATCTTGCTGGCTGGTTCCAGGGTCTGCACTAATCCGCAACTGATGGACGCCACTGGCTCGACTACGCCGGCAGCAATGACTTTTTACAAACGCGCCAAGGCCCTGTATGATGCAAACTATGAAGATGATCGCATTACCATTGTCCAGGCTTTGATATTGATGGGCTGGTACTGGGAGGGCCCCGAAGGTAAGGGCCTGGCGGTCACTGAATATGCCGACGTCGCCCGGTCTAACATTGCAGCAGATGTGACAAAGAATGTATTTTACTGGACCAGGGTGGCCATTGTAGTTGCCCAAGGTGCGGGCATGCATCGAAGGTACTATAGAATTGTGTACTTCCAATGAAGAAGTCAGCTAACCCTCTTCGACAGTGTGGAAAGTTCCCAGTTGAGTAGGCAAGACAAGCGACTATGGAAGAGAGTATGGTGGTCGCTTTTCACGAGAGATCGATCTGTAGCGGTGGCCCTGGGCCGACCCGTTTCCATCAACACGGACGATTCAGACGTCGAGATGATCACAGAGGAAGACTTTATCGAAGACGAGGGAGACCCGAACCATGACTATCAGGCCGATCCAGTGCACATCCAGTTCTTCTTACAGTATGTCAAACTTTGCGAGATCATGGGTCTCGTGCTTTCCCAGCAATACTCGGTGGCCTCCAAAGCTCGTCGAACCAACGCGATCGATCTGACTCACAGCGACATGGCGTTGGCGGACTGGTTGCAGAATTGCCCTCGCGAGGTTTACTGGGAACGCTCACGCCATCATTTCTGGTCGGCACTTCTGCATTCCAACTACTAGTAAGTGTGTCATACCGGAAACTCAGTCAGGCGTTGACAAACTCTACCAGTACCACCTTGTGCTTGCTGCACCGAGCCCATATGCCGCCGGCAACGGCAAAACCCCACGACTATGAAAATGTTGACATGGCTTATCCGTCGAGGACAATCGCTTTCCAAGCTGCCGGAATGATAACCTCAATTATGGAAAACCTCCTTGCTCACGACCAAGTCAAGTACACGCCTGCGTTCATGTGAGTTTCTCATATTTGCCATTCATCTGCTCACTAACCCCGTTGCAGCGTGTATAGTTTATTCTCCGCACTCATTATGCATGTCTATCAAATGCGATCTTCGGTACCATCTGTTGTGGCTGCGAGTCAGGAGCGCATCAACGTATGCATGAACGCGTTGAAGGAGGTGTCGAAAGTGTGGCTTGTTGCCAAAATGGTCCACACTCTTTTCGAGTCCATTCTCGGCAACAAGGTGCTGGAGGAGAGGCTCCAGAAGGCCACAGGGAAGAAGGCTCAAAGGGCCAAAATCAACCAACGCGATCAAGGTCAAAACCAAGCCAATGGCAATTCGAACGGGATGGCAAGCGCCACACCTATCCCCGCGCCGCCGCCAGCACCGCCGGCGAATCCAGCCAAACGTAAGTTCGACGACATCGACCTTGCATTCAATGTTGGACCACCAGCCCCTCAAATGTCGTATGAGCGGTCCCGGCCTCAAACACCTGCCGTGACACCCTCTCGCGAGATACCTCAACCACAGCAGCACAACTATTTGGGCTCACCTCCACTGCAGAACGAACAATATCTACCCCCATCCCGGTCTCGAGGCGCATCACGGTTGCCATCGCGAGGGCCTACGCGGGCCAACTCCCCGTTCAATGGGTATTCGATCCCTGCGACGCCGCCAGACTTGTTCCTAGTCACCAGAGACTCGCCAAACATTTCACAGCAACTCTGGGAGAACTTCCAGCCGGATCAGCTATTCCCTGATGGCACGATTGGGGATGTTGTAGGGTTCAGCACAAGTCCCGTCCTGAATCATGCGGTGGATCCTCAACTACAGCAACTGCAGGGACAGCAAACCGGTATGGCAGGAGGCGGGCAACCAATTCCACATATAGATATATCAGGGCAAGGACAGCAGCCTCAAGTATGGCCTCCCGGAATGCAAGGGATGATGGGAGCAGGCATGGAACTCCCTGACAGTGACGGATGGTCGACGAGCTCACTCGGAAACGCCCCTGTAGCGCCAACGACGCTCAACGTGGAGGATTGGTTCCAATTTTTTGGGATCAATGGCGAGATGGCAGGCATGAGCATGGACGGGACGTAAGCTCTTCCGATGCATGCGATGCCAACCAGTCGTTTTAGCCGTCACCGCACGAGGCACGAGCAAAGGCACCTCGCACACTGGTTCGGGCAGGTAGCCTCTTTGGCGATTCTGTTACAAGAACGACGTTTCTCTGTACAATGCCGGCTAATGATACACGTCTATGGAGCTGCGAGACTGATGTACAGGTGGATGGTGGATTGATGGATGATACTATAACTATCTGTGTCTCTGTACTATGGAGGAAATAACGATGAATCTTTGCGAATGTAACGAAACGCCATCTAAACTCTGTCGTCACAGCTGGCAAAATCGACCGAGCTGTAAAAACTGAAGTCTGGGAGTCTAGACCTCAGGCTAGGGGGGGCCTTAGACCTTAATCCGCTGGCTCTCAGACCATGCATTATAACAAACAAGAATAGCCAACCATCTTACGAGGTACGATGAAAGCTACTTGGGGTGAGGAGAGAGGGGCATAGTTTGGGAAGAGAAAGAGAGGCCTTTGTGGATTTTGGATCCTAGGACTCTTCAGTTCAGTAGTATTAGCCGTGGTTCGGTTCAGCTCGCATGGAAGTACCAGTACAGCAACTCTCGGGTATTCTGGTATGGGGTACATGTTATTTGTGCTATTCGCTCGCTTGGGGCTTGCTCTAGGGGTTTAGCTCGTCTCGTCTCGCGAAGGCACGAACAGCTACTGGTGCTACGAGGAGCAAGAGAAGTGTTAAAATCACTTCCGTTCCCTCCGAGAGCTACTGGTTACATCCCCCCGGAAATAGGTTTAAGTTTCGTGGGTACCACCCAGCGCACAGCCACTTTTATCTGGCACCCTCCCCCAGTACCTACAGTACGAGGGAGAAGAGAACCCTTCAGGCGCAGCCACGCCACTACTTTGCCTATTAGGCTGAATATGTCACAGCTACGGTCTGGGTCTGGGCCCCAGCCCTTGCCTTGGGCTCCCTGGAACAATTTAATTGCTCACTCACTCCTTCTCGAGCAAGCCAGTAAGTCACGGGCTGGGCTGATGACGACAACCACAATCCCAAACGACCGCACCAGCCAATGGAGCGAGGGCGAGGTTATTTTGCCTGTCTGTTTCTATACAAAGGTCATTGCGGAGACACACGCACAGACATACACTGGTAGGTTACCTACGTATGGACGGGTGTGTGGTTTGATGGATGGATGTAACGAAAAGAAGTGGGAACAGGGGCGTTCGATACGGTATACGCACACGGTTGATGATAGATGTATAGATATAAAGAACCCTGCTTCATGGGGGATGTTGTTCATTACTTCAGCAGGAAAGATCATCCGTGAGAAAGGAAAGGGCAAAGATTAGGGAACAAAACAAGGCGGCACAACATTCAACACCTAATCACGATACTTACTCCAGACAACACATACTCGGGAAACCCGGTCTCACACACACACACACACACACACATATACACCCCTCTCATCATCATACAGTATTGTGTCAGCACCGTTGCTCAACAACTTTCAACCACCCTCATTTTTTTTCTTTTGTCTATCTCAATAACCCTTTTCCTTCTTACCCTCATCAACCATGCCACCTTCGGTCCCGCCACTGTCCATTGCACCTTTGATCGTCACGAGCACCACAGGAACCACCATCCAGGCTCTCGACAACTTGACCGGGGAAACCTCCGGGATGGCCGCCATCATGGCCGCCAACTGCAGCCAGAAGACGGGGAAGGGTGAGAAGACCAAGAAGCGGCATTGGTGGTCGCGCATCGTCCGTAAAGGGAGACCTTGTCGCGAGATGAAGTCGCTGGAGACGGCTCCTCCAAGTCGGACTTTAAGTCGGGCCCCGAGGCCCTTGGACGAAGACATGTTTCCCAGGAGGATCCGCACCAACAGTTCTCATTCCATGCCCACGGCACGCATTCAGGCCGGGGGATTCATCGACGACAAGGAGGAGATGACGAAGTCTCCTGTCGAAATCTCCACTGCCGCCGCCACCACCTCCACCAGTCCCAGGTCGAGTCTGACTTCCAGGGGCGAGTCTTCCCCGCGAGGCAGCTGCAGTAGCGACAGCAGCTTCGGAGCAAGCACCTCTCCGACATCGACTGACGGCGTCAGCTCCAGGTCCTCCATAGACTCCCGGGGCAAGGTCAGCGCCACAGGTGTGGCCGCATTGTATGAAGCACTGGGCACGAGGGCCATCATGAAGGAACAAAAGAAGTTGGAGGACTATCGGAAACGGCATGGCATGCAGCGAGACCGGGCGGTGGATAGTTTGGTGCTGGGAAACGCCTTTATCGGCATGTAGATGGTATAACGGGGCGTCGACATACATCCTGGCTGTTTTTTCTTGTTGTAGTCCATATTTGTCGCGAATTCGGTGCTGAGGACGATTGTTTGGTCTGTAGAGCGGGCCCTCCTTCATCGGATATGTTTGAGCACCTCAATGAATGTGTTGCTGATTTTCACCATATCGTTCCTATTTCCCTGTAGTGGCACAAACCTTGCTTCCGCAATCACTTGACACCCACCGCCTCCAAGAACAGCTGCTTGTTCCCCTCCTTCACGATGTCCTTGACCACCTCTGCCATCGACTCGACTTCGATGATCTTCCCCTTTTCGTGTGAGAATATCCACTCGTCTCGTTCTTGCTCCTCTTGTCCGGCATTCTCATCAGAGTCATAACGTACCTGGAATGCTTGCCAATTCAGCGCTTTTAGCTCTCGGAGGTGTGAGTCCACGAGGTCGCTGGGCCCAGAAAACACCATTATGCCAGGGTACCCTGGTTTAGTTATGCCGGAGACGGCACTGCTGGGAGATAACGCTGGAGACGATGCAGTAGGGTTGACGGCTAGTTTTCGCTTTGAGGTCGCCAGGAGATGATGGAGCCAGATTATTACAGTCCTTGACCTTGGTAGCGATCCAGCACTTTGATCCCTGGCAGCCTGCTGTTCCTTGCCTTTTGATCCCCCAACTGAGCACGCAGTCAAATCCGAAGCGGTCCCAGAAATCTCATCCTCAAAGATACTGACGACTTGATCCAAGACCTCCCCGCCTATCCCTTCAGCACCCAGGCCGTCAATGGCCCGTCGAATCCTGTCGCGGATGTCGTTTCTGGAGTTATCACACGCCGATATTACTTCGGGAACTCCCTTTTCGGGGTATTGGTCTGGAAGCCGTAGGAGCAGGGCACTCCTCTGGGAATCACTAGGCGTGAAAAGAAGATCCCGACTTCGAGAGTCAAAGGTGATGTTCCCGGGATACATTGCCTCGAGCAGGGACAGTTCGGCTTCGAGTCTAGGAGAGGTTTCGGCTGAAGTCATGGTGTGAGATGTCGTTGGTGTCTGAGACGGTGAAAGCTGCTTGACTCGGACGACTAAATCACTTGTCTTGGCGATGACCCTACAAAGTCCCAAAAAATCATCTTGTGGTGATGCGAATTGATGCTTCGTCCTATTCATTTCTACTCAAGGGTCCTCCGCTACCGATTGGAACAGGAGATATAGTGATATTGCAGTCTCGGCTGGTCAGGATCGCCAACTAACCAGATTCCCGGGCGAAAAATGAGTGTCGGGATGGTCAATCCCTTAGACCCGACGTCGTTCTTGTGCACATTTTGCCAGGGGCTTAAAAGCCTCTTCTTTCCTCAGCTGGCGGAGCATCATGGCAAGGGTGCCCATGGCCATCATTGTATCAGGATGATCCTCCCCTCTCACCCATTCCGGCGTCTCCAATGCGCGAGATGGGTCACCTTGCTGAAAGAGTGCCCATCCAGGGTTTACAATACGTGAGGTGGTACATTGGTCCTAGCATCACAGTTCAGGCTCCCTTCATGCGACCATCATGGCAAACGCTTTCATCAAACCAGGAAGTGTACGGTTCACTTTTAGCCAATTCCGAGCAGCGATGTGCACCAGCCGATGAATATCATACAATGCTTCGGAATAACTCCCTTCTCTGCACATTGCCCGGCTTGTCACAAACGAATATCCATTCAGTGTGGTGATGGCGTCTACCATCTCTTTCTTCGAGCTAACTTCTGGCAGTAGAGACAATGGAATGTCCTTTTCGTGAAGACAGGCCACAGCACTAAGAAACTCTGGCGCTCGCGGGTGATGTCGGGGGATTTGTTCAAACAAGATGAAGAAAGGGCGGCAAATGGATTCTATGCACCAGAGTATCGTGAGTAATCTCCACAATCTTCACTTAGAAGCTTGCTCACTTTGTCCTCAGATTTATCCATGAGCTCCAGATAGGCGCTGACCGTCTCTTGGGTTGTAGGGATATATGAAGGGGCCTGGACGATAGCGAGTGGGAGATAGGTGAGCTTCGGTAGCAGGGTGGTGGCTCTGCACTGCTCCTCCGGCATTTCAAGTCTCCCTGACGCATTCAGGAAGATTCCCGTCGACTGACATCGCCGCCAATTTGGTCATCCCTAGCTACGCGTCGTGATCTGGTCGTGATGAGGATCGACCCATAGGTCGCGCGTGGCAACCACTCCATCAACGTTTCTTCTGATCGTCCGAGTCTGATCTCTATGCTCACAAGCGTTCATCATCAGCACCGTCCAGCGCTAAGAACCATCAGTCTGTGGATTGGTTGGTAAGCCACTCCTAGACAAGGGTTTTGGCGTCAGGATGGTCGCCTCCATGCCCTAGAATTCTGACCTTCTTTCCAATGCCGAGTATATCCTTCTCAGACGTCAATTGATTGGCACCTTGGATTTAGAAGATTGAGCAATTGGAGTACTCTGACTTGACTTGACAGACAAGCTCGAGGGCCAGTCAACCCCTGCATCAAGTAGAGATACAATCCGGCGACCCTCTGGATCGAAAATTGCTTGTTGGAGATGCTTCAGCTCCTCAGTACGACCGATGAACTCCGAGATGTGATCAAAGGGAGCTGGCCGTACAGGTTCTGGTAATTCACATTAGGAGACAATACGACTTAGCTTTCGCAAGGTAAAACTTCATAAACGGTCAAAGCCATTGAAGGTTGAAATATCGAAACTCACCTGAACAGATCGGTACTTCGTCTTCGCTCCACTGGACCAAAAAGGCCTTCGCGCACGCTGCTGCTGTTGCCGCTGCGTATCTTTGCCATCCCTTCCTTTTGTGACTGTCGGTATAGTCGCATACGCCTTTGATAACAATGCTGGGGAAGTAATCCCATACGCCGGCCCCTTCCATTTCGAAACCAATGATTCCGTCCGCTTGCGCCATCAGGTCACGGTGCTGACCTGATGCCATCACAGTGTTCCCAGAAGCCATGATGCCAAAGTGGACGACAGGCTGTGTTGTTGACCCACCCATGGAGCGACTGCGCTTTACACGCATTATAGAGTCACAGCCTAGATCTTCGCATTCCGTTTTGAGGGCTAATTCGCAAATCTCGCCATCTCTCTTGCACCCATCACATGTTCCTGGTGGGTGGCGATGTATATACGATGAATGGTACAAGATATCATTCTCTTGGCCTCGATACCTGATCTCAGGCCGCTTCCGCTGTATGTCTTGGAGAAAGGTAATCATGTTATTTTGCATTCTCTGCTTGTACCGACTGGTCCTTAGCTTAGCCTGGATAGCTCGGATCTCTGGGCTAGGACGAGCAAGTGTGTCTCGAATATCTTCCTTCTCAAATCCCCTTGGACGCCGCCTCCCAAAGTCATATTGGAGGAGTGCTTGACTGATGATCACATCGCCGAGCATGATTTCTTCTTGATCGGTCCCGGTCCCGTAGGGCATGCCTCCGCAGATACCGACCACTAGAGCGAGCTTGATATTTGGGAAGCTCACGCGCAAGGAGCCCGCAACCGCCGCGGCGGGAGTGGTCCCTATACCGGGCATATAGGCTAGAACCACATTGTGTTGCCCTATCACTCCAGTTGTATAGACACTGGGATCCCCAGGAGCTTTCCTAAAATTCTTGCCCTCATCTTCCCAAAATTTGTCAAATAATTCTTGCACGCACTCAGCTTCCAGGGGCAACGCACAGATCAGCGCTATCTCGAAGTCAGCGCGTTCGCGAGGGGTCTTGACGGGCATCGTTATGTGGCTCTGGTTCTGGAAAACGGTCAGAAGCGTAACAGCGAGGAGGTTAATAAGTCCTCGACAGCATCATGACAGCATGGATGAAATGCTGCGTTCGAGCTTGATGGCAGACATTGTCGCTGCCGCGCGGCTGGAAGTCAGGCTGGAGGTTATGTTCGCTAGGCTGAAACCACCCTGGAAGTCCCGACTTACCGAGTCCTCCGTAAGCGAGAACAGATGGCGTTGTAACAATGTCCGCGGTCCCACTGCATGCTGCACACCAAGAGCTGTACTTGCTAGACACGATGGAATGGTCCATTATCTTCATCCGGACATCCCAATGCGTGCTGAAGCCGAGGAAAGGTGGCGCTGTAGGCCACTGGATCGTGGTGGCCCTACCATTCTGTACCTATCAATAAATGGTCCTATGTCCCTAACATGATAAACCCTTTGAATGGAGACCCTCCTGCCCTACACACTGGTCGTCGCACTTGGGGAGATGGGAAGCATCGAATGTACATTCGTAAGGAACATGCTCGCAATCATCTCGGTGTTCGTATACAACAAGCCCCCGACCGCACCTTGGCAGTGATCTCGGGATTCGTGCAGCTATTACCTAAATATATTGCTGTCTACTGACCATCGCCGTTTGAGCTGGGTTCTGCATCGGACTTGTGGATTTCCCGCTTCTCGAGAAATGCATTTCTTGAGCCTCGCACTATTCGCAAGGCTCGTTTCCGCGGCAACTCCTCGGGTCCCCAAAGTCAACTTCCACCTTTTTACTCTTTTCATAGCCATGATTGGCGTTGCTACTTCTCGCTCCTATCGAGCCCGCGCGGCATGACGGAAGAGCTATGCGCTGTTAAGACTGAAGAGGTGGTCAGACCCTGCAAAGGGCAATATCTCGAGTGCTCCCTCCTCGGGTGGGTTTTGTGGCGGGCTGATGCGACCAGCCGTGGTCCTCGCAACCAAGACCGCATGTTTTTGTATCAACCCAACATCCGGATTTTGAGGCGTCCTAAGATGCTTTTTCATCCTTCAAAAAGGCGTTTGCGCCTTACTGGAGGTGCTCCTCCTCTCAAAAGACACTCCATCAACTTTTGCAGAGCTGGTTGAGTCGAACAATTGGAGAGAAGGATAATCACTTCCCCGGGGGCGTTGACAGAGGTGCCTCTACTTCAATATTGGACAGACGACTGGGATACTATATTAGGATTGTCGCATGCGTGCCATACCATTCTTTACGGGTCTCCTCTCCCCGATACAGAGGCGAGACACTTAGTAAGTAGTTATCCTGTCCACAGCCTTGCTACTCTTTGGTGCATTCACCAAAAACAATTCATTACCCGCCCTAACAGCCTCGACCACCAGCGACGATGGACAGTATACCCAAGTCGTACAAGCTACGACGTGGACATACTCTCCGTCCTACTATACGTCATATCTCTCGACGGAAATCATCACCATAACATCATACGTCCCATGTCCTGTTCTCACTAGCTACACCACAGTCTACAAGTGCTCGACCTGCGGCGCGTGCGATGACTGTGCCCCCACTGCGCAGACCACATGTGAGCCGAAGCTCTGCTCCACTCACATCGACAACGTTGTCGAAGCAACGACCACGCCTTACGGATCGGGCGAATATGCCATCGCATATGTAACGAGCTACGGTGGCGCACAGGCTGAGACGATGAGTATTCCTGCGTCCTTGTGTACCGCCTACGAGCAAATCGACCTCAACGGCTTTGATTGCCGGAGCCTCCCTGCATGTGGCGGTTCGAGCCCAAGCGGACTCACATGCGAAGCAAAACCGTGCACCACGTGTATCGATGAGGACGAGGACGGCGAGTACGAAACCCTCACCGAGGGCACACAATACTTCTTCACCGACTTCGCCCGACTTACCGTGAACGGCCAGGTTACATCCACGCCTGCAAGTCTGTGCGAGCTCCTAACCATACCGACGCCGTGGAACGTCCAGCCCACACTCGCCTGTGGCTACGACAATGACGCCGGGCCTGGCGAAAACAACAACGCCCAAGGCGCCCAAGCCATAACCTACACTTACACGACGAACGGAGCGACCATTGTCGTCGCCACCACCTTGCCCTCGCACGGGGGCCCGTTCCATCTCACGGGCAATGGCGGGGGAGCTCGAGTCGGCGGGGAGCTCGGCAGGAACGTGCTCTTTTGGATGTGGATTGGCAGTGCGCTTGTCGCGGGTGTGGGGATGATTGTTCTTTGAACCCCAAGAAGGCGCATGTGATAATATGATTGACGCCGGAAGGGGACTTTTCATGCATTTGTATGGGATATTGCAATGGCAATGGCAAGAGCAAGGGCAATGGCCATGGGAAATGGATGCGGACTTCATGCAATGAATAATGTCGGGGCAAACGGACTGGGAAAATAATCTGTACGTGAACGGACGGCCAGGGTGGATGTCTCTATTACTATACCAAGCAGGTTGGTTCTCGAAGGAAGGAAGGGCACGTTCACCTAATCTCAATGTTGAAGTTTTGGGCAATGGATTTGAATGGGTCGGGATGGCATAGAAACTATTTTTGTTATTCTTGTTCTCGTCTTTGTTTTGGGTTGTTGAAATATTCAAATTTGAAAACTCTGGTGAGTTGTGCTGAGAGGGGCGGTGGGCGCTCATTTATCCTAACTGTCTGTAGTTGCAATGGCTTTGCACAAAACATTCCAAGTCGAGTATCGAGTACCGCGTATCGAGCATTGCGTGTGGCTGGACTGGGCTGGCTGGCTTCCCTTTTCATCCTCGCTGAAATCAATCCATACGGTCCGGGCCATCCATTCCGCGTCTTTTGAGGGGATTTTGCCTAACATTTCCACCAAGATATGCCCTTTATTCGCCAAAAAACGTCATTCCAAAACTCCCCAGAGCCTTTTCATGCACTGTGGACGGGAACTAGGCAAGCACCGCAAGCAAAGTACTGTAGGTTGATAGGTGCGTAGGTAGGAGGTATGACCTGGACTCTTCTTCGCGCCATTGCGTGGTTGTTTTTCTTTCGCGGAGCCTCCAATACTGACTGCACTTGCCGTACCCGCGGTGGCTTTGAAGATTATGAAGCTGGGGATGTCCAGAAGACCAATGGCAGGTTTTGGGCCTTTGTGTCTCATCACAGCTCTTCCTGCAATTCCCGGATCTTGTAGTAGATTTCCCTCAAGGTCTCTTCTTTACCAACCTATTCCGAGTGAGTCAGTAGGACAGACGAAATTGAGCCGAATCAAAACAAAAGGATGAGTCTTGAGAGCAGCGTTCGTGAGAGGGCGTTCGCAGATGTCTTACCTTTATCTGAAATCCCGTTGGTTTCCCTCCCTCCAGACCGGTGAGATGCATAGTCTTCCCACTCGGTTCTTTGCCATCGTGCGTGCCCACGTTCATCTCTTTGAATACCGGCGTGTTGAGCAGTAGACGATGTGTGCCCATCGCCCGCATGATCAGTCGTCCTCTGCGTTCAAGAGTCATAGACGATTCAGGTTCGCCTCCGTCGATTGCAGCTTCGATATCTTCCTCAGTTGCGTCTCCAGATTCGTTTTCATCTTTGGTCTCTTTGCCTGCTGCATTCTTGTCATCCGTGGTAAGGGTCTGCTCCGTTGATCTTGCTTCATATCGCATGTTGATCTTGAAGTCTCCTAGGCCGCTTTCTTTCCATTCCCTGTCAAAGTGATATAACTTCGCCCGACAGCTGAAGATGGTTTTCTCGTCTTCTTCTCCTGTGTTGACTAGCACGATTGTCAGTTAGCAAATCGCCCTCACATGTAATAGAACAGGACTTACGCTCTTGCTCGTGGAATCTCGGATCTTGCTCGACTTCTTCCCCAGGTTGCTGGGCTTCGTCGTTTTCACCTCCGTCTTCACTTTCTTCCTCTTCTTCATTTGATTTTGCTCCGAACGGTTTGGGTTTTCCAAACGCGCCCGCCGTCCCCGAGGGAGCAGCAAATGGAGAGATGCCCGAACCAAGTGGCTTCGCAGCACTTCCAAATCCGCTTCCACCTCCAAATCCAGCAGCTGAGCCAAATCCGCCTCCTGAACCAAACCCTGACATGGGCTTACTTGCAAACAGTGATGCACCTCCGAACCCGCCAGAAGTCGACGCAAAGCCGCTCGTTCCTCTGCTGTCACCAAATCCACCACCAGCTTTGGCGGCTGCGCCTACAGCTCCGAAAGGTGACTTTTCGGACGCAGCGAATGCAGATAGGCTGGAAGAAGCGAAAGCAGAGTTTGAAGTGCCGTTACCAGGAGATGAAGTTGATTCGACCTCCTTCTCGGGTGATTTGGGCGATTTGAAGCTACTGAATGGAGATGCCGTTGACGTGTTAGCAAAGCCAGATGATACTGAGATCTGCGATTTAGCTGCTTGTTCTGGCGGCGGAATGGTTTTGGTCGAAGGCTCTGTAGCAGCCGGCTGCTTCTCCGAGATAGAGGCAACATTAGGTAGTCTAACCTCTGCTGTTGCATCTTCCAGGCCCGGTACACTAGCTGCTGTGTCCATTTCCTCCTTTGAAGGCGCCGAAACTAGGACCCCAGGCCCGCCTGGAGACTGTTGCGCCTCTGCATCACTCTCTTCCAGGACTGGACTCGCCATGTCCTCGTATTTTTCAAACGTCTGTATCTCCTCATCGTTCCCTGAGATCTCCCGGGATCTCATTCTCTTGTGCTGGCTTCCCTTCTTTGGCAAAGGAGGGCCTCCGTTCTCGACACCAGGTCCAGACTCTTCGTTCTGCAAATCTTCAAAGGATCGTTTCTTGGAAGGCCGGCCTCGTACCAGTCCGTTTTCGCTTTGCAACTCAGGCGCAGTTTCGACACCTGTGGCGTCGCCCACAAGATGGTCCCCAATCTCCCCAGGCTTTGCCTTGGAGTATTGTGAAAGTCCTGCGATTGATGTCTTCTTCAGTTTCTCCCGCGCGGTGCGTTCGCCCCCCTCACCGTCTGAACTCCCATCTTGAGGCGGCAGATCTTGTATGACTGTGTCTTCTGTGGATTCCTGACGCGATGGCAGATTTTCTCCTTGATCGCTCGTAGACATCGTGTGTGATCAGGATGATAGTAGGCGGGTTCTTGTTGATGGAAAATCCTGTAGCTCGTGTGGTGCTGCGAGGCCTCCAGGAAGCGGGATCTCACAGAGACAATCCTCCTTCGCGATAGATGTTTCCGCTTCGGTCGCCGCAGATGTCGAGGTTGGGACAGATGGATGTGCGATGAGTTCTCGGTCTTCAGATTCGGTTAGGCCACGAAACCCCACATGGACCCGGTCCAGATATCCTTGAATGAACGGAGTACTTGCTCCGAGTTCGAAAGAAAGGCAGAGAGGCTGCTCGTGATTGAGGCGCCAGAAGGCTCGAGAGGCGGTGCGAGAGCGGCGGTTGACCTCAGTGGCTTGATGAACGAAATCAGGTAGCCGACAGCGCCTGTTGCAAAGTGTTCACCAGCAATATGAGGCTGTTGGAGTACACCCGGAGCGTGCAGTATCCGTCGGAAGCGACAATGAAAAGAGACGCTGGAATCCAGAGATGGATACGCAGTCAAGGGGATGGGCGGTCGGCACAAAAGATATTGGTATCGATACGATGAAGCGGCTCAAGGCATGCCAGGCCCCTTCTCGCCCTGCTCCGCACAATCACACTCACAAAGGCCTCTTCCGCCCCACCCACGCCAATGTCGTCAGGCCTTACTAGAAGCAAAACTTCGAGATGCTACTGTCCTATCGAAGTCCAATTTTCTGCATCAGAGGCCAGAATACTATGGTGTCAGTGCGGGCGATTCACCAGTAAACCCGCTTCCTAAAATCTAACTAATAAAACAAAGACAGCCGAGACTGACATAGAAGACAAAGAGAGGATAGACGCTTAAAGCCACCCTATTCTTGACAACCCCTGATCCTCCGAGGATACTAACTCCGGCTGCAAGTGACCATGCAACAAGGACAATGTAGACAGGAATGCGCGCAATAGTCGGTAAGCCAACGGCACTGAGTAGGGCAGCAATGGTCAGGGGGAAGAGGGTATACCCAATGATGGAGACGGATTGCATGAAAGAACTAGAACTGAGTCAGCACAGCTAGTATGAGGGGACAACAAGTTCTCACATGTTCCCTCCGAGCAGTTTGATCTGAAGGGTCACCACAGCCTCGCCGATCCAGACCAGGGAGAAGACACCGGAAAAGACCAGGTCGGTTTGGCCTTTGCTGGCACGCATGGAGAGGAAGACGCTCAACAGCAGGCAGAATATTAGAGGCCCCCTAAGCAAAGCTGTCAGCATGCTTCTCCTAAATGAGAGAGGTCTTTCCAGGGTAACTCACCATAGATCCCAATCTCTTAGACCCTCACTCATTCCTCCCTGCAAGATTCCATCTGCGTCCGGCCAGCGTCCCAAGAGCCCTCTAAGATCTCTTCCAAACCCTCCTCCTTGATTCTCGACATCACCCATGCCGGTGCCTTGTCTCTGGAGCATGCCTCCTAGTAAATACTTGGGGTAGAGGACTTGCTCCATTTTCTCCCGTACTGCGAACAAGTCTCGAGATACTGTGTCCCAAACACTCTCATCAATGGTATTTTGTGGCGCATGTCTGTCTTCGCCGGGTATTCTAGAAGTCAAATAACTTTGATTCAGAGGCGCGCTGGAAGATGACGATTGAATGTTGCCCGTTAAAGGGGTGCGATCGGTAGTGTTGTAGGAGGGTTCGTCAGGTTCGACTTCTGTAGAAAATAAGCCTCTGGCCTTAAGAGATCGAGTCGGGCTACCCACCATCATTGAGGAAGTCATCGTCGAGTACTGCATGATCATCGTCGTAAGAGTTTCTTGACATTCCGCTGGCCATATTTGCTAGGGTGTTAACGCCTGCAATCGAAAAGGGTGCCTGGCTGCACTGGCTGAGAGGAGTAGCAGCGAATTGTCGCGCAATCAGGATATCATATGGAGCATATCAGGTCGGAGATCTACGATTGAGCAAAATGGACGCGGTTGTAATAACAGACTTGAAGAAGAGGGTCTGGTAGCATGACGGTCGACGCAAGCTGTGACCTGAGGAGAGCATGGCGACCAGGCGACCACGACAGGGCTCTCAGGCTGGACGGCCGCGCTGAATGAGTAAGATATTACGTAATTCATATACTATGTTTCCACTGGTGCCATTCTTGCCATCATTTCGTTTTCCCACTTGGACATTCAAAGACATTCTTGTCATCCGCCAAATTCGATGGCTTGTAACCCTTTCTCCAAATTGTCGATGAGCTTCTCATCAAGAGCGTCCTCTCTAAAGCTAACCCTTTCTGTCCACCAGTCCAACCAAGTCATTGCTCTCGACCCTTCGGGCGCTCGCAAGAGCCCTACACTCACATCAACCAGGCCCGGTCTTTCAAGGCAATGCCAGAAGACTGTAGCTCCGCAACGGCTGCAAAATTCACGGAAACAGCCCTTGGAACTCTCGACCCGTTTGAGAGTCTCCATATTATAGTCCAGCGCCTTGCCGTCGAGTTGAAGCAAGTTGGCTTTGGGAATAAACGCCCAAGCTTGAATTGGGGACCCGGAACCTAACCTGCACGACCTGCATGCACAAGTACCTGCCAAGTATTTCGAATCATTTGCACGCAGCCACCATTTGACGTCTTCGCGGTTCTCTGGGCTCGAAGAATGATATGGGACAATCAAGTCGGGCCACGGCGACCAGCATTGGTGTGAGAGAGCATTGGGCCGGGTGATGCGGAAATTCACTCCTCCACAGTGGCAGCCCGCGTGCAGTTCGCTTGAGTCTCCAAATGTCGGGCCGACCTGATTGACTTCACCGTTCGAGGTGGCCGAGCTGATGTCGTCAATCCGTGTCAACAACCCTCCAGTCATCCCCTCGACCGTCGCTCCATCCGGCCCCTGTAAATAGAGGGGTATTGCAGGACCATCGACTTGGGCTAAGCAGATTGCCAGTCCGCCGTCTTTGGTGTCGCCAACAAACTCGTGTTGCACGATCTTTTCCAGACTCGGAGCTGAAGTGGCGTCTAGGGTTTCGACATTATCAACCACGCCTGAGCAAACACTCCAAGTGTCGTTTTGATGGACCTGCACAAACATGGGTGAACCACATGCTGGACAGAAATACCTGGTCAACTTTGAAGAGGAGGCATATGGGGTAAGTCGATCCACTGTATTTGGCCTCGTGACAAGGGGAAAACACGAAAAGTACAGCACACCAGTGGTGTATCGGCAGCTGTTGCATGAGCAAGGAGACGCTGGAACAGGAAGTTGGGAATCCAACTGTAGTGTCTCAGAGTTCCTCCCGCACAAGCATGTGACGCTGACGGTGGTAGTCATGGTTTTAAGTATGGCGGACTGAATTGTGGGCAAACAATCTGGGTGATGGCGGTCAGATGTCTGGAGACGTACAAGACTTCGTTTGCGACGAGTCTCCAAATTCGAATACCAACTCTCGGTGCGAATCTACCTGTATATCAGAAAGATGAGTCGGGAGCAGGATGCATTTTTCCTTTCCCCCCCGGGAATGCTGAGAACTCCGCGAGAGCAGTGATTTCATATCCTTTGACGGATGGAGAAACTTCGGCAGCTTCAGTCCGGTAATCCGCATGGCACCTGGCGAGTAGAGTATCTGAGTACGCCCTTGACCTGAAATACGTCGATACGGGCGTGCAAAATGAGGAAGGCCTTCCCACTAAAGACGAAGGGCGACTTTGAGCATTGGACAAGCGAAATCCGGTCCATGCAGAGAAGAGAAGCCGCTTCATATGGAAGACCGAGCGCCAGAAGAGGATCAAGTGGGATAACTGCTAGTAGGTATGGAGTATACCCCATGGATCACGAGGTCTATCTACTTATAATACTCCGTATCACCCTCCTCGCCTCTCGGAGACCTTGAATGCGCAAGGGGAATAGTTGCCGCCCACGTAGCAGCGTGGGATGCAGCGCAGGTCCGCCCAGAAGATAAAACTGCTGATTTTGTGTCTCTCCCTCGGTCTTTTCCCTTTTCCTCTTCAAAGAGCAACAAGCAATCCGTCCTGTATTTCCGATCCCGCACACGCCAATCTCAGACCGAACAAAGAAAACCTCTAATCCAGAAACAAGCACTCGCTTTTCAGCACACAATGGGTATGTGCATGGACGTCGGGCCCTGAGAAGATCCCATGGCTGACTGGTTGGAATCCAGGTCCCTGCGGCTGCAGCTGCGGCTCTTCTTGTAAGTCCATGGCGCTCTGGAAATGAATGCTCCCTCGCTAACATGGGCTCCAGGCCAATGCCCTTCTGGTCAATGCACCTGCGTATGATGAACCATATCTCTCCCTGTCTCTCTTGTCCGGCTTTTTGACACTGGGCCACAGAAATAAAGCACCTCCACCTCTCACACCACCGCCTCTGAAGGCCCACCTCAACTCACCACCCCGCACTCCTTTTACCAAAAAAAAAATTCGATGTTTTTCTTTCACAACATGGAAACAAAGTTGGGACGGGCGACCTCTGTCGAGAAACGGTTGGACTCCGACACTCATTTGGACATGGGGGGGCGACGCAACGTCTGTGATTGATCTATAGCCATTGCCATTGCCCACGGGCAGAGCAGACAAAGAGACTAAGCACACGTAACTTTCTCAATGAAGACAATGACTTGCCCATATCGTCTTTTCTAAACCGCGCCCCTCTGTCCTACTCGGGACCTTGCTTCCCAGGGGTTGGCAACCTTTGTTCAGCTCCGAGGTGCAGTTCCAGCGGCCGAGCAGGAGCGGGGTATATACTGTACCTTGTACCAACTGTGTGACTCCTTCCAGAAGATCCTCATCGCCTCGTATCGGCTTATCGATTGTCGATTGAAGGGTTCCGCTGGGGGGTAAACAATGAGCGAGCAATGAGTCCCGTTTGAAGGAGGGCGAATTTCACGAGAGCCACAGGAATGACTATGGCCATCTAGAACAGCCACATATCATTGTTCTTCCTCCAGTCAGGTATTTGACAATCTTTCGGCTGCTTTCGTGCCAGGGAACTTGAATCGGGTTGAGTCATACTGACGCAATGCTTCATTCGGCGTCGCCAGCGTCTGCTCCCTGCATGTTGCTCTTTCAAGATTCCTAGGTGGGTGTGGACAAGGTACTCGTTCAGCTACTGCGTGACGCCAGATAAGTGTCTTGACTGATTCCCAGCTTACAACAACATACCATTGAAGTAGTGGAATCCCCGCTTGTGCTTTGCCCTCCCCGCCAGTGGTGGAAAGCTCGCCTAGCATTTCTCTCTTTCTTTTCTCTTCCGTAGGTGAGCTTGTTGAGGCTATACCTAGAATTCGGTGTTATAAGTATCGCCCATGCCGCAGCCAGTCCCTCTTTCGTCTCGTGTCGGAGGCGCCCTTTACGGCCTCGCCGTGTGTGACGCGTTGGGAGGCCCTGTCGAGTTCAAGCCGCGCGGGTCGTTTGAGCCAGTGACACGGATGCTGCCAAACGACAACTTCGACCTCCCACCAGGCTGTTTCACCGACGACACTTCGATGACCCTGTGCCTGGCCCAGTCGTTTCTAGACTGTGGCGGCCAGTCCAACATCGTGGACCAGGTGAAGAAGTATATCTCGTGGTGGCGGGATGGTTACCTGTCGTCCGTCGGGAGATGCTTCGACATTGGTGTCTCGACGAAAAGTGCGCTGGAAACTTGGGAAAACCTCCTCAGGCTTGACCACGAGACTTCACCGACCGAAGAGACCCACCGCGCAATTCTAAAGAGAATCACTCGTTCCTTCGGCAAGGACGAATACTGCGGCAACGGCAGCTTGATGAGAGTGCTTCCGGCAGCGTTGATCGCTGTGAGCGAGTCGGATGCTGTCCAGCTCGCTCACGAGAGCTCCCTCCCAACGCATCCTCATCCCCGCTGCGTCCATGCCTGCATGATATACGCTGCTTTGGTCCTACAAACACTGAATGGCGCCTCAAAGACAGAGCTCGCCGTCAGCTTGGCGGAATCGGTCAAGGAAATCCCCAGCAACGTTTCCGACACGCCCATTGACCCCGTCCTCGCGGAGCGACTGGGAAAGTACCAAACGCTTGAGGATTGGGAGAAGACGCCGGCCGAATCGATACGGAGCACGGGCTATGTTGTCGACACTCTCGAGGCGTCGCTCTGGGCATTCTTCAACTCGGATACTTTCAACGAGGCGGCGACCCTGGCTGTAAACTTGGGGGACGACGCAGACACGGTGGGAGCAATATGTGGCGGGCTTGCTGGGGCCTATCATGGCTTTGAAGCTATTCCAGAGAGTTGGCTGCGCGACATGAAGGAGACAGACCTTCTTGGTGACATAGCCCAGAAGATACTCGAACGTAGGAACACGATGGTGTAATTGTGACTCTAGGATGTGAACTTTTCTCGAAGCACTCCTGACTGCCAAAGACAACCCACTCTGGATTATTTTGCTGGCAAAAGGTACCATGGTGCTACCAGCTCATCAAGGAGCCTCTAAAGACAGGCCTTGCCAACCTTGTCTGGAACGGCAATGGATAGATATATGATAGTATGTCGACAACTATGAGGGAAGCCTGCCCTTGTGTCGCCTTGAAACTTGCCATCTTGGCCTTTTTAAGTGCCTGATTCGGCGCCGGACTGAGAATCGAATCCCTATAACGAGAACGAGAACAGGTGCTGAAGATGCCGCCACCCATCTCATCGAGGATGTGGTTACTCGATAGGGTCAGGGTGGGACTGAGGCGGCGGCAGCAACAGATTTTGACCAACGAGGCTGTATGAAGAAGGAAGATATACCTAGCCATGACGACCCTGACGGGACGATGGAATAGCGGGGCGGGATGAAGATGGATGTTTCCACTTATCTCTTGCGACTCGTCTGCAAGTACTCTCGGGACTACTGTTGCGGACGTTCTCTGTATGGTGTATATATCCCCTCCGGGCTGCTTACAGGTCACATATTAGGTTTATGACTCAAGTACACAAGTACACAGCTTGACAAGTACCCAGGCATGTACAAGGGACACGGACGACTAATCGACCAACTATCATTCTTTGAAAAGAGGAACAGGTACATAGCCTCGAGGTATGAGGTGTACCTAGAAACCCAGCATTTCATCCCCCTCCCCCCCATGTGATGCAATACTGCGGAGTACATATGGGGCATGATATATACATAAATAATCCCCGAATAATCGTCCTTCGCGCTCATTCGGCTGACTAATAACCCGTCGCTTTGCTCTCCCGCTAACGACTATTTAGTCGACTCGCTCCCTCGTCCGCTCCCTTCTCCTCCCTTCCTCTCTTTCTGGCTCCTCTTCTACTCTCTTGTACTTCCCTTCGCCTTCGGCCTGCTCCTTCCACGCTCCCTCGCCTCCCTCTCTGCTCGCTTATACGCTATCGAGGCTCCCTTTTTAGCTCTAGTCTTACTCGCGCCTACGTTGTACGTGTCTAAGCTTATAGTGTGATAGGCTGAAAGGGGGGTTCTGGGGTTGCCGTGTCACATGACACGGCAACTGGCCCAGAGCCAGTTTCCATATCATTCTGCAGAGCATTCTTAGCATCGGATACACAATAATAATCACGGACAGTACAGGAGTGTCCAAGAGAATAGCAATGAGCATCAGTCCAACAAGTCGTTAAGCAAGAGGGTGTCAGTCGAGTCTTTGAATACTGCGTATTTGTCTTGAGTATCTGCCTACGAGTACACCTGAGCTTGCACAGTGCGATACGTGTGCTCTCTGAACCAGCGTTCGAGATGTGACCTGTGCGAGGAATGCGTACTAGGCTCGTCCTACACGTACGCTGCGCGGCGGCGTGGGCGACTCCCTCTCTCACCTTCACTCAAGGCGTTACCACTGCCGATAGAGGATCTCAGTCCGTGCCGTACGCCTGCGGCGTTTACGTGTGGTTGTTGGTTTGTGTGTGCCGGAACGAGGGTCGAAGAGTCCTTTTGGTTACACGGAATGCACTGAGCATCCGAGGACACAGCATCGTGGTGGCTGCGAGGCGGTGCAGGTGCCAGTAGAGCCGTTCTGCGGTACTTGAAAAGGTGTCATGATAAACGGAGGCAATCTCCTCGCTGAGCTCGAACTTGGCATCGCGACGGGCAAAGGAAAATCCGCAGACATAAGGCTGCTCGATCACACTTTCACCGGTGCTAGCCTCAAAAAGGAGGACATTCTCGCTTGAAAAGTTCTGGGGAGCCAATTTACGTTATAGTAGTCTGTAGGCTGAGAGAATTCGGGCGCGGGCAAAATCGAATCGCTCATTGAGATCCCGGCGGGTTCGGGATTGATGGTCGAGTTTAAGGCGATTTCGTAGCGAAATTGGGGTTGACGCCGCGCAGCCTTGAGGATACTCAAAGACAAGACCATAACGTGAACGTTTTTCATCGTGGATATATCCCAGACAGCGCAGAGTATCAGTGATCGAGATAGTGGAGAGTTGGCGAAGTTGCATGGCAAGGCTGTGAACTCTAGAATCAAGGTATGGCCTCATTGCCAGTGTCATTTTGGTCGAAGAGTACCGCCACTCCAGGATGACTGCTGCAGTTCCATAAGAAACAAACTCGCGGTCTATCCGTTCCGTAGCTTTCGAGTTGATGTTTTTGATCTCCGCCATGTGAAGGTTGAGGGTTTGCACCGGCCCAGTATCTTGTTGAACTCGGGGAGCCTGGGCTGGTCCCAGCTTCTCGGCATCGATGTTGCCACAGTTGTTTGGCTTGCGGTTGTTCCGAGTCCTCAAGCAAAGTTATCAAGGATCGATAATGTTTTGCTCGTCGAAGATCCTGGGAATCGGCGGGGACGTGGCTGTTGAGGCCTGGAGTCGTCAGCCCGTCGGAAAGCTGACGTGATGTCAGGAGCCCGCGCTCGACTCGTCTCTCTAAGCGCCGTTGTCGAGATAGAGGTAACAAGGACTCCAATTCTGTATTGTACGAGCGAAGCGTCTCGACGAGGTATGTCAACTGGTTCACGTACCGTCCTGCCCACCGCATTTTGTCCCACAGTCCCAGTTTCCGAGACTCTGGCGCAAGAGATTGCAACGCGACGATGGAACTCGTTGAGGTTGTGTCCGAGAAGCAAGCCATGCGCTCAGCCCAAGTCTTGGCAGAACGAGTCTGCCCAGTGCAATACCGGTGAATAATCTGTTCCGTGGCATGGAGTCGCGGGTTCATATTTACGATAGTTCGTTGGATGTGAGAAAGGAAGAACGGGAAGCGGAATTCACGAGGAAGGAAAAGCAACAGAGTCTCAAGGTCGGGATCCGGTTGCGTCGATTCCTGTTGGCCGGAAACAACGACATCGACAAAGCCAGTCTCGAGAACGCAGCAGTAAAATCGAACTCGTTGCCATTGCAAGTGGACGAGCAGATCCTCAAGGTCGTGCTCCGCGCTACGGGCCGTCGACAAGATGTCAAGGAGATCGATACAAGTCTTGATGGTACCTGCAACGCCGACAACGCTGGCCACCGCCCCGAGTGCTTCCAAGCCAGACATGGGTTCCCTGACGATCTTCAGGCGCTTAAAGATAGGGAGCTCGAGAAAATGAGGACCAGTAAAGAAAGGTGGTTTGGGCGCGTCTTCAAGAGCGAGAAGTGACTTACACAGCTTCCGCGGTAAAAACGTTTTTATGTACCTCGTACCTATTAAACTCATTGGTGTTGCAGGAGCACATTTTACCAAGTTTACCTAGAGCAGTCCGCCTAGCAGGAGAGCACTACCTCGCCAGTGCCCGTTAGGGTCACATAATAGCCCGTTTACCTTGTGCGTTCATTCGGTGTGGAGTACCTAATTCATAATAAGGCCTAGAATTTCGCATACCACGGACTCATCACATTCTTTCAAAGCCGGCTTCTAGGCAGATAAGGACCTCCATCCTTTAGCATCATGTCACGCAGTTTTGTAACCGGCCTTTTCTTCTCGTTCTTACATGCCCCCGATGGCCCAACCGCGATCCGAGGGCGTCCTTGCTGCTTCAATCTCTTTTGGCAGAAGGACAAGCGTACGCCTGCCTCGGGAATCTACATCATCCACAGAATACCAATCGTAACAGTATGACTTCCTTGCTCTGATGACGGCAGTTGCAGACCTTTACGCTCAAGAAGACATCCTAGAGATGCAATGTCGAAGCGACGTTGGTAAGCCACTCGCTCACGGAGCTGTTTCTGAGGTTTCCAGAATATATGCTGCCGTGACTCAACCCAGTACTGTAGTCTCTCATCAGATCGAACGACGGAATCATGTGGTCGTCCTCAAGAGGTCGGGAACAAGGCTTTTCTTACCCGGTGGCCAATACACCGATACCGCTGCAATGCGCAGCTTCATATCAGAACTTCGAATCCTCAGCCAGAAGGCCATTCGAGAGCATCCAAACATAGTAAAGCTCCTGGGTGTACACTGGGATTACTTTGAGACCGTGAGTACTTAAAGCACCGATGATAGAGCATCTGGCTAGCTGCTGACAGCCACTTCAGTGTTACCCGGAACCGTCGCTGCTGCTAGAGAAGGCGAATACAGACCTAGCAAGGTTTCAACCCAGGCAAGACACTCCATTCATACAGAGTCCACCAAGAGTGTCTAATCGGCTGCTAAAATACAGGCACCGCTCCCTCCCCTTCGAAACGAAGAAGAGTATTTCGCTGGACATTGCTCGTGGCCTTGCTGCACTGCATCAGAGCGGCGTGATTCACGGAGATTTAAAGCCTCAAAACGTGCTCATCTTTAAAATGCCCACTCTTCATGCGAAAATCGCGGACTTCAGTCATTCTCTCCTCGACACTAGAGACACCCGCACTCTTGTTGGTGGTACATGGGTTTATTCAGCCCCAGAATGGGACGAGTCAGCCTCCACGGAGGATCTCCTCAAAACTGACATTTATTCATATGGCCTTATTTTTGGAGGCTTTATGTTGGGCGATAAACTTGTCGCCACTGTTCGGCGGAATCCCCCTTTCAATTCCAACATATCGACCGAGGAAACAATTAGGAGATTGAAGGTGGATGACCACATGAATGATTACCTTTTTCGTTTGGTCCATCTTGTAGACCGAGAAAACCTAGATTCTAATCTCCACGAATTCCCCCTCATCTACATAGTTTTCGAAAATACACTCCAACTGGACCCTAAGACAAGAAACCTTGACAGAGTCTTAGATTTCCTCGGAGGCAGGTAGGTTTCCGTTGGTCCTATTCACCGTCGTTGTTTTTGTTGTCGTCGTCGTCATCTGGAAAAGCTGACCTAAGACATAGGAGAATCGAGCCTCAGTATATCCAAAGGATATACCAGGCTATGGCGTCGAACCCAGTAAGGCTTGTGTCGCTGTTTGTCTGTTGCCCATCTTGAAAACTCACCTGATCCTAGATATCAATACCGTATAATTCACTTCCGAGTCTCAGTCCAATCATTATGGACTAAGTGATAAGGTCCTTACAGTCCGTTACTACCTCGCCCCGAGACACACGAAGAGTTGCTGCCTAGATGGAGTTCGCTGTGTGCCTTACTTGCGATCATACCTGGTCCGAAGACCCGAAATTTTCTACAACAGAGTCGAGAGCTGTAGCTCTTTCCGCTATATTGTCCGCCGCCGAACTAGGGGATGTCTGGGCACAAGCTATTGTGCACAGGTTTTCCCAAGCATTTGGAGCACAAATACCTGCGCGCTATCCCATAAAGAATTGGCTTTACGACGCTGCCTCCAGGGGTTCACGCATAGCACTGGATTCATTATGGGATATCGATCCGGGCCAGGCAAGGAAAGCCCTGAGGACCTATCGAATGACGTTTTGCAGGAATCCAGACCAGCTATATCAGAGCGTAAAATGAACCACGGCTACCTGGGTGATCCAGGACGCAGTGTCAACTCAAGGAAAGATACTGCCCTCTATGGATCGCGTCAACTGGAAACGAAGCAATGCTGAAGACATTTCTGTCCTCCGGTCTAGACTCTCTTGTGACCAACAGCCAAAATAGTCAAGGAGATACGCCGATCCTATGTGCAGCCAGAGCAGGTCATTTCAATATCCTTAAAATGCTTCTCGGTCACGGCGCAGACGCGAGTATTTCGAACTGCATTTTCTGACAAATCTGGACGATGAAGCTATCCCTGCTGCTGCACAACTCTTGGTGGTAGCTGGTGCCGAGCCTGATGCTGAGACCACTGGGAATTCAGGTAACTCATACTTGGATCCGAATCCCCCGGGGGAAAAGCTGCCCCCGTCTGAGAGCTGTTTTTGCCAAAAATCCTCTGGCCCTTCGGACTCTACTAGCTTTGACAACAGAAGCTCCTCCCGTCAGCTCGGTCCGCCAGAAAATCCCTCTGTCGACTCAAAAATTGCTGCTCGCATGGGCATTGCGCCTCCATCATTTCGAAATCCTGGAGGTTCTGGGCGAGTATTTTCGCATTTCTGAACTCTTGAATCACCTAAGTGACATACATATCTGGAACGGCGGTCGCCTCCTTTCCTGCACTTTGCATTCTTGGCTGCGCTTCGGGAAACTTATCCTCAGGCTTTGATGCACCAGAACAATTCTTCAGAATGTTGACCCATTGCAAAACGTACGTCGAGCACTTGGAAAAATCTCTTCTGTTCCTCTCTAACCACGAGCCTGGCATTTTCGCAAAGCCATGCATTGATGCTAGAAATGCGCTCTTCTATGCTATCCCAAAGGGTAGAGCCGATGCAGTGAGGCTTTTGTCAACGCACCCCGAACTTGGATGCCTTTTCGATAGCCCATATAGTAGATGGGCTCGATATAGAGAAATGAATGGGCTTCTTACCCCGTTAAATCTACAAGCCGAGGGTAAACCACATGATGAATACAAGCAACAGCTTGCTACTGCTGGCGGCGACAGAGATTACGGCTCATTTCAAGCACCTGATGGACTTTTTACCTCGCCTGCTGGCTCTAGCGATGAGGGCGACGACAGCAACAACAATCCTGAAGGAAACTTGGAGTCGGACATGGACCATCCCTACCTTTGTCCCCACTACTTTGTTCGACATGATTCTAACCGTAGTCGCCGCAATAGACACCGCACTAGAAGAGCAGTCCGACGCATTTCACAGCTCAGCTTCACGGGTCCTTCCGTATTGGATCGTCAACCAGGGAACTACGACCCGCAGAGCAACAGTTCTTGGGATTACCTAAATGGTTTGAGTCAACATGACCCAACGTCTCTTTTCAATTATCAAGCACTGGAGGGGATTGTGGACGCTGTCTTGATGTCTATCATGCACGGCAGACGCCAAATCTTTCACGATCTTGTTACTGGAGTTGCGAAGAACACCATACAGAACCCACCACCATTCCCGTGCTTCGTCGGTTCAGAGGAAGAGTACAGCTTTTGTAAAGTACATTATGACAACGAGGACATAGAGAAGATGGCGCGTGCCCACACACCTGACAATCTGATCCGGCGATTTCCAGTTCAAGTTTGGAACTATTATCTTAAAATCAACAACGACTCCGGAAGGCTCGAACGCTTCGATGGAATCCTTCACTACCCTCTTCTTTACATGACGGTAATTGCCAGATCAATACATCGAGACATCTTCCTAGCGTAAGTTCAACTCACCATTGATCCTCAAATTTTTGTTTTTTCCCCCTCCATTTTCTTTTTTTGGTGACATCTCAACACGAACTAACTTCGAGTAGGAAGATGCTACTCTCAATCATGCGCGAAATGAATGTGCCGAACCCCAAGGAGTGGACAACAGGGTCCAAGTTCGAGTCTGATTGTTTTGCCATAGCCATCACTGGCCCCCCTGCAGCACCACTTTACCATGCAGCTTACTTGAGATGGAACGAGCTGGCTGTCCTATTGATGGAACACGGTTCAACACCCCAAGGGCGATGCTGGGAGTACCCGGGTGGATGCAACACCATATTAGGCCAGCTCTATGCGGACACCAATGGAGCGAGCAGTGAAGTTCGAAATCTACTCAGGACAGCTTCCAGTCTCCGCATTGATCGTATCATTACCTTGAACGATATCTCCACGCTCCTGCGCTCATATCCAAGCGTCGAAGGTCTGATCCAGTGGAAAAAAGGTGTCCTCAACTGGAATAATTACTACCAGTCTCCTCCAGTTCACTACATTCAACTGTGGGATGCAATTAGAGAAGCCAATGCTCCACAGCGTCAGAAGGTCTGTACGGGCTGTCCACCACGGTCGTTTCTCGTCATTAATGCGGTGCGGCGTCGCGACATAGTGGCGCTTCAGCACTTACTAGATTTTGGACTGAATGTAAATGAGAAAGTCGAACCTATTGGTTTCACTCCAAGAGCCACGGCTCTTGACATAGTGAGCTGGACAGCAACAGTCAAGCGACTTCGATGCTGCGACAGCGGACTCGAACTCAGGGAACACGACCGGCGGATCGCGGAATTTCTACTTTCCCGTGGGGCCATTCGGGGACCTAATTATATGTTCGAGTACTTGCTCGTTATTACTATCTTGCAATGCGTCGTCCTACCTATCTCACTGCCAGTCTTGCTATGCTTTCTCATCTCCTTGTGCGGGTCGAAAGCCGTGAATCTCATAAGTCAGTCTTGGAGCATACGAGACGCAGTCTTAGAGGACGAGCCTGGAGGTCACTTAATCTATAATTTGGACACCATTCTGTACACATTCGGGTGAATATTTAATATACTTGGCCCGTTAGAAACTGTGCTAGCGTAGCATTACATTACCACCCTTCGTCACGAGGGCCACCAGAAGGGGACTTCGACTGCTCAGGCGACCTAGAGATGTGGCTCAATACTCGCTCTCTGGTTGACGAATATTGCTGCAAGGAGCTCTGTGGCAACTGGGGGAAGAATGGGTGAGGCCATTGCTCTGGATATTCTCGCCGATCTATATTGTTTGGTTGTATTTGGCTGTTTGATGGTACAGTCCTTTGTGCTGAGCAATCTATGGGTCTGCTGATTACTGAACTATCCTTGGACAATGTGTGAAGTGCTCCAGGAATCATCATCATCCGATGTTGTCTGGGGCGCGACCCATTCGATTTTGCGGCCACAAATCTCCCAATGGGGGATCAGGTTTTTGGATTGGTCTCACCGAGCGCACAATGCGATATACCGTGATATCAGAAAGCTGTCAGTGCGGTGGAGACGTGATTTTACAGTGACCGATGAAGGGGAGATGGAAGATGGTGTGAGGCTTTTGGACGCGTCTTCAGGTTCGAGCTAGGTTTGAGACAGCCAAAGACAGTTTGTGCGACGGAAGAGATGGCACCACAAAGCACCAACAGTAAGTGAAGATGATGATGTTTGCTCTCTTCTTCTCCCCGTCGCCTTCGGCCTACCCCCTTACCTCCTTCTTTACTCGCTTATGCGCCAGCGAGGCTCTCGTTTTAGCTTTAGTCTTACTCGCGCCTACGTTGCACCCACCCAGCGTTATAGTAACTTTACCGAACCAGCGCCAATGTCGCTAAGAAGTTAGTTCTGCAACGGATTATGGAAGGGGGAGACATAGTATACAATACGTAAGAATTAGGCAACGGGGTAAAACTTCTCAGATTAAGGCCCTCCTGGCTGCGGAGCGTACGATATAAGGAGGGATGTGTCGTTCCATTCTTTCTTCTATTCTCTCTTCAGATTTTATTCTCCTTATTACTAGGTTGGTGTAACACCCAGCGCCCAGAATGGTCACGAGGCTGTGGTCAGTACAACACCCCAGCGGCACCTGGCCGCCCACCAACAAGGATCTACAGGAGTGTGGCAAGGAGACCGGTACTGGGTAGTGTGTCTCGAGAGTTGCCAGAGCCCTCGGAAGGGAAGCTACCGTGTCTCAGGAGGAAAGAACCTGAGAGAGCCACTGATGAGTATAAGGAAGGATCAGGAATCTTGGGATAGATAGATAGGCCTTAGTACATTGCCATTCCATACCCTACCTTGTGCTCGCAAGCTACGTGATCCCTCTCGAACCCGCCCCCTTTTGTGACAAGCCAATACCCCTTCTTGGTATGGTTGTTACATCCTCAAGATTTTACTACGCCGAACGCACGCGCGACGACCTTGCAGAAAGGCGAGACCGGAGTTTGTCAGGGGTCACCTGAGTCATTCGTACTACCTTCTCCATTAGGATACAAGGCATGCCCGCTTCACCTACATCCAGAGCAGTTCCTCTCTCTCCCCTTCTTGCTTAGTACTCCAAAGATAGCCCATACCAATATGAAAACACCCTGAAATGCAAAAGCTATATCAGAACGGAGTATTTCTAACTCTCCCCCCCAAAATCTCTGAGAAGGAGTTCAGCTTGACGTCGACACTCATCGTTGCCACGAGATAGGATATTGTAGGCATCAATCGGATAGGCAAATCCTTTGTCAATCGCATTCTGACGAACATTTTCTGGAACGTCACGCAGCAGGGTTTGGCCGTGGACAGTCGTCAGGGTCCTCGCTGCAAATCCGAGGGAATTCGACACCCCATCCCAGGGAAAGCCTTGTCTATTCTCCAGCACCTGTCGAGCGTCTTTGTACAGGCACTTTGCAGTGCAGCGAATGATCCCAGGATCTTGCTTGCATCGTGACAGGAAAAAAAGAAACTGGTGCCGGAAGATAAAAATACGCTCGTCGCCAGCATTAAAGTTGTCGATGGCGTGTAAAATCAGCTTTTCGTATTCACTGATGAGCGCCCAGAAATGGGAAGGTGTCACGTGCCAGCGGATCAGGTAATTTGTTTCCATCTGCGGGATTGTGAAGGTTTGCCTATTCCAGGAAATTCTCAGTTGTTGAATTGCCTGAAAGTAACCTCGTTCAAGAAGCCGAGTCACTTCGTCACGTGGAGCTCTATACACAACCGCAACCAAGCGATTCAACAGATAAGGGAGGCCTTTTTGATCATTCTTCGTTTCTTCCAGGATGGTCGCCAATAGGAAATCAATCGGAAGTTTGTTGCCAAACCAGTAGTGTGCGTTCCCTGTTGGTTGCATGTCCAAAAACTCTCGGCAGATTCTCCAAAAGAAGATGAGAGCGTTTGCTTCCTCGGTCTTTCGGATTGCAGCTCGCACCCCGTCAAGAATTTGACGCCAGATCTGTGAGAACTCCACGTGGCTCTCTAGGTCCATGAGGCTAGGGAGTCTGGATGAGATCTGGCTCAGCTTTTGCCAGCTTGTCTGGTAGTCCTTATCTGGGGTAGAGTACAGCAGATCAAAGTTCCTTGCTGCAGCCTTGTTGGTCATGAAGTAGGCGTCGATATTTGACTTCACCCATTGACGAACCATCCGTTCTCGCTCCCAAATATTCTCTTCATGGAGTCCAGCTTGGAGCGGCGAAGGTGATGTGGTAATCTCCTGAATGATTTGAGAGTATGAGAGTCCAACATTGTTGCCTCGCTGATCTCCAGACGTTTGTGCTTGACCGTTAGGCATGATGCCCCATTTGACGGTCCTCCGATAATTAAGTTGTTTCGAACTTTGTAAACTCTTAGTGAATTAAACAAATTTCTAATTTTTTTTCTCATGGGAAAACCCGGACGCTCAATCGTACCTGGTACACATCCCGTATATCCTTGGGAGAGTGTGTGCTATCTTTTCGTCAGACCAATTTTCCTCCTGGCAGAGATGAAGAACTATTGGCCGAAATGACTCTAATGTTACTGCGATTGGGGAAGGATTTCTGATGATCTGCTCCGGACTTAGGTTCCCACTGTTAAATTGGAGTTGCATATACATTGGTGTACAAGAAATTTGATTCATTCTGAAAGACTGTTGCAACGGAGAGTTAAATTGAGCTTTGATCCAAGAGTGTCGAATAAAATGAGCTGGTTAGAGCGTTTAATGTTCGGATATGAGAATGCGAAAGCTTACTGTACTATACAGGTGGAACACATTCAAGTGCTTATGTACTGCTGGCAGCTAGTGCCTCCCTCTTGTTGCCTTATTAAAGGTGCATCCTCGGGGATGGACGCCAGATGCCTATGAGGTCCCTGGACGCCGTTGGAATTGAAAGGAACTCATCCTAGAGAAACCAGAGTACCCATTTGCGAGTTTGGCGAAACTATCCCGTGCATGGCGCTAGCTGAGCTGGCAATTAAGGGAGGTCACCATCGAACAGGGGAGGATTGGTTGGAGGCAACCCCGCCCAAGCCTAGATTTCCAGCCTCTATGCTAGGTGGCATTCATCTTAGTGCTCGTCTGTGATATACGAGGACACTCGCTTGTCCATTGGTGAGATTATTCAAGTTGTCTCCTTGCATATTTTGCCCAACACTAGTCAACCTCAGGGCAACATAATCTTTCCCACCATCGGTAAGAGCTACTTTCATGTCGCATCTGCAGGTTTCTGCCAATACAAAAAGCATAGTGGAGTACGAAATAAGTAAATGCATAAAAGGAAGAGCTTCCGAGCATCAAGGTGTTCTGGAGGCACTAGGAGGGCTGAAGATACCTATACCTACGACCATCCAGGCGAAGCTTGAATTCTTACCAAGGGTCCAAGAGACAAGACAAGCGCTACCTCCTTTCTCAGAGCCTGACTCGTCTGGGATCATCAGAAAGAGCTGCATACAGGATTCCATTACCCAGATCCTCATTTCATCATGGGCAATACCCCATCAACTCCTCTTTTCCCGCCAACACGAATGTCCCAGAAAGGGATAGAGTTTCTGAAACACCAGGAAGGATTCAAGGGCGAGTTTAGCCAGGACGGCAAAAGCGCAGAAAGCGGACAGTCGATTGGCTTCGGTATTAACTGCAATGCAAACCCCAAAGTCTGCGCCCAGATTAAAGAAGAACTTCAAAAGACAGGCAAGCCCCTCACCAAAGAGCAGGGAGAGGTTTATCTGAGGCAAATCCTACCGCAATACGAGAAAGCTGTCAGGAACCTCGAAAACTCCGACAAGCTGAGCCAGAATGGGTTCGACGCACTTGTGAGGTATAGTAAATACGTTTTCTTCCTTTCAGTTCCTCTATAATTTCGATACTGGGGTCCCAGGATAAGGCAAACGACAGTCGTCTCCTTGGAGACGGGACTAAGGAAATGAAGTGGTCGCGTAGTTCTAGGCTGACAGATGAAATTGCAATAGCCTCGCCTACCACAAAGGTGGGAAAGGAATGAGTAGAACGGTCAAAGACCGCATGAAGATACAGGATATGGAGGGCGTCTACCAAGCGATCAAAAATGACCAGACATCAAGCAAAGCTGGGGAGACATATTCCAAACGGAGACTCGATGAAGCCGAGTTATTCAAATCAAGCGACAATTAGAAGACAACCAAGAACGGCTAGGCGACGATTAAGGAGGGGAGGACAAACAGATGGGGGAAACTGAGCACTGAGCACTGAGTATCCCAAGGCAGACTCGAAGGCTGTGAGGCTTGGTATAGGTCGAACATTTAGGTTTCACTAGCGTGAGGCTTAGCGCAGTCCTAGTAGACGGTCCGTTTGGACGCTAGACGCCAGGCATGGGTGTACGCTATGGCTTACTCCGTTGCATATCCTATGCGCAGGAGATTTCTGTTCTTCTTAGTCCACACGTGCGTCGCAAAAGTCCGTGTGCATGGCTCGCTTCAGCCTCAGCCTCATACTCAGCTGCACCGCTCAAATATGCCACACTGTTTGCCTGGCCAGCGAAAGGTCACATTATCTCTGGCCAATGGAGATGGTGGTCACGACATCGATATCGTACCGGGTACTGCATAGCTGGTTGAGAGACTCGGTAGACGCCGGGGTCTCTAACTGGTCGGCGTTTCGCCACTGGCCATTGCATGCGATTATTCACACAGCAGCACTGATGTCCCTTGATAGCGAGGCCGACCTACATTATACGATCCTACGTGTTTCAGACAGTGCCCGAGCTCACAGCCTGGGACGAGGCGTTGGAAGAGAAGCTGGGCCCAAGAGTGAGCCGTGTGGTGTGCAGCAAAGCCCACGAACTACTGAACCGGATGTCTAAGTGGATATATTTAATATCTCCCATATCACTTCTCATCTGTCCATCGACCTTGAACTGCCCTCACCAGATTCTTCTTGTACTCATACGATATAAGCTTAGCCCACTCTAAGCATTCTCTTTTTCTACCCGGATTTATACTGGCACTTCTACCTAATCAATCATGACGTCCACTACCCATGATATTGGTTTGCGGACACAATACTGTCTCAACCAGATCAAGAAATGGTCTGAGTCTCTCACCCAACATCCCGCTGAATACTGGTGGCTGGAGTTCTCACATTCCTCTTAGAGCAAGTAATGAGCCTACCAAAGTTATCATCATCCTCGGCCGAAAAGGCGTGGGAAAATCCATAGTGTTGGAGGATCTCACCAGTGCTCAGGGTCACGCGTGTGATGTCAGAGGTCCTGGTAAGTGAATGGTTACATTCCATCGCAGTGTTGATACATTAAAAACCCTATTTCCTGAAACTTCCGCCTTCACCACAGGAACGACAGCATTCCAGCTCGAAGAATCAATCATCAACGGCGAGAAATACTTCTTCATGGACACACCAGGCTTCGACGCCGGCGATGAAGTAGAAGCATTCTTCGAAACTGCTCGAGGCATAGAGGCTATCCGTCACCACGCCACCATAGTCGGGGTGCTTTTTGCTGCCAGCGTCAACTACTCTCGGGTTGAAAACCTCGACCGCAAGCTCCTCGAGTTTCTTGAATTGTTCTGCGGGGACGAATACATTCCAAGAATTACATTCGTCACAACGCACTGGACTCACCCAGATGCTGCTCAGTCCAACAGGTTCGCACATCTTCGTTCCCTTTGGTGCAGCTTCTTGGCTAGAGGAGCAGGGTTATATCAACACGGTCGAAAGTACAACGATCAACACGAGGATACTGGGATTTGCCTACCCTGACAATCGAATCGTCATAAGATTGCCGAGTACGCTAGAAACATGGTATCTCGTCATTAGGGTGGTTTGAATGCCCCAGGTCTCAGGATACTCACGGAGCTGGATGGAAGAAACGGACTCCATCTAACTTCTGCAGCAAAGTGTTTCAGAGCTTCGCCAAACACATACAATGAACCAGAGGACAAGCAGTCAAGGGAGAATACGACAAAAGACCAACCGCCACGTCAACCTGAACCGCAAGGAACTGGGCGGACCAATGACCACGTACCATCGGCCGGTCCGGACCCAATAAACCCTGCATGGAGCAAGCTCGCTGATTTCGCGCTCGATATTGGCGGCGATTTTATCCGTAACGTGTTGAAAAGCCAGTTCGGCGGATTCGGAATCAGTGGCCCCAGCTCCAGACCCGGGGGCTTTTCACCAGGTGAGAAATTGCCGGTTTCATTACGGCTTTATCAGCAGTGTACCAATACTGAGCAGCATAGATCCAAAATCAATTGTCGACCAATTCAAGCAGCTCGGTCTACCCTCCGACCTAGAATCTCGGAAGCTAATTGGGGAGAAATACGGCATCTTCAACGTTGGTACTGCGGAAGGGAACTTGGCTCTTCTCAGGAAAAATGGGGGGCTAGCTTTGAAACCCTTTTGAGGGTGACGGCGAGAACTTTTCGTTGAGAGGCTCCCTCCCCCAAAATGATCAGTGTTCATAATCGTTTCGCCGAAACATGTTGAGGAGGGCGACTTCCTGCTACACAGATTGCACGACTACTAGTAATACTGAACTCGTTGGGCTGGGTCGGGTTGATCAATTTCGTTATTAGGCGCATGTACTTGTTCAAATCATACTAGTTTGCTCATGGTTTTGAGGCTTCAAAAGGCCAAACCTCCCAGAAAGCATGACGAAGAACCGTATAATAGGCTTTCGTATCGGAGTAGGTTGTCTATGCTAAGTTGATCGTTACTATACTTTTTCTCCCTGCAACATCTATCGTGGTGAACTAGCGTAGTAACTCTCACTCCCACTAGTCCCGAGGTAGTGTCAGTCGTTCTTCAGTATAAATTTCTTCCACTACTGTAACAGAGCACTTCAGGGTTCGGCGTGCACGGGCAACAACGCACAGAGGCCTGTCCTGCAGGTCGGGAATCGAGAACGCTTTTCTGGTTGACGCTGACAAGACAACACCACCACCAACACTACCCAGAGAGACAGTGGCCTGGGCAACGAACGCCTAGCACAACGGCAGCATCGAGAAACGGGGCAGGACTGACAGACACTCAGGAATTAGGTAGACGGCACCAAAAGGCCATGGAATTCATGATACTCTGCTCAAACTGTAAAGAATTGCACTCTGCCAGCACTGTAAACTGCTCCGCACTCCTCCTGCCAGCCCATTTTTTTTTGGTTTCACATGTGACTAGACAACTTCTCTCCCCTGCTACCACTCTACCAGCCCTGCACAGCACAACACAGCACAGCCACCTTGTCTTGTTACACTACAACGCCTAGACGGTTGAAATAGCGACTTGTACGTTTCTTGGGATAAGTTTCTTCCAGCAATAGCACTCATAGTTGTCATATTCGCTTTCCGGGCAGTTTGGATTAGATTTCAATCAACCATGTGGATGCTTCATCGAAAGTCGGCGCAAGGGACCGATTGAATATCACTTCATCGAAATTAGATTTCTCGGTCCCCCGAACTTTGAATGAGGAACTTGCCTCAGGACCATTCTACTCGAGGCCGCCCCCACTGGCCTTGAATAAATAGTAATATGAGCGAGGCTTTTTCACACCCGCTGGTCTTCCAGCCTAGAGGACATACTTTTAATTGTAAGCTTGCATCCCCTTCTTTGCCGTTACTTTCAACGCCAGCAGTCAAAAACTCGTCCTTCTGCTTTGTTCCGCCAACACAGGAGACAATAAATCGCGACCACGCCATAGATGTTACGACCCAACACGTAAGGCTAAGCAAGGCTGAGACACAACTTGCGACGAATATGATACTCGGAAAGCATCGCTTCTAGAACAAGGAGGTCTCGGTTTCAGGGTCGACAGCGAGGCTGTCGACACAGTGTACTCATATCCTGGCGGACGTCAGGACGAGGTCCTAACCTCTTTTCTCTCCTTCAGTTTAGTCTCTTGGTATTGTGCTGTCTACAACGTGGTGCTTTTTCCCGCGTTTTGGGCGAGCCGTAACACCTCAGATGACAGCGCCAGGATCATCAGGTCGAGTGATGAAAGGATTGAAAGTTGCCAAGTAGCAGGCTTAGCTGAAAGAAATGAGGGGTTACCGCTGGGCAACTGTAGCCGAGGCATAAAACGACCCCTGAGCCCGAACTGGCTTCTGCGAATGGGCATCAGGCAGCGCTCCCTGTGGCCTGCCCTGTGCTCGGGCGCGCTCTCCCATACTCTGCCGTGGCTCCCTCAAGGTTCTCCCGTGCTCGTCTGGGGCGTCCCCGATGTTCCGTCACGTGCCCGATTAAAGCGGCCTCGCTCCGTTTCCTGAACGAAAATGATGATGGACGAAGGTCAGTTTGGGGTGTATATAATATATATATATATATCCTTCCTGGCGAGTCACCTCCCTCGCAATTTCTTGAAAGCCAAAGGCATGGAATCACCCACAGCGCCCACACCTACGAATCATCGAGTGAACGCTGGAACGTTGAACTGAACTCAGATGGGCAGTGGCGGACGATCCGAAAATCATCCCCCCCTTCCCACCGCCTCTCGCCACCTAGGCATCGATATTTCATCTCACTGGCCGAACAAACGAGGAAGTGACGCAGTGAAATGCATGCATGCACGCCGTGAGTAGGCACCTGGAGCCAAGATATATATATACCTGCACGATAAATCCTGTTCTGCCTCCCTTTCTTCTGACCACGTCCCATCGATCTCCATTCTCGGAGAGGCTCTCTCGACTAAAAGTATCGTTCACCCCCCAAAACGCTATTCAGGTTAAACTAGGACCTTGACTGGCCCCCCCTCTTACAAACTGTATACTCTGAGCACATAACCCAAAAATCAATCACATCCCCGATCATAATGTCTGACTTCGGCTCGAGCCAAGGTTCATGCCAGCAACAGCAAGTTACTGGCGGCAGTGGTAGCGGCGGCGGGGTCTCGTACAGCTCCAGTGCCTCTGTATTCTACAGCACGTCGGCGTCCTATTCTGCCTCGATGTCGTCGAGCAACTCTGACCCGCAAGGCCGCAGCCAGAGCCACACCCAGACCTACAGCGAGACCATGACCAGCAACGATCGCGACGGCACCAGCATCCGCCGTGTGGCCGAACAGACAGGCCGGCCGACGCTGATCGAGGAGACGTATATCCCGTCCCGCCCCGCCGGACGAGGCATCGAACTCGACGGCGACGGCCGGCAGGGTGGCGCCAGCGGTGGCAGGATCGAGGATGTCACGAATGATGACGACCAAGACCAGGCGGCCAGGGACAGAGAGTACGAAGAGCGCATCGAGGACGAGTATGCAAAGCGGGAAGGTGGTGCTTGAAGGATCTTTTTTTGGACTCTGTTCTGTGAGGTTGGGGATCTGGGGTATGCTCGGGATGGACGGTTGAAATTGTTCCTTGCTGACTGATACTTTACTGCTTTACTCGATGGGAGGGAAGCTGGATGACCTGGTGGAGGAGTCTTGCCTTCTGTGACAGGAGATACAAAAGACGATCGGAGGCCCAGGGGTGGAGGAGAACGGGCTGTGGAATACGTAGATGGGCGTGTTGGATGGCCTTCATTGCACGATCAAGTGCTGGGGGAGGAGGACCTTCGCGGCGAGTCGGTTTCAGCAACAAGCGACACAGTGCGCCACGGAATATGTACCTCAAAGACTGTGTGCTCAATAACGTCGAAGCGGCCGCTGCATCGAATATCATCGACGGTATCGGATGAATGACGGAGGGCCACTATTCCCAAGGGTACACAACATACTTATGGTGAATGAAGGGCATCCTCGAGCCAACAGCGAATCACTCGACTCTTGTCAGACTCTGCCACTTACGTTTGAATCCGCTCGAATACTGGAAGACACAAGTCGACTGAACAAGTTCGGATGGGGGGTATATTGCTCTAGCTCTAATCAATCCACTCAATCCATTCATCCATCTCCGACTATCGACAATTGACTATCGGCTATCTGCTATCAAGCTTTGTAGCATCATCTAATACTGTGCGCACGAGGATCGGGGGTTGGAACAAATGAGACGATTCGGGCAAGGGCAGGGGCAGGGGCGGAAGGGGGAATGGAATGTATGGCTCTTTGTCTTTGGAGTCTGCTGCATCTTTTCGCTCTCTTCGTGGGCGAGAACTGTCGGGGACCCGGCTGTCCCCTGGGCCCTTCGTGAACAATGGATTGATTCATTTGCCATGTGGCGGTGTACCATGCAGAAAATGAGCTAGGGACGCACGTCGAGACACAAACGAGCCTCGACCCACGCAGCCGGGCATGAAACAAAACTTTTTGGGGTGGCCAGTCATGCTTCGTCCTCCTCTTTCTAGATCTTCAGCTCCTCCAGCGATGCGGCGGCTGTCACGCTCTTCTCCTTTGAAGGGATGATCGGACTCGTCGACATGTCGATTTTCTTCGTGCAGATCCATGCAGATGCATACATGTTGACCCTGCAACAGAGCATCAGGGTCTGGTTTCTCAAACAGGAGCGGCCGCCACAACGGCACGGGGTTGTCTAGACTCACCGATCGATACACTTCCCGGAATCCCGTCTGCCCACGCACGTGGCATCGAAGCCATTCTGCTCAAAGATGTCGGTATACCATGGTCTCAGCGCGGCAGAGCGGAAGAGAACACGGCCCCCAAGCTTGAGGACCTTGTTTAATGCCACGATTTGTTCCAGCGCCGCCGAGTTTTTGTCTTTGGGGTCGAACCAGTCCATTGAGTCCATGAGCTGTAGAATAGGTCAATGAGTCTCACCTAAGGAGGAAACGCGAGGAATTCCTGCCGAGGGATGAAAGTAAATGGACAAAGACTCACAATGGCAATGGTCAATGTCGAGGGGCTGATCCTAGAAATCACTTCCATGATTTCGTCCGTGTGGATGCGTAGACCATCAAATGCATCGGCCTTCGACAGTGCTGTGTGGGCTTTGACGCCAAGGTAACGAGGATGACACCTTTTCACTGTTTGTTAGAGGAAAGGCCAAAGCCAGGTCCGATGCAAAAGTTGCTTACTTCCTCGAGAACTTCCCCTGCAGGCAGAGATAATAGAAATAGTTTTCCCTGCTAATCTGCGTCGTTTCCACCACTGGGTCCAATGTGTCGACAACGTACTGCCAAATAGCTTCGCCGCAGAGCTTCTTCGTCCGTGGCAGCCTCGTCCGCTGCGCGTAGTCGTCAATAATGAGGGCGTGCTGGTTTGGAGGCACCCCGGCGGCTTTCCATGCCCACCACTCTGTGGACACCACGGTTTTGTGCAAGGGCCAGCTGAGTAGGAGATTCCTGATCTGGGGCCAGATCTCGCGCTGCTCATTCAGCGTCTCCACTTTACACATTGTACGCACTTTTGCGGTGAGCCCAAATGTCTTGAATAGCCATCGCACGAGCTTAATGGCGTGTCTGGAGCCCCCGCTCTCGTACAGTCCTCCCTTGGAGGAGAAAATGTAGGATTTGCTGAGCCAGTATTGGAACGCTTGGCTGGACATGTGCGGACTGAGTTTGGAGAGAAGGAGATTGCGGAAGTCTGGATGCTTGCCCTCGCCGAATAGTTGCCAGACGTCGCTATACGGAAGAGCGGTAAAGGCAGCAACTTTGAGCTCGAGGAGGTGATTTTGATTCGGATTCAGATCGACCGCGTGGATGCGCTTAGGCCGTTCGAGCAGATAGTCAAGAATATTATCCCCAGCGCTGGTGATGGTGAGGATGACGTCGTCTTGAGTGATGTTCAACAGTTTGTGGTCGACCTTAGGATCTTCCCAATTGAAAGCGTAAATGTACTCGTTGCCAAACTGTTGATGTTTTTGCAAAAGGTCGTTATAATAGATTCTCCAATGATGTTGCTGGTAGAAAGCCGAAGGCAGTGGCAGGTCGTTGCTCAGGTTGACAATGGCAGACTCGTACGACTTCGACCGGGGAATGCTCTGTTGAGCGTCCAGGTTCCGCTGTTCCTTGAATTTCATGGGGGATAAATACGGCGATTCCGTGAGAGCCGCATCAAGTCTTTCCAGGACTTCCTGGCCCTGTTCAGCAAAGGCTTCAGCATCTCGTCTGCATCCGATGAAGATATAGTATGGAATGCTAGTAATGACATATAGTTAGCCGCTCGAGATCCCAATAAGAGAGGGAGGGACCTCCCGGACGCTGCGGCAGATCCATCACCCGGGTCTGTGTCTACGTTTAAGATGGAGAGGGAAACACATGGACGAGGACTCACCCGCCGAGAGGATAGTTGCGCTGGCTTGTGGACAGGACAGTACCAAAGCGATATTCGACGTAGTCTCTACGACCACCATCAAGGTTTACTCGATCTGCGTCGAACCATGTACGCCAGAACATCCGACCGAACCAATTGACATGGCGATTGAAGGTCCCACCGCAGTAGTTTCTCGAAGAGATATCAACGATGCTCTGGACGTAAAAGTCGCAAATACCAATCAAACCTTTAGGGGACAGAAACCCTGAAACCATGTCGACCACGCCATAGAAATCCGGGATCATGGACAGGCTGTAACTCATGGTGATCAGGTCTGCCGAGGATGGGGCACATGCAACCGATCTCGCATCCTGACACAGGACCGTGACATTTTTCCAGCCATTCTTACGGACTCGTTCTCGCGCGACCTCGCACAGCGAAGTGGAGAGGTCGACAAGGAACACATGCTCAAAGAAGGCCTCGATACCCACCAATTTGTCCACGACTTCGATGTTGTAACCTGTGCCGCCCCCAATGTCATACCAAACGGGTTTCTGCCCGTCTCCGGATGCCATTTTGCCTTGTAACTTTGCAACCAGAATCGCAAGCATATCCTCTCTCCCCCGCAGAAGGCGTTTTCGGGTAGAGTCATAGACATTGGCCTGAAGCAAATATAAGTAAGAAGGGAACAAAGTTCGAACTTGTCGCCCCCCTACCTGAGCAGAATAGAAGCTCTCAAGAGCCCCCTGCTGACCGATATCGGCTCGTCTGTCATGAGGCTTGAGCATGCAAGCGTAGACAAACTTGACGTAGGGATGGGCTGTGAGCTTGTCGAGGGTAACCTGTCCGCCAAGCCTATACAAAACAACACCCAGGATGGTCACGAGGACAGAGAAACCGACACCTATCAACCCAAGTTCGAAGTGGAAATCCTTCAGTCGCTGCCATTCCGCGTAGTTAAAGTATGCCATTGTTGCCGGTCAAATGCGAACAACAATGACACTTGCAGGGAGGAGAGAGAAAGGAGAAAGAGTAACTGCTAAAGTGCTCGTGATCTTCCTCATATTTTCGGGTGTTTATGTCTTGACCGCAAGACCCATGGAGACTCTGGGCGACGAATAAACCACGGGCAGCAGATTCCGCGAATCGGGTCATTGGAAAGGACCATATGGCGCACTGAGTGGCAAGGACAACCGCCGTAAAGCCTTGAGAACAGTCCATTTGGGGGCCTGCCACCCAGATTACCCAGAGCCGGGCCTGCATGTGAAGCCATCAAAATTCGGTGGGATGAACTTTGTCGGAAAAAGCTCAGAGGACGTGTGGTGAGAGTCCTCTGATAGCTCTCCAAGGGGACGAATCAAAGTCGAGAACTTGGCGCGTGGACCTCACAATCCTATCGCGGGCAAGTCGGAAGAAACAAGCTTGGGCAGCATCATCTCGAACGAAAGGCAAGAATTCGGTGCACGTGTCGTACAGCTAAATCGACAACCAATGCAGTCGGTAGGGAGGAACTCGGCTCTGTTCTATTCGATGGCCAGCTGCAGGGCGACGAGATCTTTTCTGTCCAGCAAATTGGTGGTGGGGATCGCCAGGTCCTGGCCCTTGTAATTAATGCAGGTCATTCTCCGTCGCTTCTCGCTTGACTTTCCAGCCTCGACAGGAGGTCTTGCGCCTTGTCACGTGCACGGGCAGCCTCGCGTATATGCTCCTTCTGGTCTGCACGTAGGTCTTGATTCGAGGACAGCGCTGGGGAATCCTGGTCTAAGGGTGCGCCGCCAGCGTCCAGATCACCGAGCCTACCCGCGCGGGCGCAATCTTTGTGGAGATCAGCTATCCAAAGGGCAACCATTGCACGAAGTCTGATAAGCTCAGCTTCATCCATATACGGAACGGTCGCCATGCAAGTGTCCATCCTGGATGCAATCCGATTAGCCTGCTCAAGTTCCCTCACCTTCTTCGATGATAAATTGAGGAATCCGCCAGCGCGAGGAGAAGAGGTAGTGGATTCGACATCGCTTTCATCGTCCTCATGCGCGGTTGATTCGTCTGTGTATTCGGCCTGCACCGCGAAAATCCAAAGATTGAACATGGCAAGATAATAGTCAACAGCATTAACCGCCTCGGGCCAGGACTTG